AACAGAATACAAACCGCTTCTCCGTTGCCTTACTTGGTCACCTACGTTTAACTCATCGACTCAGAAGCCAAGTTTTAATGCGACCAACCGGCCGTCGATCTCAACGTGGTCCTTGGTTTAGTCTCTGACGTGATTCGTCCAGTTTCAACGCCAAATTTCTAGTCGCAAGCTACGGAGTACTAACGTGTATTTGCGCTACGGGTTCCAGATTGTCGGCGACCAACAGACAAATACGACGCAAGTACAGTACGAGTACACACTTGATGTAATGGAAAGGACACCGTTACAAAGAATGGATCACGGCATCGGGCTTTAGACGATGATCAACCCCAGTTTGATGGGCCCTGGGGCAGTAATTACTGTACATTCCCTCACAAAGAGACGATCTTTCCTAGCCGTCCACCGAGAGCGCTGCCAAAGCCCCTGATGGAATGCCCAGCGGGTTTGCCAGGAGACCTGTCTCAGTAGTAGTTCCATTTGGTTGCCGATACTACGGAGTTGGCTGCGTCCGTGTACGAGTCCTACTCGTGGTGGACGGTCAACGCATCTTATCGAATCTCCGACGACACCGGCAGTCCTCCTGAGTCCATATGGGGAAAAAATTGGGGGTTCCTGAAGCTGGTGCGGGCAACAAAATTAATACTTCCATTCAAGTCATTTCGATACGGCCGCAGACACAGAGAGGACTTGTCTGAATACGACAGAGATGCCTTTGATCCGGACCGATGGTAAATTGGCATCCATGGGAGCCCTGACTCACAAGAAACCAAGAACCTTGCCTTTCACATGGCGGCACGTTGTCAGTTCCATCCACCCTCGATGCAACACCGGCTAAAAGGATTTGTTAATTCATGCGCTTGACCTTGGCAACTGACGATCGATCTCTTTCTCTTTCCGTCTTTCTTCGTATCTCTTTGCCCAAATAGTCAATTGCGACCCCAGAGACGTTGCATACATACATCTCTACCTTATCAGCCTGCATTCTTACACCAGTTCGGCGAGGAATGCATGGCCGAAATACTACCTGTATTCGCCTACATGCATACAAGCTCGCTTCGGTGATTGCGCATCTTTCCATGCTGTGACTGGCGGTGTGAAATGCAGACGGAGACCCGATTACATTACTGTACGGAGTACTGTATGTTCAAATCGTTTTCGTGTGCATCCGCTAGCACACCATCACGTACCAAACTTGTTTGACGCTATTCTCTGAAATAAAGGAGGAAATCTGGGCGACCTCAACCTCCGTGGGCTATCAAAGTCGTGATTTTCAACACAGGAGGTGGGCTTTGCGCCTACAAACCAAGTCGGTTACGAGGATGCGGGTCGTGGTTGAATGCCAGTAGTACCAAGGCTGTCTGGCCAAATCGGACAATGTCGTTTCGATGCAGACTCGGCTATGTTGCCGTCTTCGAGATTCTGAAACCAACGAACGTTTCCGGCCTTTCTCTCGGCCGGAATACACTTCTGAATCTCACAGGTGGTAGGTCAACGAGCCTGACTAAGTCAACGTGACAGCTGCCATTACAAGCATGCTATCACAGAAGCACAACAACTTGACACAATTTGAGAATCGAATTCTTCCCATTCAGCAACCAAATTCCCAGTGGATGAAGAATGTCTGTGCTTCTCGGAACTTCTCACCCCGGCTGTCCGGAAGTTAGCGCAGTCTCGGCAGCCAGATATTTGATCAACTCTGAAGGTTGACCTTGCATGGGTCTCGTCGTGGGCCCCAAAAGCCAAGGCAAGATAGTGCAAGCATTCTGTCCCTCGTATGGGGTATGTACCGCGTACTCAAGCTTAGAGAACGGGGCCGGAGCTGAAGCCCAGGTGCACTATCGCCAACTAATCTTGAACTCAATACGGAATACGGAGGATAAATCTGCTTCCCCATTGCCGGGAGAGCTGGGAGGTAAACTTGGCATCCGCGCCCTATTGTACTCCTTCGGCGGCAATTAGCTAAGATCAATTGCGAAAGTCGACCATACGATGACACTACTGTGGCCGCAAAAGCTAGATTGGACCGTTGGGTTCGATATGTTCAAAAAGGGAAACCTGGTGAAACGATGGTCCGCTGTCAAAGTAGGCAAACGACACCTGACAGCAGGCGAAACAACCCCGAAGGGACTTGGCCGTGGGGACCTTACCAAGCGCACATCGTACGAAATTCACAAACTATCAGCTGGCCATGGCATCATAATCTTGAATGTTCCAGGGACAATGTCTCAGCTACCAGCTCGTTTCAATAGCGGTTCTTCTAACATTTGGCGACTGAGATAAATATGACACAAAGTTTTGAGGAGAACGCAAGCCGCAAGAATCCACCAGGCTATGAGACGACTGCCAGACCACCATCTACAAAACTGGAGCCGGATGCCACCAATATCGGCCGTAGTGGTGCGGATATAGCCTACCTGCTCGTGTCTGAGTTGGTAATACCTTGCACAGAGTACAGCTACTGGGGAACGAGCAGGTATCTGCTCTCATTATCCCCTGCTCGTATGAGTACGCTTTCCCTTGCAAGGCTTTGGTCTTGAAATCGCATCTTTACAGTACAGGCACGGTACATGTAAATTTCCCAGCTTGTCCACAAGGCTAGGTAGCAAAGCCTCAAAATATCCGACGTACATGTACATACCGGTACCCTGGTTGGAGAAAGAAGCCGCGCGGAAAGGTTTATTATAACCTGCGCAGCTAATGCGAAGGAATGAAGTATTATATGGCGATGAACAGCGCCAAACGGCGCGACGAGTCATGTATCGGTACGGTACAGCTGAGAAGCGCACATGGAGGGTCCCTGTGTGTAGCTCCTCTGTCCACAAAACGTGCAGGTAAGAAGGCTGAGCATGTTCTTCGTCAAAGGGGGGCCCAAGAGAGGTTCCCTTGACGCAATCTGAAATTCTCACTCGCAAGCGACGGCCACATGAGGAACCCCTGACGTGCACCAGCGGCCGGAATATACCCGTAGGTATTTACGGGCAGTTGGATGAGCTGGACGTGGTGCTAACGAATTTCATCTCCCTCTCGGGCTCAATCTTGCGGGAGGCGTTTCTTGGTCCGTCCCCTGTTAGCGGCAGCCTCTATCCTGTTTAGGCCCTTGATGTTTCTCGAACACCGTTTAGACGCGGGCTTAGTTTCTCGCTTTGTTGAGATTTGCACCGATGTCACCACAGTCGATAAGCTGAATAGATGGGGGTTCAGAACGCTGTCTTTCTCATTCGGCTGAGATTCCCCGACGATTAAGCAGAGTCGTGTCCGCGGGACGCATTTTCTTTCGTCTTATGCTTACTCGCCATGAATTCGAGAGCCGGCCCTGAACTGTGATGATTGGCCAGGCATACGGAATAAAACACCCAATGAGTGAGCAGTGAGAGCTCCACAAATGCAGGTACAGAGCGCAGAATATGTACGAGTACAGGTGCGTGTGAAGTGCCGTGACGTGTGATGCGAGTAAGATGGCCCGCTTCCAGGGCGCGGAGCTACAGATGGGTCTTTTTCGTGGAAATGTGATGCATTGCGGAGTGTCTATGGAGAATACTGGTGCAAGAATACGGAGAAGGAGTACAGTATAGAAGGAACAAGGCGGCATGATGTGGATAAGAGGAGCTGATTCGAAGCAGCGTTGTTTTACTATACGGCACAAGCGTTCTCACCGGCGGCGGAGATGTCACCTGCTTCGATTTAAGCGACAAGTTTCTTACTACAGAACCAACTAAACAGAGCGGCCGAGTATCGTTTTGAGGATCTGCAACGGTGGGAACAAGACCGGCTTGATCCATGTGGCTCTATGGAGTCCCCATCTACGTGTATCCTCAAGTCCACCAACGACAGTGTTGATATGGCATGCGAGCTGGGCATCAGGGTGGCATATAAATTGCTGGCACGAACGATTCAAGGTCTTGTCTCCGGGCCCATTGCATGTACATGAGACAGCAGCAAGGCTTCAGGCTTCAGCCAGGGGTCTCGCGAGGAAAACGAGCCCAGCAGAAATTTCATCCAACATCTCAGGATAAAGTTGTGTGCGCACGGCGCCGGAACCCGATGCTTGTCTTCGGCAGCATGGCCGACTTGGTCCTAGTCTTCTCCTAATGCTGCGGCGGAGAAAAAAAAAAAAAGCACGCGGCGTGGCGCTCTCTTGTGGCGTCGTGATCCTTGAAAGAAGATGCCCACTCGGGGGGGCGACGGATGGCAAGAAGCGGCCCATAACGCCGATGGCACCCAGCGTTGTGTCCTTTCGGGTGGAAATGGGTTCATGCCGATCGTGGAGCTACGGAATGGCGTTTGCTTGAGAAGCTTCCATGGCACTTTTTTTAGGCTTCTGTGCCGTGCCCAAAGTGGTTCTGGCAGGTTAACTTGAAATTACTAGATGCTAGCCTTGGAGCAACAACCGCTGGTGCGGCGTGGCGTCGACAGGGGGAGGAAGGATTACTTAGGACGCCGACTAGAATACGGACGGGAGTGGGATGCAATGGTGATATCCCGCAGTTCATGGGAACAAGGAAGTGGCGCTTTTCTAGAAGGCTTCTAGTCCAACGGGCATGAAGGAGCGTAATGTGAGTGAAATGAGGTTAATCACATCGCGCTGGGAGCCTTTGCCTTGGCGGATGCGAGGTCCGGCTACGGTGCTACGGGTGTTCGGGGTGTGTGGTTCGATAGCAGCGTTGCATTTGCGGCTCAGCAGCTGCAGCGACTTCTCAAATCGACACATTCGTCCGGGCTGCTGTTGGGTCGTTGGATCGGGGGTCAATATATGCTGCTAACATCGCAACCAGCGTACGAGTACGGATATACACGAGTCAAGCATACAGGATGCCCAGACCTACCTACCTGGCACGTCACTTGAACAAAGGAAATACGGATATCGTTGGTAGTATTGATTATCAAGCACCGACTCTTCCTCTCGACTTCTACCCGTCCAACATACATTGTATGCTTGCTCGCCTCCATCACAATGTCACCGTGCGTTATGTGTTGAAGACAACGGTTTGTGGTGTCAGTTCTCATTGAATTGCGCCAAGCACTTCGGATGAATTCACGCTCAGTTGCACGCAGGCCGCGTCAGCGAGGACAACGGCGATGGGCTTCTCCAGAGCAATCTTGATCGGCCAGCCTTTTCTGTTCGTGAATCCTGTGTGATTTGAGTGCAAGTAGCTGGCAAGGTTGTTCGCCAGAGTGCTGGCCAACGCCTCAAGCGTTTCAAATGACGACTGGCTCATGACCTGTTGACCGCTCAGTATCTAGGACTGCCCGTATCCGGCTTTCGGAAGGCTACGCTCGTAGCATGGGGTTTTCAAACTTACCTTGACTGTCTCTCCTTCTATCATTGTGAATATGTCTTTGTCGATATCAAACTTGTCAATTTCAATACTCGCAACGACGACCTGTTTGGCCTGCCGCTCGTTGTCATTGACACCGATGAGAGTGGGAACTCTCAGGTCGTGGATCTTGAGGCTCAAGCCCCTTGGTTGAGGTCTTGACTCGCCATCACGTCCAAAGAGGGCTATTCTGGTGAGACTCACGCCGCCTCCCAGCAGCGATGCCTTGGGCAGGTGCACAGTGAGCTCGAGACATCGAATCGTCGATGGTTTCAGGAACGAGGTCTGGGCCTCTGAGTCCTCATCCGTCACCTTGGCCCTTCCGTTGCAGTCCTGGCCGGTGAGATCCTCCCAGATGGTGTTGACGATGTCTCGTAAACTTGAAAACTGACTTTTCTTAGATGTGTCGCCTGATCCTTCTGCGTGCTGGCTCTGTTTCTCGAGTGAAGCCAATATCGCCTTGCTAAGCAGGCCATAGTGAACGGTATCGGCCTGCACGCTATCGGCAGAAGATGAGCCGTCGAAGGCCTCCTTGAGCATGACGGAGGCGGAGACGCTCAGCGGCTGAGGCCTCCCTTTTCTGTTCCAGGCATCGGATGGTCCCTCAATGGATGTCTGAAGATTCCGAACCCGCACTATGGCGGGAGGCTGTCCTGCCAGGAAGCGGACACGCCAGTTTGGCTCCAAGTCCGCCATGTCTCTTGTCTTCCCCCGGCTTATATGCAGCTGAAAGTTGGGGCCTCAGACTATGAGGTGGGTGTTGAATAAGTAAGATCGACGCCCTTGCTTTTTTTGGTGTTTGGGCCGCCACGGCCTTGCGGGATGCAGCAGGTCAGAGTTTTGCCGAGCTGACGCTGTTCTTCTTCCCCCACGTTTGAGAGCTTCTCTCCTCAGCAGGCCGTGAACCAAGTCTCTCTTCTTGAGGCGTTGCAAAGGCAATGAATTCCACGTTGATTTCTCGTATGTCTGGCGTTTTTCTCTGGTGATTCAAGCGGTCTGTTCTGTTCTGGCTCACTGAGACGGTGAGAGAAGGAGGGAAAATGGGAGCGAAGGCGGGGTTGAGAGGGCCAGCGAAAAGAAAATCTCTGGCTGTGCAACCGAAAAAACGTTGTGGCCAATGCAAGGGAACAAAGTGCCACGCAAGGCGAGACAATTTAGAATTTGGCTGAAACATGGCCTTATCGGTGGCTTGAAGCCGCATTGTTTCCCAGCATATTCTACTTTATTCTTGGCCTCTTATCTTGCTCATTTTTGCTCTAATTCTTGACGATTTGTATTTTATTTTTCCGTGGTAATGCAGGTGGCCCGTTGGAGTTATGCACACTGTTAGCGCTCTTTTGTCCGAATTACCCTACAAGGCAGTAACCTTTTTGAACAGTATGATGTTATACAATGAGACTGATGACGGGATTCAACGATATGGACACGAATAGATACGTAATTCATATACGGGTATTAAATTATAAATGAAAATCTATCTCGATGAGACGCCACACAGTCCCGCTGTGCGTCATGATCTATGAGGTCTAATAATGCCTTGGTTCCGTTTAATCTACCATCTAAGTATTTTGTAATTCCAAACCTCTATCCTGTAAACGAAGGAAATGAAAACTCCAGTCTATTCTATCCATACATCAAAATCATCAAAAAATAAGAAAAAAGGAAAAAGAAAAAAGAGTCATTCAATCATCAGGCATGTTCGTTAAATGTCGGCCTTGTCACACTGAGGCACATCGCCGTTGGTCACTTCCTTGATAAACTCGGGATCAGGGTTGAAGAGCATGACGTGGAAGTGTTCCACAGCATGAATAGACTTCAAGGCTGCCCAGTTCTTGAACCACATGACCTGCAAGCAAAAACGTCAATCAGTGATAAAATTCCCACAAGAGGAGGGGGTGATCCCAACTCACCGTGTTGGCGGGCATTCGGGATCGGAACGTCTTGGTCACAAAGTCGTCAATCTCCTTCCTCGCCTTGTCCGTCAAGTCCCCGGTGGCAGAGCGCGCCTTGAGCTCAAACTTTGTCCAGACGACCAGGTGGACGATGCGGCGATCAAGCCCGTACGGCCAGTCGTTGTGAAGGATCTTGAAGTCGTCCTCGTGTTGGAACGGGGCGCCGCGGGCCACGACGGGCATGTCCCAGCGCAGACGCTCCCTCAGGACAAAGTTTGCGATGCTGCCGTGGATCTTGCCCAGGCGGTAGGTGAAGGCCTTGTAGCGGCGCAGGTCAGAGGGCACGCGCTGGAACCGCTCCAGGTTGTTTGTCCGGATGAGGTAGCTGACTTCCTCCCATGTCTGGGTGCGATACTCCGAGTCGGGCGTGGAGACGGTGCGGAGGTCTTTGGGGTTGAGGCCGACGAGGTACGGTGGGCACTGGGTCGTGCGTTCCGTCTCGGGGACGTTGATGTGCCAGAAGGGGAGGCTGGCGCTGGGAAGGGTGATTGTGATGTTGAGGGAACCCATTGTTTGTTTGTGTTTTTGGGTTAAAGTTTGTTGACGATATTCCCCAGGTGCTGGCGTTGAGAGGCACGGACGGGACGAGGAGATGGAGAGTTGTGGGCCGGAGGACGCCGAGGTGGGATTCCGGAACCGGAACGGAAAACGTTGCCACTCTGCCCGTTACGATAAGCTTCGAGATATGGACAAGAACAAGAACAAGAACAAGGTCTCAGCAGGGTATCCCGGGTTTCTTCAGAGATGGTATTGCTCGGTGCTATGAGGCATCCAAGAGGGCGAGAAAGCGACTCGCGGGGTACATGGCGATATAAGAGCAAACGGTTTGCTGTCCATGCTATCTTTTCGTGCCAGAAGATTCTCCATCAGGGCACATGAATCTCTGCAACATTCGACTCCGCTGCAGTGCGCAAACTGGAAGCTCCGGAATGTGTCATCGCGGACTCACCAACGGCGCATGTGCATTGGCGCAAATGACGCCGTTATTGGCACTATCTGGGCGGAACTCTTGTACTGTAACGCTTGGAAATGTTTCCCTTGACTTCTTTTTTGCATCAGATGCAACGTTGTCGTGGAAAATTCGGAATGCTTGGGAGCACGGGCCATTCAAGAGCCGGCGTGCCGCCACGGGGTCTGAGTGGCTGGCTACAGGGCGCTACAGGGCGTAGTTTAGTGGTTGCAGCGGCACTGATGGGCGTCTGAGGCCCGCTGGAATGCTCCAGTGCTGTTTTTCTTGGGGGCACGGGATCCTATCTATGGGGCCTGTTGTGGCGTCCAGTACATGTACTATGTAAGCCGAATGGCGTTGCAGCGATAAAGAAAAAGGCCATATGCAACCTTGACTTTATCTTCCATCTTCTCCAGTCTCCACGACGGGGGAACAAGGCCGATTAAGTAGTTTCTTTAAGAAGAGGTAACTTGTAAGTAGAAGCTCTTTTTCTTCTTCTCACCGTGCACCCCCGGTCAGGAGAATCCGTTTGGAGACTGGCGTTTTGCACCGTCGTTCGATGCTACAGTTTATACAAGAGGCGGAGCTACAGTGGGAAATTATCGTCATTTCTTGCAGTGGACCAAACCTGCTGTTAGCGAAACAGTAGCAATATTCTGCATGACCATATTTGCTTTTTCCTTCCTTCTTCGTCTTGTTGCTGAGGGACGAGAACGCTGCAAAGAACCTCCCTTTCTTTTTCCCGTCCCTTCTTTTGCCTAATGCTATTGAGCTGATTCCGAGCAATGCCGATGCTCCCTTAACCCCACGTGTTTGGAACCAAACCGGGCCGTTATAGGAGGTCCGGAGCTGATACGGAGGTCGCATCGTGGTAATGTGTCGATGCCTAACTCGAGTCCCGTTTCCGAGTTGAGCAATTTTCTTCCTAGAGGGATTGGGATTGGGATTCAGTCGAGTCGCCATATTAATATATGAAATATGCAGAAAAGGATTGAAGAGAGAGAAACCGCGCGATTGCTGCTGCTGCTGCCACAAGTACTCGTACCGGGACACATCCGTCTCAGCCAGGCGGGAGGCTTTCCGGATGACCTCTACCGAGCAGAGCCGGCAGTAGTGCCGACTAGCAGACGTTAGTACCTTGCCTGAGTAAGGATACAGATGATGAACCTTGCGGAACGGTGTCTGAGAAAAGAAAAAGAGACATGTCACCCGTGCGACTGATGACTTTGTGCCTGAACCTTTCAAGTACACGACTCCTTTTTGGCCCTACCCGTCCATGGCCAGAGTCTAGAGCTTCAATCTCGTTGGGAGTCGAGGGATTTTTGCCTGCTTTGTGGGATTACAGCATGGGCATGCAGCCCAATGGCAGTGCCTTTGGGCAGCCAGACGCAACATGCATCGTCATGATTTGCCGCCGCCTGTGTATCGCATCTGGGCGCCGATGCATATCGTCGTGCATATATACATGTGCGAGGTACCCCTAACACGAGATGCAGTGAGAATGATAGAAACCAAAGCTCATGATAGCAGAGGGATAAAAAAATTTCTCTTCTCTTGCAGTCTGCCACACACACTTTTGTCTAGTTTTTCTCTCGCTTTGCCTCTTTTCCCCTCAATCCTCACACAAGCAGCTGAAAGCGTGGTATTCTGTTGGGAACCGATTGGCACGGCGGCACAGGTACATGTGCCAAGCTCAAAGAGAACATGAACACCACCCTCTCACACAATTGGCCACTTAGTTAATAAGCTTGGGCCGTGAAACCAGGCAGACAAGAAAAAGAAAAAAAAGTGGCGGGGTTCATTGCTGAACTGCGGATCCCACCTCCCATTCACTGTGCAAAGTGGATGGCATTCAGAACAGGCTTTTTCCCGTGCCTCTTCTCTCCTGGCGGCAAAAAATAGACTTGACCTGGAAGCATAGGAGTATCTAGAAGAAAACGGTCTGGCTCAGCCCCGAATGATTGGTGGTCCCCTCAACCCCCGGCCTTTGGGCTCCTGACAGCGAGGGGATTCGGCCGGGATAAGTTGCGCGGGCTCTCTACTAGTAGGTCGATGCGAAATGCTGGTGGAGCGTCGTGGTTGTTCAGGGGAATCGACACGACACGACACAGCACAGCAACGATGGGATCCAGAAATTACGGTCAAAAGTTGCAGCAGCAGCCATTGACCCAATAATAAAGGGGCTGCCCCGTTTCTGTTAAAGCCAGAGGTTCTGCCGTCGATCTGTGGACATAGAAATTGCTTCTTTTTTCTCTTCATCCATAATCCTGATCCCGCCGGAGATTCTGTGTAGCAAAGCCTTGGGAGCTAAAGCTGCTGTTGTGTCCTTGTACGTATTGGCTCAATCTCGATCTCGCCCCCCTCAACCATCATACTTGCAACAAAAGATGCCGTGAGCCTGCTGGCGGGCGTCACTGATTGACGTCAACACGACAGAATCAATCACAATCAGCACAGCACATGCAACAGCAGCGTAATTAACTGGGTCGTGCTAGATTGGCTAAACATCCTGCTTGGGGCAAAGCTCAATTCAAATCCACCCCGCCAGTCCATCATCCACCCCACCTTAGGACCTGATACCTCCCCCCTTCTCGAACCGCCAAACCAAACCAACCTCCATCTCAATCTGCCTTCTATTAAAAGCTGCGAATCGCCGCAAATCGAAAAGCTCGCCCGCGTACGAGCCCCGTCCCACAAGCAAACACTCGAGCAAACACACTCAATCACAATCACAATGGCGGGAGTCAAGAGCGCTCTGCCAACGCACCTCATGCCAAACCCTGAGGACAACGGCTTTGAGCAGCGTCACCATGGCAAGACTCGCAGTCACATGGCAAGTAGCCCCTCGTTTCCTTCGTTCTACAGTCTGTTGTTCATCACCGTTGTGGCATTGGCCTTTATTTGCGATGCGAGCCCTTGCGACGGGAGAAGAGACAGCTAGCTCGCGCTTTGGCGGTATAGCTATGGGGAGCTCCCCTCAGTCTGACTTGATGACGGTACCCCTCATGGCCGTGCCTTGGTCGTGGTAATGCGCGCACCACGCCAGCTGGCGAGGCGATATGGCCATTGAGTTTTGAAAAAAGGCCCTTGGGAAAAACTAATGGCCGCGGAAGCGACCTGACGTCAATCTTTGTGCACTTGCCATCAGGTGATGGCATTCCTGATTGCTGAGGGCTCGCAGAAATGGTGCCTCTAATCACTGCCAGCCAAGCTCTGCCTATGTCAACAGCAGCTTCTCTTCCCTTCTTCATCTTGCCCGCTCCACGTTTTGATTTTGATTCTGTTTCTTTCTTCCCATGACCAGACTTTCAAAATGTCTCCCAGCGAAGTGCTTCGTGAGCTCCAGCTAACCGATCATAATCAGGCCTTCGAGAACACCTCGACCAACGTCGCTGCTGCCCAGATGCGAAATGCCCTGACAAACCTCGCCGAGACCGTCGAGGACCCCAAGGAGAAGAAGGTTAGAAATAATGAAATACCAACCAGAAGCGTGGCAGCTCTGCTAACGCACTGGAATTTTTAGCTGTTCGAGACTGAGATGGACAACTTCTTTGCCCTGTTCCGACGATACCTCAACGACAAGGCCAAGGGAAATGCGGTGTACGTTTTATAACCCCCTCCTTCTCTTCTCCCCTCATACTATGCGACAAGGGTTGCTGACAAAAGAGCTATAGTGACTGGGACCGCATTGCCCCTCCCGCCCAGGGACAGGTCGTTGACTACGAGGACCTTGCCAACACCGAGTCCGTCCAGTTCCTGAACAAGCTCGCCGTCCTCAAGCTCAACGGAGGTCTGGGTACCTCCATGGGTTGCGTTGGACCCAAGTCCGTCATCGAAGTCCGTGATGGCATGTCCTTCCTCGACCTGTCTGTTCGTCAGATTGAATACCTGAACCGCACCTACAGCGTCAACGTGCCCTTCATCCTGATGAACTCGTTCAACACCAACGATGATACCGCTGCCATTATCAAGAAGTACGAGGGCCACAACGTGGACATCCTCACCTTCAACCAGTCAAGATACCCCCGAATCTACAAGGACTCGCTGCTGCCTGTCCCCAAGTCATTCAACTCGTCCATCACCGAGTGGTACCCTCCCGGACACGGTGACGTTTTCGAGTCCCTGTACAACTCTGGCATCCTCGACCAGCTGTTGGAGCGCGGCATCGAGATTATCTTCCTGTCCAACGTCGACAACCTGGGCGCCGTCGTCGACCTGCGCATCCTGCAGCACATGGTTGAGACCAAGGCCGAGTACATCATGGAGTTGACCAACAAGACCAAGGCCGACGTCAAGGGTGGTACCATCATTGACTACGAGGGATCAGTCCGCCTGCTTGAAATCGCCCAGGTGCCCAAGGAGCACGTCAACGAGTTCAAGTCCATCAAGAAGTTCAAGTACTTCAACACCAACAACATCTGGCTGAACCTCAGCGCCATCAAGCGTGTCGTGGAGAATAACGAGCTGGCTATGGAGATTATCCCCAACGGCAAGACCATCCCCGGCGACAAGAAGGGCGAGTCGGACATTTCCATCCTCCAGCTCGAGACGGCCGTCGGTGCTGCCATCCGCCACTTCAACAACGCCCACGGTGTCAACGTTCCCCGTCGGCGATTCTTGCCCGTCAAGACGTGCTCCGACCTGATGCTGGTCAAGTCCGACCTGTACACCCTCAAGCACGGCCAGCTCCAGATGAGCGCCGCCCGATTCGGCGACGCCCCTCTGATCAAGCTGGGCAGCGACTTCAAGAAGGTGTCCGACTTCCAGAAGCACATCCCCTCCATCCCCAAGGTGCTGGAGCTTGACCACCTGACCATCACTGGTGCCGTCAACCTGGGCCGCGGCGTGACGCTCAAGGGCACAGTCATCATCGTGGCGACCGAGGGAAGCACCATTGACATTCCCCCGGGATCTATCCTCGAAAACGTCGTCGTTCAGGGTAGCTTGCGTCTGTTGGAGCACTAAACGCGTCATCAATCACTTTTCATTCACCCAAAAAAATACCCAGTGCTCCAAGATTTGGAATTCATCATCGTATCTATTATCTCCATTTTTCTTTATGTGCTGGCATAACGAGCGAGTTAGGGACTGGCCGAATAATGAACAGTCAGCTGAGCTGGTAGCTGATGGAAAAAAAACATGTAGTGAGGCAAGGGCGGAGGGAATGTGTCAAGGACATTCATGATTGTACCGATGGCTGGGTCGGCATTGTGTAAATACAGCTATGGCCTAGTAGTAATTGATGCAATGAGATGGCATGTGCTTTTCAACGTGATATTGTGTGTCCTTTATCTAGAGGTGTATAAAGAGAATGGAGGAGATGCTGGCTCTCGCTTTAATAACATCTAACATCCAATGGAAAGGAATAGCCATGGGGGCGACGAGCGCTAAGCCGCCAACGGGACCGAAGGGCATGAATTGGATGTTGGGTTTGATTGCGAGGCGGGATCAACCTTGCAATTGCAGCCGCAGTCACTGGTATTTTGGCCAATGAGTTAAAACTTGTGTGCTCCGTCATGGCCACCTCATGCCTGTGCCGATCTCCTGGCGGCACGGCAAGTTCTCCTTTTCTTTTTTCCAGGGCGAAAAGTGGTGGCGTTTATTTTGAGACACTTTGGCGTTTACGGTTTTGATTTGATGGCAATAGCTTCAACAAAGATTGAATAGAACATTGGACTATGACTCGGTTGCAACCAAACTATCGCTTCATGTTGGCACTGCCGGGAGCATTTTCGACTAAGAACTCGCCTCTAGCAGTAATTACTGGCGACCCACCCTATTCGAACGGGGTAAGCTGGCTAAACTACCTAGTCAGAGTATACATATAAAGTACATATAGAATGTGCTAAATAGCTAGTAAATTAAAGTACCTATCTGTATGGTTTGCTGAATCGAGATAGAACCGGTATCACTCAACCCCTTTAAGTGGCTACAGCCACTGTATCGCGAGGTCGACAACGCGTTCACAGAAATCAACGAACATCCAACCCAATCAAAATCCTCTTCGTCAAAAATGCCGCTCCAACCTCCCCCAACCGACAAGCACTTCGCAACATCAGACGAGGCCTTCACAGCGCTCCAGGCCCATGCCCGCAACGAAGGCTTCGCCATGGTCAAGAAGCGGCCGTCATGCTACGAAGACGGCAAGCCGCGTCGCTATGACATTGCCTGCGTGCGCGGGAACGGCGCGTACAAGCCCAAGTCGGCAGGGCTGCGAAAGTCCACGACGAAGCGCACGGGGTGCCCGTTCAAGATGAAGATTGTGCAGAGGAAGGACTCGGACGACTTGTGGGTGCCGGGGATCCTGTGCGGCGAGCATAATCACGAACCGGACCTTCCTATTGCTTTTCCGGAGCACCGGCGCGGTGCGTTGACGGATGCTCAGAAGACTATTATTAGGGCACTGTTGCATCACTCAAATCTCTCGGCGAGGGGGATTATTGAGGTGCTGAAGCATCAGTATCCTGATGTTCTTCTTACAGAGAAGGATATCTGGAATTTGCGGCGGGAATCTATCCTGTTGGGGTGGCCCATCGTTAAAGATGGTAGTACTACTACGAGTACCGGAATTACGAATACAGGTACTACGAGTACATAGTCCACTACTATCTACGGAGTACTAGCAGAAAAGACAAACTTGAATCCATCCAGACAGCCGCCATCTGACGCAGCGCAGGTGGAGTCGGGTAGGGGCCAGGAGATTGCCTATCGATTACTCTTCTCCACACGGAATGTGAGACAGGAACAGGATTTCCCCTCCAAGCGAGGACCCAATGGGCTTGGGTTCTTGACGCTCTTTTGGAGATTTTGCGGGGATGGCTGAGCAAGAAGAGAGACAGGGGGTTTGCTCGGGGAAAAGAGGAGAGGCACGCCGATTTCGCAAAAGAGGAAACGGGAGAGCGATGCGAATTACTTACAATACTACTCGTACTAGTTGAGGGACAGAAAACAAGCTTGTTGTGGAACAGAATTAAAAAAGATGAGGTAATAAAAAAGGGGGGCGGAGCTGAAGGTTGTTGATGAAGCTATTGGATGAGTTAAAAGAGGGAAAAGGGGGGCCTTGTTTTTTGGTGTTATTGATTTTTGGCTAGTGATGTGATTTCGGTGGATTGAGCGCGACCTGGGCGAGCACAGCCTCGATGCATCGGCTGGGGGAGGGGGAATGACGGCTGATGGTAGAATGTCATGATTGCCTCTTGTTGCGTTCGTTTTGCATTGTTCTCACCAAAGGATGAAGGGGATGGATGGGGAGAGGGTAGAAAAGCATGATGTTGTTGTTACGTATTAGGGCCGCGTAACGTGCAGATGGGGGATTCGTGTTTGCGCATTCAGAGTTCAGCTATGGGCTGCGTGCAGTGGGATGATGCCTGCTCGTGGTGCTATATTCGTGGGGAATATGGCGAACAAGTCGATGACATTTCTGCGTGAAGGTTGCGATGGAAGAGGAGCTTTGCATAAGTCTTCGTGGGTTTGGTGTTGTGGAGCGGAGCGGGCTGTGTCGAACTCTGACGGGACTTTAGGCAATGATGAGGAAACTTGAGACGACAGAAAAAGTTGAATCAACCAACATCACAAAGGTGCGTGAGGTGCTGTGCTCTCTTGGGAAATGTGCCGAAATGCATTGCATTGGATGGGCTGGTGATCGCGACGCGGACGCTATATAGGCGTTTTTTGGTGCTGGAGATTGCCCGTTTGGGAATGAGCCGGACAGGGGCATGAATTGGGGCCTGAGGTGGAGTATTTTCTGCGCGAGGCGGGTTGGCTTTTAGGGGAAAGGCTAGAGCAATTGGGCTTGTGATGGTTGGGAAATATATGGGATCAATGGGATGGGATGCTTCGGCTGTTGGTTGGACTGCGGTGCTTTTTGATTGCGGGATTGCATTAGCATTGGGGGGTGTTTCCCAGGCCGCAAGTGGGACAAGACATGACAAGAGTGAGTTGCGAAACGGCCTGAGCTGAGCGGAAGAAAGCTTGAGCTTGTCTGAAGTGAGGCGAGAGAGAGGAGAGACAAGGAGACAGCAACGCGCGCGAGAGAGGGGAGCATAAAAAGAAGCTTTTCAGGCTGCATATGGCGCGGATGACGATGCTGATGGACCCGGGTCGACACGAACCTCTAAAAAACACGAGTTCGATAAAAAGTCAATGGCGTTGATAGACTCCCGTATTTGACACAAATGTGGCTATTGAGCTATCGACAAAGTGTGGCGGCCGGATTGGAGCCAAAGGGTGACGCTTCTGCCGTCGCCATTGGCCCTGGGAGTTGATTTGTCCGCGCCGGCAGCTCAGAGTTTCTTTTGATGACATGGAGACAGCTCGTTTTTGGCTCTCGCCGAAACGAAAAGGCTCTTGCATTGCATTGGATTGCATGACACAAACACGAATATGGAGATGGAGAGATGGAGAGGACGAGCAAGAAGCTGTAAGCGAGGCGTAGGATTGCGGTTCCCCAAGACTCCATGGCGCCAACTTCGCCGCCTTGTGCATGCGTCTTGGTGTGTGTGTACCTGCTACAGTGTTTGATGTATTGATACTGCCGTCCACCTCTAATATTGACTTGCTCCAGTTACTGGCAGTCTCTGTGCAAGGTGCTGACTCAGGCGCTTCTTCTCTCTCTTGGCTCCAATCTCTTCACTGTTTTTCTTGTTGCTGCTCTTCGTGCCGTTGCAGCCGCCTGACCCGGTGGAATTTGATGGCCCGGCGAGATTGGAATGACAGACAGCCCAGGAACAGTGGACACGACGCTAGGCCAGGTAGATGTTATTTCCCGGGGGGCACAAAAGCTTGGCCTTGCGCGCAACGCCTGCGAGTGCCTGGAACCTCATTGAACTCCATTGAGTGGAAGCCCGCGATTCAATCTTACTCGTCGAGCCGCTGGGGGCCTGCTAGTCTCTGGTCGGTCTGGTGGCTGTCCATCCATACAGGTTCCAAGATTGCTGCTCGAGCTGCTAAAGCTCAACTGCCCGCTAGTGGGTGGCTCTGGGCGGGCTGAAGGGCTGGCCAGGGGTTCCTGGGCGGTGCTGATAGGGCCCACTTTGCAAGCACTGCACAAGTGACGTGAAAACTCCAGTCGAAGCTTCAAGGTCTGATGCAGCACGCTAATCCAAGCACAACCTTGGAAACCCCCCCAGGCAGGCCGTGATGGGCGATTTGGGACTGATCGCTAACACCACGGCGGCTGCGCTCGGCCCCCTCCAATTCCCGCGCCCCCTGCTCGAGACGAGATGCTGGGAATGGAGCCTCCTGGGGGGGCTCTTTTCGTCCAATTCCAGGCCGCCTGCCCGCTCCACTCCTGGCGTTGTCTGCTTCAGACTTAATTACCCGTTGCCGTCCTGCTCCGGCTGGCTCTGCTCTTTTTTTCTTGATTCTGCTTTCTTTGCTCGCCATCTTTGCCTGATCACTCGCTTTCTAGGCCCTTGTTTCATTTGAGTGTAAGTTTTTTTCTCCATCTTTTTATCGAGTTTCCTGTTGCGGTGTTGTGTGTTTGTGTATAGTTGCTGTCTTTGGTTGGAGATGGAGACAAGAAAAGGCGATCGATTCCTCGTATTCACACGAGATCGATCGCCTGCGCGCAGCTACCCCTGCCCCTTTTCTTTTTTCCTTCCTCTTCCTGTCTATGCTATTCAATTGTGTCCATCGTGGTCGAGCCAGCAACTCCGCAATGACAGAATCCACTCTGGTGGGCTGGCTTTACAGCGTTTGCAGCTGAGCTTGTATCAATGGCTTGCCAGCTGAGTGGTGAAGAGGCAGTGGCAATGGTTTGAGGACAGTTGAAACCGTTCGGCGGCTGTCTGTCGGACGGAATGCGCGTCTGCCAGCTGTAAACGGCTCAGTCCTTGCCTCCTGTTGTTTCATCGTCCTCATTCCTATGCTTTCCTCCCGAAACTTGGTTTCCTCCTCAACCAACATACCAGTCACATCATACTCGCTGCTTGATCGACGTAACAAAATACTGACCATCTCTTCATCCATCAGTCAAACGCTTCTTCTCGTCTCTCGTTCAGAATTTATTTTCGCGTCCTTCAAACAACTCAAAATGAAGTACTCTGTCGCTGCCGTCTCGGCCTTTGTTGCCGTCGCTCTCGCCAAGCCCGAGTTCCTCAACTCTGCCTTCCAGGTCCAGGAGGGCAAGCCCTTTACCCTCGAGTACTCTGGCTGCTCTTCTGGCTGCGAGATTGTTCTCCAGACTGGTGCTAGCACCAACCTGAAGGACGTCAAGGTTCTTGCTTGTGAGTTTTCTCTCCTCATTGAACAGGTTGCCAAACAAATTGCTAATCAACTGTGCGACAGCTTCTGCCACCGGTTCCTCCACCACCGTCACCCTGGAGGACATCCCTTCTGGCATCTACAGCTTCAAGATCACCGACAAGAGCGGCGAGAGCAACTACAGCCAGCAGTTCTCCTACCAGGGCAGCGGCAAGGCCGTCTCCAGCGCCTCATCTGCCACCAGCGCTGCTGAGTCCAACACGGCTGCTCCCACCTCCGAGACCACCACCGCTGAGCCCACCAGCACCAAGGCTTCCTCCACCAAGGAGCACTCTACCACCACGCTGGTCAAGTCAACCACTGCTCACTCCACCACCGAGGAGGCCTCGAGCACCACCGCCCACTCTTCCATTCCCCCCAAGCACAACTCCACCACGGTTGCTCCCACACACGCGGCTACAACCACCACTGGTACGTATCTTTTGACTTCTCAACAAAACCTGTTGTTTGCCTCGTACGAAGCTCGCTAACCGATGTCTCTTTGTGGTTACAGGAAGACAAACCACTGCTGCTTCTACTTCCTCAAACCCCGCCATTACCACTGTTCCTCCCGGAAGCGCCGCTGGCCGCCTCTCTTCTCCCCTCGCCCTCGTTGCCGGCGTTGCCCTCGCCATTGCCTTCTTCTCTTAATTTTGTGGATAGGAGGCATGGGGGGAGCGGGAGTCCCCTCCTTATTTTTGCGCATTAAGGATTTTTTCTCTGGTACACGGTTAAATTTAATATCTTGAGGCAAGATTACGTTGTTGTGTTGCTTTTTTCTTCATTCAGCAGGGCAGGTTGTTAGGAAATGGATGGAAGAAGGGGAGGATGACGTATTCCCGGCGTCTGTCAACTTTTTTCCTATTTTATTGACGATTGCATGGAATACTACCTACTCTTCTTTTGACGATAATGTCAGCCCCTGCATGTACTCTAGTGGTATACTAATGCATTATATCCCCCGTTTTTTCTTTACTTCTTTTTCTTTAACTTGGGGGATCTACAAGATGATGTCCTATTTTGATGTTGTGTGCAAACGTGATTTGTCTGTTGATCTATGTATGTGTACGTTTTAGTGTAAGAAGACTGGGGTGGGTTGGGAGCTCGCCGTTTCTCGTTGGATAAGATTGATACCGTCGCACACGGATTGACAGGCGGATCAATGCAGGAACTGACTTGACTGCAACGGTCTGATATCATAATAAGCTGACGCAAGGGGCCGTTTCCTTTACCCGTGTTCGGAGCGAAAATCGGGAGCATACGAGTAAGCAGGCTACGTACACGTGGTAAGACGTTTGTCGTAGCCTTAGTTCGTGTTAAGACAGCAGAGTTTGGAGATACGAAAGCTTGTTTTTAGATTGATGTCCATTTTGTGGAAATCTATCAGGGGAAAGAAGTCTTCGTAAAGATGGAAGTGCGGGCAACTTAAACTCTATATACTGGATTCGCCTAAATCTAGGTTATCTGCCATGGTGGTCTCTAGCTTCAATGCGTCAATTGATGTACCCTGCAAGGGGCTCTCTCTGCTTCATCACGTTCTGCCAAGGTATGTAGCACGCAGCCGTTGATTGTAATCAAGTATGCAGTCACTCATCCTCGTCACACTCTGTCTAATTACCACCTTTCTGTGGCTGGATGCATGGCTTGTGAGCAACATATGGATTGGGCACCCGGGCACTAATATGCATGCTCCTTGCGATAGTTGTTGCGCTCCAGCAAATTGCCGTTGCAGCGGCACGGGATTTCACGTGTGTCACAAAACGCCTCTGCGCCTGAGAGGACGGAAGCTTGCCGTTTCATGGGGTCGTAATGCATTAAGAATCAATCGCATGTAGCTTGAGCATGTATGAGGAGATTACTTGGTGTGCCATTGTATGTAGCTAGCTAGGTATAAAAGAATACTGATGCCCAATGCCTATACTTAGCACCGCTAAATAAATCTCCCGTATTTTTTTTTAAAAGCAGATATAACTTGAGGGATAATCCAAAACATGCCATCCTTGTGTATCATCAGTCGTCCTCCCATATAATACAGTTGAGAATCTTTTTTTTTTTTTCTTTTTATGATTTTCTCATGGGGCAATAAGCTGTCGTCGGTGTTCAAAGGGGTAATGACTGCAACCTAACTCAATTAATGCATAGGGTAGTGGGGAGTAGAAGGCGGTCAGGAAGAGTAATTCCGATCGTCCGAGCAATTCTTTTCTCCTTCTCCTATTCCCTTAATGGTCGTTGATCTTGATTCTCGTTGTCTTCGTTGATGTTGTCTTCGTTGATGTTATCCGCGTTGGAGCGGGCGTATGTGTGTCTCATGTTCCGGATTTCATGTGAGACAGTGTCGGCAAAGGCACGTGCCTTTGGGTTGGGATTGAAGGACTGTCAGTGAAGACAATTGTTGGCAATGGTGTCGTCTTCAGGTATGATTATCGTGCAATCCCATTGGTGCTTCGAGCAATTTCTTACTCTTTACCCAGGCTCCTCAGTTTTTCCTGAACCCAGGGGGCCATATGGGAGACCTCATGGTCGACGAAAGGCGCGTTGGCTGTGCCATAAGCAGGCTCGCCAGTCTTGTCGTCTGAAGTGCCCATGCTGGAGACACTCCTACCATCCGCAGCACCGGTAGTGTGATCCGTTGAGGCCAGACCAGGCCGGAGTGCTCGGGCGTTTAACCCCGAGGGGTCATCACGGGCACCTCCGTTGGCATCGTTGACGCCTCCGCTGCCAACGACACCATCGGTATCTGTGGTGTGTGTAGTCTGGCTGTGGCCAGCATCGGTAGCCGGTCCGCCTTTGTTTTGGACATCCTCCCTCCCTGGCTGCGAGAGAGAGAGCAAAGCAGGGTTCTCAACAGCGTTGGTCAGGCTTGCGAATGGCTTCCGGATGGCAAGGCCTTTGCCCTCGGTGTTGGGCTCTTGTGGGTTTCCGGCGGCAGCGGGAGAGAGGTCGAAGCTCTTGGGGTATGACATGATGGTAATGAAGGTGTGATTGAGCGTCAAAGCTGTCAAACGGGAGCGAGTGTGGAGAAAGGAAAGAACGAATCGTGCGTTGCAAAAGGAGTGTCGAGTGTCTGGAGACGAGATGGTTAGGTTGAGTGGTGAACTCAGGAGAGAGGAGGCGATGGGGCCAGGATTTATACTGCTCCAAAGCACCCGTGACCCTAATTGGCAAGGCGTCCAGAAAGCACGGGGCAGAAAGCAAAGAGATGAAGACGATGGCATGAGACGCGCGAGTCGACGAATGGGAACCTCGAATTCAGGTTGATGACAAGTCGTACCGGCGTGGCTCTTTGATGGCCGCGTTGCCTGGCGTACCCCGTCAGTTCCTCCCCACTCGAGCGCCGCCTGATCTTTAGCCACTGGAGCTTGCCGTTACAAGGGGGCTCTACCGGAACTGAGGAAGATGCCCCATGCGAAAGGGCTACCGCGTGTGTGCTGCTATCACAGGCTGAGCAGGTTTCTGACTGCAGCGCGCAGCAGCGAGCATTGAACGGAGCATGGAGAAAATAGTAGCAAGACGCGTTGGCGTGGGCGACTGGGTTCCGGACAGGTACCTGCTTCTAAGCTGTGCATAGGTACTTGTCACAGGTACCTTGGACGGTGAGGAGGTAGGTAGCATTGGGAAAAAAGGTTGCAAGGGTGAGGGCGGCATATGAGTATGCTGCCTCTCAAACCGCTCTGCGGAGCTGGGCTTTCGCAACAAGGCTAACAGCACTCGTCTAGTAAATATGACATTCATATGGATCTTGCCGGCAATGCGTTGTCCAAGGGGGCTATGTACCCTGGGTGGTCTGGTGCCTGATGCTGTCCCATTTCTCGCCATGTGTCGGGTGTGCTGAAAGCTCGAGATGTGGGCGATATATTATGGACGCCAAGCAGCCAGCCCCTTAGCTCATGTGATGGATGGCCGGCCCTGCAGCATCGTGAAGCCTACGGATCTTTCATCGATTTGGCTTGCCGTCCGGTGGCCGCTCGACTATGTGTCTATCTGCGCCTCAAGTAGGCTGCTGTTGCGTTCAGCTTTCTTGCTGAGTGGACAGGCACGCACGCTCACGCCCCTTGACCCTGACGCGGTGTACATCACCGGGCTGCATTGCATGGCGCAGCTCAAGGCCGATCGCAAGGTACACGCAGATCGATTTTGCTTTCTCTTGGCCTCAAACGGACCGGATGCTGGGCCTCATATTTCGCAGGTGGCTGGACTTGCGGTCAGGCTGAACGTCTAGGCAAACTGTTTATGAGCGCGATTTTACCCAGCACATGAATCCATTGATATTCATTTCGCCACCGGGCTCGGATTCTTGCAGCTTACCTTGAGGAAATTAACGGCACATGCAGTAGTCAAGGCTGCTGCGAATGATAGGACTAGGTATGTAGCTTGAGGCGGCCAGCTAATTTGCCTAGCAGTATGCATGCATCTTGCCCCAGACAGAATAGGCTATGGCCGGCCGGAGTGGTGGTGCGCGCTCCAAACACTCACGGGAATTCTAATGGTGCCCAGCTTGAATGAGTTGAGCTGCTCAGTAGAGGGCGTCGTCAATGTTGATGAGGTGTATTTCTGCTGAGGAGGCTGTTCGTCCTTCACCGCAACATACTGCAGCGCCTTGCTCCGTCACCGACCTTGTGTGTGACATCCAACTTTGGGATGAGCTTCCGCAGACGCAATAGCTCGTCTCATCTTGAAAAGCTCACCTCACCGGCTGTTTGATTCTAAAATCTCCAATTGGATCCTGCAGCTGCGTAATGTGCTCGTTTCAACTAGCGATGGCCCAAGGATGCGAGCGCAGGCACAGAATTGATACTTCCGCGAACCGCTGTACGTCTCACGCGTACCAGTACTCGTATTTGGGTGTTCAGGTACTGAGGTGCCTCTGCTATACCTACCTGTACGCAAGGGACGCTCTTTGATGTAACCCTTGGATGGCGTGAAGAAAGAAGACGCCTCGTGTGGCAGCATGAGAAAAAAAATGATAGATCCCTTGTGCTATGCAGCTGCCTCCCGCTGAATATTTTTTTTCTTTTTTCTTCTTCCCCTCCTGCATGTACCTGTGCAGCAGCCCACACGATGAGGTACTCTTGCTGGCTGCATGAACAGCTTTGGGGCATCACACCTGCTGTACTCTGCAGCCTGCCAAGCTTGTTTGAAGCCGACTGGCCGAGAGCGAGCCTCGCAGCACCGCACCTCAGTGGGCACGTGTATATTGGTGACACTCCATAACAGCCGATTTGTTCTTGTTCCTAGATTTATCCACGTCTAGAATAATCCAGGTCCAATCGGCGGTCGCTGATATGAGATACAGCGTAGTTTGGGTCTTACTGATGGCAACCGATGTTGATCTGGACCCCTCATTGGCAGATACATAGGTACATTGCACAACACCGGCGGCTGAGGGAAGGGCACGACTGCCGGGTTTGGGTTGCATGCTCGAGGATCCATGAGGGTTGCCGGCGTGTTTAGATAACATTGAATCCGAAGATCCGACAGGCTAAAGCTTCAGGACTTGGAGAGCGCAAGCAGGGCTAAGGGCCGCTTCGGGTGGTTAGCAACAAGGGCGAGCCTGGAACACGTCGAGCTCTGGCCAATTGACGCGCGTCTTGGGAACTCCAGGACTGGCATGTTCCTTGGACGAAGATCTACGCCTAATAGGCCCTGACAGGTTCGAGAATCTTCGCTAGCTAGCGTGAGGAGAGACTCCCATTCTGTCTGTCTGATTTGCTCATTGACTATTAGTTGCTAGATAGGCAAATTAACCATAGCTGTGTGTCTCACGGCTGAGGCCCGGGCCTCGTAACCGTGTCAGAGTCCGAGACGCGAGGGCGCCTCACTCGTGCGCGATCTAGACTTCACCTAGGCGAGCAAAAGTATTCATCCAAGACAAGTGGCCTTGGCATGCGAAGAAGCATGGGATGATCATCTTTTCGACTAGCCACTTTTCCCTCTAGGCCTTCAATCTGACAGAACTGAGCACTCAGCGCCTCGTGTCTCCGCAGCCCCTCGTCTAACGTGCCAGGATTTATCTGCATGTCTCGCCCTTCCATTTCCTGCTTTGTCTCAGGTACTCGTGACTCAGTTTTCCAAGGCGGCCAGAGCTTGGTCCAGAGTATTACCTGTCAGTCTATTGGCTTGGTGGTCAGCATTGCTTCGTGTCAAGTAGGTGAGTTGTGATGAGTTGCTTTCTGAGTACCCACCTCTCAAACACATCTCTGTATTTCTGCGCTGTCTCCTGGACAACGGTCTCGGGGAGCTCGACCTAGAACACATCTGTCAGCCATCACTTAGTCACATCACATGTTGGTAACACGAGTCAGGGGGTTGAATTCTGGACCCTCCCCCTCATATTCTCTCATCGGATTGTTTCCTCCCATGTAGAGATCGGGGAATAGGAGCTAGCTAAGGGAGAGAGGGACAGCCCTGCGATATGTCTTACATTAGGTTTACCCTTGAGCCCATTGCTGGTCAAGTAGTCACGGACGAACTGCTTGTCGTACGAAGGGGCTTCAGTGCCGGCCTTCCATTCGGTAGCATCCCAGAATCTTGAGCTGTCACTGGTTTTGGGAGTCAGTAGGCGTCTTTGTTTTAAAACTTGGAGTGCGCTTTTGGTCTTTCGCGCGATGACACTTGACAGGTCATAATCCTGGATCTCCCAGGAGCTCTCCGATCATTCCGGTAGGGCATGGGGTGGGCGATTGGCTGATCGACTTACGGGGTCAAGACTTCGTCGACCTATGAAACGTTAGTTCACGGTTATTTTGGGATTTATTCAGAGGCAGCCTGGCTGGGTTTGAGGTACCCGCTGCCGATGTGTGATGGGGAAGGTTGCCTTACCAGGACGACTTCATCGGTAGCCTCGTCAAGGGCAAATTCACTGTATGGAGCTATTAGCTGACAGTCCAGCAGGCAGCAAGGCGAGAAATTATGAGAAATCAGGTTTCAGGGCATGTATGCAGAGAACGGCAATCCCAAGGTGATCGGTCAGTTACACAAACCTATCCCTCAGAAACAAGGGGACCCGCAATGGAAGGATTCACGGCTGCATGAGGAGTGGCAAGGGGAGACCGGAGCGAGATGAGGGCAACTCACAATTTGGTATCGGCGACAATGATGCCGCGCTCACGGGCGTAGGCAGCGGCGGCGCTGTACACCGACAGACTGAGCTCTTGAATGCGGGCGGCATACTTCTCGCCTACGATTTTGACGGCCTGCTGGGGGGAGATGTTCTCATCTTTCTCGCCTGCAGGGGCCTTTGTGGATGGGGTGTACTATTTGTTGACTGTCAGTTTTAAGTCCTTGCTGAGCTGAAGGGCGAAGCCAAGGAAGCGGTGGCTGTTGTGATTTGTGACAACAATAGACTGGCAAGTAGAGAAGACTATTGGATGAGGAGAGCCGTAACTTACGATGGGTCCGTTGGGGAAAGCGCCGCATTTCTGTAACCCAGCAGGCTGAGGAATGCCGTGGACGGTACCATGGGCGACGCTGAACAAGGATTGTTAGCATCTCGATCAAAGAGAGCCGGGGGGTGACCGGTGACCGGTGGCGATGGCATGATGGCTGAAAGCCGAAGGTTGTGTGTTGGCCAACAGTGCTAGATGGGTGAGGTGAGATGAGGCGAGATGAGGAGAACGTACTATTCGCTCCAAGCGCTGCCGGTGATGTAGCCTCTCACAATAGCTTCCTAGAACGTCGAAACAAGAATCAGCGGTCTGCGGTTCCGTCGATAAAAATAGAGCATCTCGTGTCAAGAGATGTCACCGGCAAACTCACAATGGGAAACACCTTGAGCCGGCGGCACACCATGGTTCGACCACGGAGCAGGCCACGTTCCTCCGGCGTCAAGGGAGCTGAGCTCGGCGCCGACAGGGATAGCAGGTGGTGTTTCAGGCCGGGCACTCTCTTCTCGAGCACGGAGAACCAATGGGCGGAAATCTGGGTCAAGATGAGGCCCTTGCCGGGGACGCCATTGGAGAGGACGACGTCGTAGGCCGAGATGCGATCGGTGGCAGTGAAGAGCAGGGACTTGTCGTCGAGGCCGAAGAGGTCGCGGACCTTGCCTGTGGAGAGCTTCTCCAGGGACTGCAGGGAGATGGAGGTGATGGCTTCGGAGGACGACATGGCGGGCTGTTTTGTTTGAGATCCTACCCTGATGCTGATGCCCTGTTATTGATCCCTTTTTGCTGGTTTTGTTTATATCCAAAAGGTTGCGTGTAGTTGATGAGTGGATAGGTGAGTGACTAAGATCTAAGTTTCAACACTGAGATGAAATTTTGCATGTGGGGGCCGTGATCTACTAGCCCGCCGATTTGTGACGAACAAAATACGCTCATTCGGCTGGCCGTTTGTAGGCGAGAGCTATTTTTGGGCGGCTGAATCTTATTCGCAGGGGGCAGAAAGGTAGATGAAAGGGTAAAAGATTTAGACCACAAATGTGTAAGTTGGAGAATGATAACATCAGATGTAACACAATGGAGATGAGCTTCCATTTGCTTGAAGCTCTCAGTCATGAGCTCTGGTGGATCCAGTCTTCGGCCGTATGCGGAGGCTTTCCGTTTCGGCGCCCCGCTTCATATGCCGTGACTGTGAGACGGATTTGAGTGTTCAATGGAGTTGACTTTGCTTGATGCTGCGAAGTGCCGATGGTGCTACATTACACCAATGCATGCGAGATCTCATTCATCATGGGAATCTTCACGAGGCGTGAGACTGAGCCTATGGCATAAATGATGTCATAAGTATTACATGGATATCATCCGATGGATTCACTCGTACGAACCATCATAATATGCATATACACACTATGCATGTAATAGCGCACTTCTTTATAATTTTGAGATCAATTTTATAGCTTCACTAGCTTAATATCTCAATTGAGAGCTATTTCGTGCAGCGGTGGCGGCTGGCGCTTCGGGAAAGTTGCCTCCCATGCGCTCTGAGCCTGAATCAGCAAACCTTCCTGGTGTGCTTTGGCCGCAATTTGCATGCCAAAGGGCCGCCCGTTGAACTCAAGATAACCAAGAGGCACCGTCGCAACTGGGTAACCTAAAGTCCATTTGTTAGATTGACAATTATAGTCTTTCGAGGTTGCTTTCGGCTATTCACCTGCTGTGAGGGCAATGCCAAACATTGGGCCATCTCCGGGTCCAATGATGATGTCGATATCGTTCTCCTCGAGTGTCTTATCAATTCCCTTCTTACCACAGAGTTCGCGAGCGCTGTTCATAATTTCATTATACTCATCATCGGACATCTTTGCCTGCACGGCTCTGAGAAGAGCTGCTTGATTATCCGCACCTGCGTAATTGATCAGACTCTGGGATCATTTCATCTATACACGCGTGTATGTAGGTACGTATAGACTCACCTGGGGGGAGTTCCTTGTCTGCATGAGTTTTATTAAACTCGATGAGATCTTCAAGTGAATGTATTTTGCTGTTGTCAACTCCCGAGAGATATTCTTTTATGAGATCCTTGAACGTTGTGTCTAAGTGACAGTCAATGACAAATTCTGAGGCATGTTATTTAGTGTAAGATTACCGAAGGCGTTCCATATTTTAATCTTTCCATTGTCGGTCGATTCTTCTAGTGATATCAGAGTCACAGGTTTCACAACTTTGGCTACAGATTTCAGTTTCTCGTAAGCCTGCTTCCACTCTCGTAGCTGGCAATGATGTTAGCCATGGAAGCACGATTAGCGTGACGGGACCATACCATTTGATCTGTCGCCTGCTTCTCATATTTGACGAGTTTCGTATCAAACAGCCATTTTTCAGGTTCCAAGATGCCGATCCGGATGTTGTCCCATGAACCAGTCGCAGCGCTCTTGTACCCACCTTCCGGTATCGTCGGCTTGCTCGGATCTACAAGGATTTGAAGGAGATTTGCGAGGTCCAAGGCCGATTTAGCCATTGGACCGGCGGAGTCTAGCTCGAGAGTGATGGGAATGATGCCAGTTTGCGACACAATCTTTACGGTAGGCTTGATCGTATACAATGCGGACCTATCGCTGGGCATGATGAGGGAACCCATGGTATCGGCTCCGACGGCAATGGGCGAAAATCCAGCAGCGACTGCAACAGCAGAACCGGTGGAGGAACCTCCAGGGCTCTAGCTACTCGTTAGACCTGCACCATCCCGAAATATTCTTGGGGTGATAGTTACGCTGTGGCCGCCAATGGAATCGTCCTCGCGAAGGCCACCCCGGACATATGCAGACTGCGTCTGGCCACCCACAGCAGACCACCCCAAACTCGCCATATTCGACCTTTATGAGGAATGAGCGGCATTCTTTTGTACGGAAAGGCAGACAGACCTATACCAAGACCACTCCTAGGACAAGTTAGGAAAGGTTGCCAGCACACCTGCATCGCGATGACTCACAGATAAGTTTGCTTTGCCAATGATGATGACGCCCGCATCTATGAGCTTTGAGGATGTCAGGTCTCTTCTCTTGAGATTTTGTTGATCCTTATTACCTGGTCAACAATTTCTGCATTCTTTCTCGGTCGGGAGCCGACAAGCGCAAGACTGCCGCCGGTAGTGGGCAATCCCAGCTCCAGGACGGTGGCGATGTTGTCCTGGAAGGATCGAACGTGTAAGAATGAGATCTATCTTGGAAATGTAGATATTAGGATGAGAATTGAGTATGGGTACCTTGAGAAGGATGGGAATGCCATGTAGTGGCCCGCGGACGTTGCCCGCGGCTCGTTCGGCATCAAGTCTAGCTGCTGTCTCGCCCAGAAGTTCTTCCGGCGCAACAGCGATGACGGCTTTTAGATATCCGTTATATTTGGCTATTTGGCTGAGGTAGAGCTTAACTAGTTGCCTGCTGGTGATTGAATTGCCATTGAGCTTGGCTTCTAGCTCAGATGCGGTGACGGTAAGAACGTTGATGTCGGCCATGATCAGCGAAGATGAGGCAACACGTGGATGTAAAGATGAGAAAATTGCCAGGCGAAGAGTACGTGAAATGAGAGATGATATTTTCTGCCAGCTTGTCGCATATTAAGGTGCGGAGCATGAAGGATTCGACCACAAGGAGTGTGTTGGCCAACTGACTCATAATTGCATTTGGTATGCAGTCTCTCCAGTCATTCAGACTCTTCAACATGCGGCTACTTGTACAGTATACTCTTGTAGAGGCAATTGTGGACCATTTTGTCTTGTCATCAATGTCACGAGATTCGACTTTTACAGACCTGTAAATGCAGTCAAATACATCACTTGGTATGCGAGTCGAGGTAGGGTGTTGCAAACTTACACTTAATTGCGGCAATGGATGCGAAAGAGTTTGGTCATAATGCTATACCGGCTCGTCCTTCGGCTTTCAGAAGATTGCTGGATAGCTAAGCGTTCTATAAAGGGGAAAGCCGACTTCGATAAAGCATCTCGGCAGATGCCACGTAAGTGAACAAGTGTATGAGCAGGGGAGACAGCACCAATAACTGCGTATAGCTGCGTATTACGCGGAAGATCCTCCCATCGTTTACGCTGAACAAAGTCCAAACTTCTACAGGCAGCGATACATCTGCATTTATGTCTCATAACTTCGTCTCCGTCGGTCTACTCACTTGTCTAACAGTGCCCAGAATTCGCTTATACTAGTGCAACAATAATTGAGGCAATTAGATGTCTTCAACATTGAAGCTCATCCAGGTATCTTTCATGCGGACTTGGTCCTCCAACATTCTCAATATGAACTATTTAGTCAGAAATCAGTCATCGGGTAACGGCATTTGTGTCATGTTCAAGCACTCCGAACCCCATGTTTGTCGCCTATCTGTATATTACGACGTCTACCTGGAGCCTGTCCGGTGTTCAGCTGCGGACTTGGGTGCGGATCGGATCAGGATAGATATTAGGCACTTGTATAGGCGAGCGGAGTTTCAAGGGCTATGTACATGGCTTAACCAATGGAGTTGTTCGGCATTCGATCGTTAGATCTTGATGAGGTGGAAATGATTTGCAATCATGTGGGGCGGACGTTTATTCCATCTCCTTGATTACAAAGTCCGGAATCCTTCGACTGAGAATACATGTATTCAATCACCAATAGCAGACCACTATCATTGCCTATTCCGTTGCTAGTGTATCTGTATTCGCCTAGTTGATTCACATGTTTGACTAGCACCTGGTGAACCAAGACCCTTGGATCTCTGTGTAAGTAGATCATACAGTGCAGGGCGTCGCGTCGACATAGCCTCATTTCTACATCATGTACGCCAGCCTAAAATTGAGGATCGGTTTCGAAAATGTCATTCGCGGTGTATAAAAAGGCTATGGATTTGCTCCACCAAACCATCATATAGACGCTCATCTATTGTTTATAAGATTTTGTTGCTCTCATACTATCATAATCCGACTTTGTCCTCTTAGACTGTGCGATGGGCCAACCTCCTATTCCACCCACTCCCAGTGAGGTCAATGTCAGTGGTAAAACGGTCATCATCACCGGTGGCAATGCTGGTTTGGGGTACGAGGCTGCCAGACAATACCTTACACTGGGTGCCTCTCGCGTAATTCTGGCATGTCGTTCTATTGCTCGAGGAAAAGACGCCGTAGCATCCCTCCGAGCTGACCCTACCGTCAAAACGCCCAATCCCGACGCCTTGATCGAAGTGTTCGAACTCGACCTCGACGACTACCAATCTGGACTCCGATTTGCTAAGAAGGTGAAGGATGAGGTCAAGGAACTTGATATCCTCTTGAACAATGGTGGACAGGTCTTTTTAGGATATGAGAAAAGCAAGAGTAACCATGAGCGGAACATGCAAGGTGAGAGAGAAAAAGGAGATATGACCCGACGGCTGTACAGAACTGAGAAAATGCTGATTATTTTTCCATTGATTTAAGTGAACTGCTACACCCACCTTCTCATTTGTCTTGAGCTGTTCCCGCTCTTGCGATCTACCGCCGCGGTTAGAGGATTGCCTTCTCGTATCACATTTACGGGCTCTGCCACCCAGATTAAGCAAAATACTCTATCCAAAAAACCTATAGCGCCTGACAGCTCGGTACTCAGCCACTTTGATGATGAAGCTACTTTTAGCAAATTCTTTCGTTATGCTGATACCAAAACTGTTGTCAATGCCTATGTTCGCCGCCTGGCTGCATTGGCGCCCTCCGAAGTCATCGTCAACAACCCATGTCCTGGCCTTGTGCAAACGGGGCTGGATAAAAATCTTCCATTCTACCTGAGGATTCCAATGGGGCTCGTACGCAAGTCTATGGCTCGTACAGTGGAAGAGGGAGCGCGAACGTTGATCTTCGCAAGCGTCGTTGCGGGACCTGAAACTAATGGCAAGTTTTTGCAACATAACAAAGTTGACCCGTACGTGCACTCGAAAATGTTTACCAGACCATTATAACATACACTGACAGCAATCAATAGAGGTGCTGCTTTTCTCAATACTCCTGAGGGAGAAGAGTTTATTGGAAAATTATGGAGGGAGTCGGTGGAAGACGTTGCCGCCTTGGATCTCGCACTTAGTGTTTACGCCTAAATTTATGCTTTCCATGGTCTCGCCATTCCTGTGTCAATAAGATCCAGAGCAGTTCATTATATATAAATGATTTACATTTAGGGACATTTTTATAAGCACCTATTTCTATATAACGAGTACTTATTCAAAGTAGAATTGTGTACAAGAAAGTACATAATGTCCACTGGGATTTTTTCTCGAAAGTTCGTTTGACAATTACCATAGCTAGATCCTGAGCCCGCCTTTTCCAACCAATCAGAGTTAGCTTCGCTGGCATCAGCATGTACCTGATTAATATTTTCAGCAGCGAAAACTCCAAGCCTACGCAAAGATGGCCATGAGCTTTTCGTTAACATAACGATTGCATACGCAGAGTGCCTGCCAGTGAAAATTCAGGCCGCCAGCATCTGCAGTACAGCGAAAATCCTGGGGTTCTCATAACATTGAAACATTTGGTGCTTGGTCCATAACGCGAAATTGTCAACGATGCACTACATCCGCCTTCTCGCACCGCCAAAGTTGGCCATCAGCGGCTCCAAGGCTCGACTAGACCTCGTCATCACAATAAATACGGACCTGAGCGACTCGCTCCTGTTTGTGCAAGATTCCCTCGAGATAATCATTACGGCTGAAGTGGCGTCCTCCGCTGGCAAGACGACATGGGCTCTCACTGGACGTGGTGAGCTGGTCTGGAAGCCAGGCATGAGAATTCTCAAGCCAAGTCTCAATCTTCCCTTACAGTTTATAAAGACGCTGGCGGCCTCTTCCAAGACCGAAATATGTATTAGTGCTAAACCAGCACTTTCAGCAACGGGGGTGCAGAGCATACTCATGGATTCTATCAACTCTGCCCAGGACGAAGTTGGGGGGCTAATCATGCCTGTATGGGCAGAAATACGCCCCAAAGGACATAACGACGACCATATTTGTACACGGAGACTATATTTCAGCGGCCAAAATGAAGGAGGAGAGTTTCTCGAGATAGAGGAAGAGCTGGGTGAGAGTATGGCTCGCCACGTCTGGGACGGAGGACTGGTTACGCTTTGCGCTGTCGCTGGCATTCCCGCAGGCAAAAATTACGCCTCAAATCAAGAGGTGACCATGACCGCCATGCGAGACATATTGTGCACTGCCGGCGAATTGAACATTCTGGAGCTTGGTTGCGGTGTCGGCACGTTAGGCATTGGTCTCTTCGCTGCGCTCCGACATATGCGACCGGCTGGGTCTGGAGGTTGTACCGTCTTGCTGACCGACTTGGAAGACGCAGAGGCCCGGGCAAGCCGTAATATTTCTCGCCTGCAAGAGAATGCGCACACGAATGGAGAAGACACTGCCCAACTGCTGTATGAGAACCTGGACTGGGAGAACGGCAGGGAAGGCCGCTTCGGGCCGCAAGTCCAAGCCCGACGTTGGGATCTAATCGTGTTAAGTGACTGCACTTACAACGAAGATGGGCTTCTCTCCTTGGTTGAAACACTGTCAGCCTTACACTCTTTTAACGTAAACAAGGCCACGGGAGAGTCATCATTTACGACCAAGGTCTTTGTTGGGACGAAACCCCGGCACTCTTCTGAGAATGCGGTATTTGGACTTCTTGATCAAGCGGGCTGGAAAATGCAGGCGAAGCAAGTATTGCCACTCCCTGTCCTAGGATCGGAGGCACAAACAGTCGAAATGTACCTGTTTGAGAAGTCATGATGGGTGTCTGCGAATTTGGGTAGCTACCGCTTGAGAATTTTTGAGCTACAATTAGGGTCAACCAGACTGCATAGCTGGATCAGACAGAGCCGCCGTCCAGGTTACAAGACCAAGCCCAGGTTCATATTCGACAGCAGTCCTGATGATGCACCCGATATTACGTCGACCTACGGCTCGGAAACCATGTTGCGGAAGATCCTCGAGAACCCAGATTTTAGATGCGACCAATATCTCACGAATACAGCCATGAGTGCTGCAGATCAGATTCTCCAATGGGGTGATCTGTCTAGGCTGAAGCTATTCCTTGAGAGTACAAGGCCAACATCTCCAGGCCTTTGGGTCTCTTCAACTAATCATAAAGCGATGGTCTAATAGTCCCTCTGATAATACCGTGAGAGCTGGGATGTGGTATTTGACCTCATCGATCATATGCTAGATATCATGGGTGGGGACCGATGAGACAATAAGTTTCTATGCATGGCTGCGAGCAGGAACTGCGTACCGTTATCCGCCGATTGACAGATAGAGCTCAAGAAATGGCGGAGCTTGAGGCCGAGTTATTGGACGGACCCAAACCTCAGCCACAACTGATGGCGAGAGTGTCTGCACAAACCACATTGGAATTGTAGAGTGACAGCCGAAGAATAAAAATATTAAGGACTGAGCTGTTGTGTGAAGGACAGTCCCAGCACACTTGACTCTTGCTTACCTTGTTTGTTCTTGTGGCTTTATTAAAATTGTGATGTGCACACCGACCTGGGTTCACTGGCTGATAGATGTGACCTTAAGTTCTGAGGAATATGTCGATGTTTGGTGTCTGCTGTAAGCTCTGTCTGTTAGGACTCGGCCCTATACCACCAACTACATGTACATAACCCTGATTCACTCAATCCACGCCAATCCCGTGTTAAACTAACATTCTCGGTCACCCAACACGACAACCCATCCAAGCTCTCTCATCATATCCATTACAGAAGAGGCCAAAGCTCCAACGTAGACTCTGACAATGACCTGCTTCAACGAAGAAATAGCTTTTAGCTGCTCATCAACTCGCAGCAATGCCTCTCGAATGAACAGCTCGATTGTCCTCGCATGGCTCGGTCAAGAAACTGGAATTATTGCCGTGAATGAAAGTTTCCAGTGTCGTTAGGTTAGCGCATCTTTTTTGAAGAAGTCGTAAGCTCTGCTGGCTATCTTCCCGGAGTTCGACCTCACAGGATTGACCTTTTCTTTTCTCCACGACTGGGAAATTGATACATAAATGAGTGAGTAAATTTGTATTCACAGGTCCGATGCGGTCCAAGAAGGATTGAAGGAGGCCAACTTGTTGCTGCGTTGTATCTACCAAAGTAAAGCGATTCATACCGTATAGCACTGCACACGCCTCACGGTATATCTGTCCATTGCTATGTAGTAAGGCGAGCCAGCGAATGGGTATATCGGGCGCAAATGTCTCTACTCGAGATCCATTGTCTTGAAAAAGATAGATTGGGTGCCCCATCACCAGCATTCGCTTGTATATATCGAAGCGAACCCTTTCGGGCAAATCTGAGAACCCCATCATACCAAAGACCGGTGGCTATGAGCCACGCCGGGTGTCGAGCCCGCTCGGGGTGATGGTAAGGTGTTTTCGAAGGGGAAGACAAATGAGTTGAGATGTGAGCCTTCGTATCTTCGGAGCCCGTAGGTCGGCCTTTTATTATTGAGGTAGGATATTATTCTCAGACACTCGGCGGGGCGTATCGAACGTCAACCCTTTGAAATACGTCCGGGGTAGTGGTTAGCCGATCTTGGGCGGGTGGGCGTCTCAGGGCATGGCGAGGCTGTGAGGAGTTATGATATGGTCTTCGTATGTAGGACATGTCGCAATATATTTGTCTACATACCGATTGTGATGAGCCTCTAAGCGTAGCTTAGAAGAAGGATAGAGAACAAGTTAAGATATCTTTGGCCTGCTGATGGCGTTTGAGGAGAGAAAAATTGTACTCGTATGCATAGGATCCGTGCTTCGTGTTGGGTGGATTGTGAGCTAGCCAAGAGGAATGCTTATAACCTAACAATACTAATGCGACATTCTACCAACGCCAGTGCTGTACTTTGTACAATTAAAAGTAAAAAGGCTACGAATACCTCTCCGTCTCCCATTTAAAAGGGAATATTGAAATGAATGGGCTTTTGCACTTGTAAGGAGGATAGTGAGACTGTATCTACTGGTTACATGGAAGTAGAGCACCAGATGTGCCTGTGCCGAAATTTTCTGTTGCTGCCTCAGGTCCCGCATTTGGCACTTCTGTTGGAAATTATGACGTGGATTTCATTATGCCTATCTTTGTGAGATCTTCTCGAGCAATTTACTCTGTGCCATATAATAGTCGCTTAAATTTACAAGACATAGTATTTCGGCCGTTCCTCTAAAAGTTTGCTCCACCGCACTGGATTGACCGGGCATTGTGGAACCAGTAAGCCGGGAAATCGGCCTTTCTTGACTCATACCACTGGCGAATATCTGCCAGGCCGGAGGGGAAGATAGTCTGGGATCGGAAGTTGCCAACATCATCCTGGCAGTCGCCGGGCTTGACGGTAAATGTGCAGACAACGTCTGAGAACTGTGTTAGCAATGAACATTGTAGGCTTTCCGATATGAAACTTACTATCTGGCAACCAAATTGATCCAATCGTGTCCCATCCAATGGCCTTGCACTCATTAACGGTGTTGTAAGTCAGGCTCTGGCTTGGGCCGGTATAGTTACTTTTACAAGTCAGCAACTGTTCGGCAGACCAGTATTACTGAAATGAACTTACGGGCCAGCCCAGATCCAGATAGTGTTTGGCGCACGACGAGCGAGCTATATGTACTGTTTAGTAAAGGATAGTATGAGATGTTGTGCAATATTACAAACCTCTGGGATGGGTGGCTCGATTTGGCCTGTAGGTGTGCAGCTGCCAATCTGAGCAAGAGCTGCAATAGAGAGCAAGACGATGTTCTTGATGCCCATCATGGTCGTAGATTGGTTGGGTACTGGAACAAAGTGTTGAAGAGGAATGAGTTGCAGAGAGTTGTAGTGAAGAGGAACTAAGCCAGTCGACTATTGAAGGCAGCTAAGAGCTGACTTATATACACTTCCTAACTGACGTGAAGAATGCAAGTACTAATACGAATCTCAACATATTACCTCATGCTCGAAAGGCTTTGGTATGATACGAGTACTGGAAGGTATTGTGAAGATTCTATTGGAGCAACTAAGAAAATCCAGGGCAGGGGGCCGTGAAGCTAATGTCGGTTGGCTGCCAGCAATATTTCGAGGCGGTGAAAATCCGTCCATAGGCGTTGACTATGGTAGAATTGCAGACAGTTGAAAGACAGAGTTAGCCTCGACATAGGTCTTACGTCAGAATAAAGAAGGGGAAATGGAGCCGTATTTAATTTACAGCGGATGAGCTGAACGAGTAGGATCCGGTTGAGGTCTTAGTGAAGGATCGCTAGATCGCTAACGGAATACGATGGCCTAGAATCTTAGAGCATATGATTTGCCCACGGAACTCCGCGGGCATGTGAGTGGGCTAAGCTAAATATAAGCCTAAACAAAATCCCGACAATCAGCAGGGTTATCTCTAAGACGAATGCATTTGCCGAGTCTCTGCTGAGAAAAGTTCCGACAAGAACAGACATGCTTCGTATTTGTACCCCTGAGTTTCTGTAATTTTTAGTCAGCCAGGATTGAGTTGATTGGGCTTAATCCCTAGCGGTGATGGCACTAGAGCCAAGCTGACTGCAGCCACGTATTACCGTATACGGAAATATCACACCACACAGCCGCTCAACTCAGCTCTCTGCAACACAACACGATCATGATCTGGCATAAGGGAAAAAAAAAACAAAAAACATACAACAGCCGGTGTTCGCTGATGGTCACCCACTCAACTACTAATCTGTCTCTCATTAGCTTGACTCTGGGAGAGCGGACGGGATCCCGTATTTTCTAATGGATATGGTCGTATGTGCCAGGACTTCGACAACTCGGACTTAAATTCCAGCTCCCAACACAGCAGCCAAAACTTCAAAAAATTTACAAAAACATACAACAGCCGGTGTTCGCTAATGGTCACCCACTTAACTACTAATCTGCCGGTTAGTGGCTTGTCTATGAGGTGGAAACAGGATCCCGTATATTTTAATAAATATAGTTATATATACTTGGTCTTAGAGATGATTACATGTAGCCTTAGGCTATGGTTCAGTCCCAAATCTGAATTTCAAGCTGTAAGGTTCGGAAACCCCATCCTCACTTTGGAAACCCCATCCACACCCAATACAGCTGGTCTCGCCCAAAACGCAGTGTCCGCCGCGCGAGAATCCGCTCTTGCAGGGTCCAGCCTCTCACACTTGTCGGGTGGCCACCCGAATCTCGTATAGGGATCCCATCTCGATCTGCGTGGCAGTAGCTGCGAATACCTGGTGGTGGTCTCCGTTCCCGTCTTGAAAGTCCAGCGGAACGACTCCTTGGTGTAGCTCTCGTAAACCAAGGCAGCCTTCAGAAGTATCGCGTCCTCCTTTCCCCCGGGGCTGAAATATTGATCAATGCATTAGAGTAGACACACGCAATGACCTGTGCTTCTCACTCCCAGTCTTCAACGTCGTCTTGAATAATACACGGAGCATCGACCCAAAGGTAGCGGAGACCGAGATGAATCGAGATTGAATGACCGTGAGCCAGCACTTGAAAGATTGCGTCTAATGAAACGAAAGAAGAAGAGAAAGTATAAGAACACCATGCAAACCATACAAACACCGTTGTTCGCCAGTGGTCTCTCCTTGAGGTCATTAGTAGATGACGGCCGTCAACTTGAAGCTGTCTGCTCTTCTGCACATTCGCTCACCGTGCCTGGTCTTGAGCTCTGTCCTCCGCCAACCGCTCGAGACCCTTCGCTTTCCGGTTTCCAATCACCGCCTTTTCGTGTAGTGTCAGTGGCATTTGTGGCAACGGCGCGCGCGCAATCGCCTCGAATACGGGCACCCACGTTGGGGTATCCTTAGATTCTCGCCGTACATCGCTTACAGCAATCATAAGTAGAATCCTAAGCACAAAATGCGCATCATTACCAGCGACGTGAAGCATTCCGCTTGTGACGGGGATGCCGAAGACTTGTAGGAGTAGCTTGAGGCTATAATTGCGAGAATCCTGGAGGGGATAGTGAGCAGCCTTTGTTGTATCAATTATGAAAATTGGCTTAAGATTAATGTTAAGATCTTGAAGAAGTTTTTTTTCCGTAGAGATTCCGTGGGCGATAAGGATCACTGGATGATGTGGCTTAAGAAGCTTCTCCAGATTCTCCTTTAGGCTGGCGAGCGGAATGCATTTATGTTTACCAAAGCAAAAGCGATTATCTTTTGTGCAAAAATAAGTGGGATCTTGAGTAACCCAGTGATATGATCGTATAACTTTTGCTTGCGATTCTGTCCATGGTAAAGAAGTGTGGCAGAGACTATGCAGATCCTTGGTGTGTAGGATAGAGATACCAATGTGGAATTGTACCGGCAGACCGTGTTGCTCTTTAAGCTCGTCAATGTCGATACCTACAAGAGTTACGTCTCTGAATTGTGTCTTTGGCTTCTTTGGCCGCCAGGTAGAAATAGTGTGTGGCCAGCGCGGAGCCATTCCCGGTTGGACGCGCACTTCGCGCCTGGACCCATCGAAGGCGTCCAAAGACAATTGACTCGCAAATGATTCACGATGAAAGCGATTAAAGGGGCTACAGGCTGTTTTTAATAGTCTACCTCATAACGGATGTACAACAGAATTAAACGATTATATTGCAGCAGCAATAGCTCTATTTCCATCGGGTGGAGAACTTGTACGAGCCAGTTTGAAGCGGTGGGCAATAAAGGTGAAGATAGCGAAGAATGTAAATGGGATCAGGAGATATCTGGGTAAAGCGGTCTTCATCAACAGGGTCATGATCAATTTAGACTATGGGCTTTCCAGCAGCCAAGCAATAAGCATTGTAAAATCAGCCAGCTTAGAACAACTTGCTGATTGATATTATCGACAATGGCTTCGGAAGCCTCTCTTTCTTCCAACGCATCGAGTCATTGTTTTGCACTTACTCGATACCTCTTTGCAAGTCGAGCATCGGCCGAAACCGCATGCAACCCTAGAAACCGTCGTCGTCCGAGTACTCGCAGCCACTCTCCTAAACAGAACTTTATGATCAACGTCTTCGACATTTCACCCATCATGGCTGCGGAATCGATGCACTTCACGAGCGGCATACTGTCCCTCGCGTACTCTGGTCGTGTTAGTCTGATGGGCGGCACTGCGGGCGTAATAGCCATCACGTACGGCGCCATCATGTGTAATAACCTGAAGCTGCAGGGCGAACTCGTGTACGTGTGCAAGGTCGTGGGAATGCTTATCAAGAGGGTGAATGGAGGCCATGTGGAACCGGAGAAGCAGATTGGGGCTCTTGTCTAGGGTAAATTTTAGGCTGGAGCAATGGGACGAGGCGTTTAAAGCTGCGCAGAAGAGTGTGAGTCCGGGACAGTAACTTACTATTGCTCCGTGAGGATATCATTAGATAGATCAAAAATTGTGAAGGCTAATATTTTACCGTAAATCTGACTATACAAACAGTAAAAAGGCTTCTATGTTTTGTACATATTGTTGAATGCTCCGTGGCGTAGCACTCGCTCCCTCAGTGCCACGATGGATCGATTCATGGCCTGCCACCATTGCGTACCTTTTTCATCCAAACAGAAGCATGCGACTCTGAATTTAAAGACTTGGGATGCAAAAAAATGAAGACATCTAACTTGAGAGAAGAGCTTGATGAGACCCCGAATTCTCCACTACCTATGGTCGTATGTGCTTGGACGAGGCGCTGGGAGTTCTCATATCGCCGATACTTCTGAAACCGGTGTGCGCCACGGTCATCCAACTGACTACTAATCTATCTCTTATTAGCTTGACTCTGGAAGAACAGACAGGATCACGTATTCTCTCCATGGCAGATATACCTAGTTTGAGGCTATATTTTGGTTGCTATATGGGACTATCATGGCGCCTAGATAGAAGGCTTCAATAAATCTCAGTACAACAGTCCACTAGCCAAACCGCTCTAGTTACCGCAGGGAAGACCCTCTATATGTTAGCTTATCTGACTTAAGAGCCGTTTGTAGCTGACAGCCGATAAGCTGGATTAAAAACCCTCAGCCCGGTATACTCCCTAGCACACTTACTATAGTAGTATGTGTGTAGCGACCTCAGCAATATCCACTCTTCCCACCGCACTTCGTTCACAATATAATAATAAGGCATTTAGAATATACAATTAATGTTTTAGTCCGTGGGCAGAGTGTGAAATATGGAGAATTAAATTAGCGTTAAAGGATGTTATTACTATCGGCCCTTTATTATATATAGCTTTTTTTCACAGGCATTCCGTACCTGAAGGCGAGTCGCAGGACTGTATTTTCGACCCTAATAAGTCCGAGAGATACAATAATATTGAATTCAAGTGGGTTCTAGGTGTTCCTATTATCGCCGGAATATCTCATGGCCTAAATAATCCTCACAGACTATACTCAAGCTGAGGATAGATTGGTTATACACTTTCCAGGGCAAAGATTTGGGATCAGCTGCACTATCAAGAGACGAAATGAAATCCCGCAACCTCTCGTTGAGCGGCAATCTCTCATTCGTCCAGGCGGCAGTATCCCTGTAGCGAATAGAGTATTGGATTCCCAAAGGCTGCATAACCTCTTTCTCAATCCGCTTGAGGCGAGAGGCTCCCCAATCGTTTAAAAATCTCGGCCAGGGACCCCTGAAAAACTGCTCAATAATTCTTCTGAACTTGACGGGATCCCTCGTAAAGGACTCGTCAAGAGATGTGCGACTGAAAATACCGACCGATCCCTAACGAAACAATAGTTAGAAAACCAATACTATTCTCAAATGACTACCCCAGCCAATCTTACCGTTGAGGGTCGGCCACCACGACTTGGTCGATCGGCTGTGACTGGTGGTTGGTTGGTAGAGATAGGTGCTCGCGCCGACAAGCCCTTTATCAGCTTCTCAATATCGGCGATCTGGCCGTCCAATTTCTTAACTTCTTCTTGAAGAAGTTGTGGTTCCGACTGACTGCGAGGGGTGGCAGGGGGAGTCACCGGTTGCTTCGATCGTGGAGAGCCAGCAAGATCTGTATGTTGACCGTTAGTATTCATTGTTATCTTTCATTGTCAATAGCACGTATTCTACAAGGCCTAACTAACCAGTAGCCTTTAGGTTTTGAATACGATGATTCAATTGGACAACCTGAGCGATCAGATCACTAAGATCAGGGCCTGATTGCTGATGGGCTGGTGGAGGGAAGTAGGAAGGCGACTGCTGAGCAGCAGGAATGGCAGTAAGAGGAGACGGCTGCAAACTGGGAGCAACTACAGCAGGAGAGCCATGGCTTTCGCCGCCTGATAACATCAGTACGCCACGAACAGATTACTTGAAGACCACACCGGGTAGAGACTCACTCTGTCTCAGCACGTCCTGTGCCGACGGACTGGATGTGAGTTCCTGTGCCGGAATATGCTGGAACAGTTCTTTTGCACAGGCTGCTGCAGTTGCTGCTGCGTACCGCTGCCACGTATCGTTCTTGTGCGAGTCCGCATAGTCACATATGCCCCGTATGACCAAGCAGGGAAACGTGTTCATGAGTCCGGCGGCCTCCATCTCAAAGCAAATACAGTCCTCTCCCGTCTGTAGCGCAAGCACTTTCCTAGTACTAGCATCTTTAACGAGTGTATTCCCTGATGCGATAACTCCATAATGGATCTTGGGATTTTCGGAAACCCTGGGGTTACGTGGTTTTACCTTGTTCAGGTCACAGGTGGAGGCGCAGTCACCATCTCCAATGTGTCCACAAGAGTCCTCAAACAGCCGGTCATTATGAGCCTCCTGATAGACGTAGGCCTCGCGCATACCAGGGTTACGTTTGAGCATGGCTCGGAGGAATTCAGGGATACGGGTGATCCCCCGCATCTCGTGCTGTTTTTTCAGAGCAGACACTGCGTTAAGAAGCACCGTGGGAGGTCTGTTTAGCATGCCCATACGCTTGAGCGTCCCCCCTTGGAGAACGTCGACAACATTCTGGATAGCTTTGACGAAGTCATATTGCACAACGCCACCGCTGGTTCCTTTGGGCTCACTGACGACGACGTCGCCAAGTCGAATATCCCTGTCTTGGCGGGGGACGCCAGCTCCAATACCGACCATGAGCCCAAATCGGACCTCAGGAAAGGACATCAGTAATGTTGTAGCAACATTTGACGCCGATGTAGTTCCGTATTCTCCAGCAGGAAGCGATGCTATGACCACGTTGTGGACATCGATATTGCCCCATGTATATACGTTGGTGTCTTGGCGAGGTTGAATAAAGTCGAAAGGCTTCTTGTGTTCATCGTCGAGCATAGCGGTTGCCGCCGCTGCCTCCAGGGGAAGGGCGCAAATCCATCCGATGGTGTATTCTTTGAAGCTTTTTGTAATTGAAGGCAGACTCGCCATGGTGGCCGTCGTTGGAGATATTCTTCGTGTAGAAGTGAATTATGTGTGTGGCTGTTTGCCTTGTCCACAAATTGAAGTTGAAATGGCTTATCCTGAGGGAAGAGCTGCCGGGAGAAGAGCTACTCTGAGAAAAGAGAGCTAGTATTCCTCATTACACGAGGCAATACCCGGAACACGGTGTGAATCTTTGGGGAAGATATACCAAGGGCTTTTCCAATCTCGGACAGCTGATGTAATATGAGGCTCTTCTCATTACGCATGCATTGAATATCGCTGGTGGACACGCATGAGCACCTCGTGATGCCCACACGTGCCAAATCCTGCTGCATATTGATGGAAGTTTGTTGGCACGCAACGCCCAATTTCGCCTGCAAGACATACCGGTTTAACCACTTCGTCCTTTGGGTTCCCGACTCCTTGTTGGCATGAATATCATCGAGGGCTCTAATCTCGCCACGTCATGTACGTATGGGTTGTCCCGCACTCACTGTTGGAAAAGCGGGACATGAGTCCCAATCGCCTTCGCTCATGCTCCACGAAGCAGTTGTTGGGCTGGTTGGGCGTCGAAGCTTGCAGGCCGCACTATATCATTATCTGATAGCCTTTCCGCTGCTCAGGCATTAATACTTCATCGATAGACAGCAACAGGCATATTTTCGGTGAGAAGGTGGATATATCTCAAGTTCTCAACTTACATGAGGTCGCGTTTCTGACTTGGCAGTAGACCCACTCTTTTGTTTTCGTGGGGGGCCATGGCTAACAGAAGCTTTAAACCTTTTGACTGCTAGTTAATAACCATATACAAAAAACAGAAGTATATATTGAGCATATTTTGCAATTCAGAAAATATTAATTTTCTCTTTAGTGTTGAAAACAAATTACCTAAAAGAAATATAATTGAAGTAAATATTATAAAAATTTGTTTACTAATTTTTGATTATCAACTTTGTAAATTTACCAGTGTGTTATCCAAGGGTAAACAGGAGTCTACCTACATGTACCCCTCCATGACTGATGGCTATTGCAGGCGATTTTCAGCACCACTTTCTATTCATTCGAGGCAGATGGTTGGCAATTCTTTAATATAATTCCGGATTCACTGACATTGATGTTGCGACTCCTTTCACAATCGTAGTATGTACCTGTAGTTTTGATGTTGTGGTGCTGGCGGGGCAGATCTGATGATGGGATCGGAGCTGAGGAGCCGGGCGCCTGAAAAAGGGAAAAAGATCCAGGAAGCTCGCCCCGGCACGAGGATTCGGCAAGCTCCGGTCCGGACAACAATTCTGCCCCTAGAAATAATGTGATGTAATATCAATCGATCAGCCTTATATCGAATTTACACACAACAAACCTCCACCCATAATGACGATTCCTAGAAGGCGCCTCCTAAAAATCTGAAGCATCCACCACCAGTACTGGCGTGGTCGTCACCTCTTCCTCCGCCTCTAGCCTCCTAGTACAAATAGCCTCAGTGATCTTCTGCTCAAGGAAACCGAGGCAGCCCTGGCCACACCAGCTATCGTCATCGGTACGAAACAGCTCCATCACAAGGCGCAGGGAGCTGTCCCTCGTCGTGCGAAACTCTGGATCCTGTATCTTGTTCCGAAGATTCAGCAGATTTTCAAACACCCTGTCTTTAACCTCCTTGACCTCTGTGACACGCTTGAACTCATGCTTGAAGCTTCCTGCAACACTCTGGGCCTTATCCCGGAGATTTCCCATGCCCGTCCAAGTCTCTTTATGAAACATCTCAAGACGGTGCAAAGCCTCGATGCTATCGCACGCCGCTCTTTGCTGGTATAGATTCCTATGCAGCCGTTGCTCAGCCTCCTCGACGTCCCGTTTCAGCCGCTCTCTGGTGCTTCTACTAAAGAAACCAAGGAACCTATTACTCCAGCTCGAGGCTGCGTCACGCGCGAGGTAAACCCTCCGCTGCCTCTCGCCCTCGAGTGCTTGGTAGAGACGCAAGCTCTTCTCGTGCTCTATCTTGGTATCACGGACGGCCGCGCGCTGTATTTCCAGCGCTCTCATCTCACTTTCGAGTGTGAACACGAAGCGCGTGGCATTGTCGCCGTCAGCCATGCACATGGTCGCCCTCGTACCAACGGTCCACACAACTTGCCTGCCGAGTTCGCATAGGTGGCTAAACCGCGTTGTTACCAGGTCTAGCTTCACTACCATACTTTTGTCGACTCGCTCAATACGAGCCGAACCCCGCTCGATCGTCAGTAATTCCGTAACCACATGTTCGATGGCGGAATAGGCATCGTGCCCGGTGTTGCGTAGATTCTCGTCACAGTCGCTCTCAAGGTGCTGGATCTCATCTAGTCTTTGGTATAGGCTTGTCTGGAGGTCTTGTGTCTGCCACTTGAAGAATATGAGACCGAAGTATATCCCGACTGCAGTACATGTAACCGTCAGCTAGAGCGTCACTGTGGGTGGACATAATCTTCCCGTCAGGTTAACTCACCCGTCCTACCGCTAGGATTCTCGCTGAAATCGACTGCTTCAGTCCCCCTAGCTAGGGGCAACCTGGTGATTTTCTGGGGGCCAAGGCCTACAACACACCTGACCATTTTGCTGATGCTGATCAAGTGTTGTATGATGGATGGATCATGCAGGGCGCAGAGGTACGACACTTGTTAACTACAACCACCACAACATGCTACAATGTCCACATTCAAGCCCACCTGCTCATCGTACTCTTGGGTAGAAATACATATTGGCTAGGTACATGGATATATTTCTTGAGAATTGCTATTCGGGCAGTAATCTTTTGTTACTTAGGTGGTACAACTCACAGGGACAGCCGGTAATGGTAAAAGAAAGTGTGACGTCCTGGCATTTTTATAATTAATATAAATAATGACTATAATTAAATTACTATCATACTGAGTTAGGAAAAAAATTTGGGTATTAATCAAATATTGCATAAAAATATTATTAATTAAATTTATCTGCTGTATACGAATCTGGACAGAATGCTTTGTTGGGCCGCATTCGACCAAGATAGCGCTAGCTACATGTAATCACACACCTGTGCGGCCCAATGATCACCTAGCCTTCTCATAGTTTACAGGACGAGCGGGTTGGGGAGTTGTTGGGCATCGAGACTGGTATTGACAGTTGAGTATCGCCCAGTATTGATGGCGCCTCTATATATTTCCATAGGTAGGCCTCGAAGGCAATCCCTGAATACAGGTACCTAGCAACGCACAGCATCAATTGAACTACTCTGAATTGCCACAGACTTTCCAAACAATTGTTTGACCAGAACGCCTCACCCAAAAGAGAGAGGGAAAAAAGAATACCTACAATGGCGGCAGCTGACGCTATTCAAAGCATCGCCGTCGCGGAGCAAAGAGTCCTCACTGAGGAGTATGGGGGCAAGTTATCGAATAAGTTCATCGACGAGCTCAAGGCCGCCACACTATTCCAGTTCGACTGGGGTGAACTGCTAAGCGCTGCCCCGACTGCCTTGTACTTTATGGGCTCCTGCTGGTTGGCAGCTGCGAACCCGACGGCTGAGATGATCTCTTTGGCTGATGTAGTACCGGAAGGGGGTTTCAAGTATATGACAAACCTAAGGAATCCGACACTTAGGGCGTGTCTTGTCGATGGTACGTGCCTAGGCGTTTATATCTAAAGCAGGAGAAAAGAGAAGTAACAGATGCTGACATGATGGGCCTTATGCAGTGTGCAACAATGGCGGAAGGCAGGCTTTCACCATTGCCGGCCAAAATATGGATGCTTTGCACATGACGAGTCGGCGCATCTGTGATGAGAGAATTGATATCGTATTCAAGCGTTTGGGTCCGTGCACCGCCAGCAAAGATGCCCTTGAAGATTTCAACGACGCGTTGCAAGATTTGTCCAGGGACGCACACAGGTGTGCGGAGTTGGCAGCTGAGACGCGTGAGGCCTTTGGCAAATGGAGCAACATGGTCGGCGAGTTGAACATGTGCATGGAAAACCAGATGGGTAACACGAGCATCCATGCCTCTGACGTCACAAAAGAACAACATGTGGCTGAGATCGAGGAGAAGTTCGCTGTTGAGGCATCCGAAAACACCAAGAAGCAGGTTATGAGGGCGGCCCGTGAACTGGAGAAATCGGAGGGCCGTCTCGACAGAGCCCTAAGCGGAGTGCCCGGCCCATGGGCGACGGTCCTCCAGGGAGCCGTCGTATGCTACACCCAGACCATACCAACCCTCGTGGCCGGCATGCTTCCCGTCATCTTTGGTAAAGAATACAAAACCGCCGACGGAACAGCGCAGGTCGGCCTTCCTCGGGGAAAGTGGCCGCCACCACAGGACGACCCGTCCTTCGCCAGAGCCACTGAGATCCGGGATCTGGTCAATCACTTCTACAGCTTTATCGGCAATGAGAAGGGTCCTATCGACTGGGAAAAGTTCAAGGGGTCCCCAGGAGTGGGCGCCAACGAATTCCAGGGGCTGACATACTTCTTGGGCACCTTGCGAGGGCTACAGCAGACCACAGATGTGACCGGTACGAAGGCAAACAAGAAGCTGATGACGGCGTATAACACTCTCATAAGAGTTGGAACTGAGATTCAACATCACCTGAGCCAGCAGAACAAGATAAATGCAGTGACCAACCCCAGCGAAGACGTTGTCCGGGGCTGGAAGAAAGAGGTCAAGAAGGCGCGGTCCACCGTGCTCAATCTTGCAACCCAGGCCAACGCCAGATCCTCCGGCAGCGTCCCGAGGCCGTTTGGCAACGTAAAGTTCCAATGCAAGCCTGATTTGTCGGCGCAAAAAGCGCAGCTTAGCACGGCCTTACAGACAGTGCAGATAGCGCAAGAAGCAGTCGAAAGCGCGCAGTCAACGTATGATGCCGCCCTTGCTAAGCAGGAGCAGACTGCAATATCCATTGCTAGGATCCAGGCCAAGCTTAAGCAGCTCCATGAGACGGGTCAGAATCTTGAAAAGATCAAAGACGTATTACGCGACTGTATATCAGTCCTAGTCGATCTAGCTGTTCAGATCCGTAAGCTAGAGCAGTTCTTTCTTATGCTAGCGAACGTCATCGATCACATTGTGCTGCCACGGGCTGAGACCTTCACACGCGAAATGACCAAAGTCGGCCGCCGTGCGCAGAGAGACGGCGCTATTAACGCGGACGACATCACCAAGCAGACGATCTATACCTCAACTCTACAGATTAAGGGCTACTTTAGCGTCCTGCAGGACGTCTCAGAAATGTATACACTCGTGCACCGGAAATATATCAATGAGGGTGTTGACTTGTGCTATCAACTGTCCAAAGGCACAGCGAGCAACGACCCTATGTTTACACTACAGGAGCGGCTAGCTAGTTATTCGGACAAATCAGCCCGGGAGATCTCCACGCTGGCCTCTAACAAGCAGGCAGAGGTCCTTCGCTCTCTAAAGGACCGCGCCCGGAAGGCCCTAGAGCACACGCAGCTGATTGAGAACGAGGTCACCAAGAGGGGTATTGCGGTTGAAGAGTCGGACAAGTTGGCTATAAAAGAGGGCGGGGAGGAGCACAATACTGAGGCCAAGAGTATAGTGGACAACGACGTGGGCCTGACGGCTTCGGAACAGATAGATAGTTCAAACTTTTAAAGAGGGTGCTGGTCTCAAACAGCCAGGTTATGGTTAAAATGGAGCCAACTTCCACCACATGAACTTTGTAAAGCATACTGATAGCAAATTATATTTCACATTCCCACAGCGGTGAATATATTATACCATGGGAAAAAAGAAAATACTTGACTGTCGTTGATGTGAGCTGTTTACAAGGCACTTATTTCTGTGATATATGTACATTCAATATATAACGGAAATCATTCTCATGTAGCCGAATCAGATGCTTCTCCCAATGATCCTAGCGGAGGCAAATCATTCGGAAAACAAACTTGCATGAAGTACCATTCAAGGTGCTTCTGGGGTTAGCCCCAAGTCAAATATTGACAAACAAATTATAAAGTGGAAGATTCAAAAGATCACAAACTCATAGAAGACGAGATCGTGCGGAAACTTTTCAGCAACGATAGTTCAATGAGGTCGCTGAAGATGTTGGCACAGATATAGTAATGTATGGATGTTTCAGGCTGCCATATCCTCATAGCTTATCCGGGGCCGAGATGGGGGGCTATATGCTTCAGTTCAAATAAATGAAAAGCGAACCTCCTCTCGCACCTTGTCCGCCAATTCCAGCGCATCTCTCCTCCCATTTCTCGAGAAAACATTGAAATAAGCCAAAAAGCTGTTGACCCCTGTACTCGGATGCGGTACCTTCTGCCCACGTTTGACGAGGCAACCACATCGACTGATGTGTTTTGCAAGGTCAGGTCTGCGGGCTTTCAGCTCTGCGCAAATATCGTCCGAATCAAAGATGCCTTGGCAAGAGGATGGATAGTCGGCCGGAATAAAGACCATGACACATGTGTACTGAGCTCCATTTTTGAATGGCTGAGAAAGAGAGCGAGCGCGAGACTTATCCGCAACGGCGATGAGCATGGCTAGCCCCCAATAGTCGACTCCGTACGTTGATTCAATGACCTGCGAGCCCGTCATACCGAGTGGACGCGGATTTATTTCAATGAGCCAAGCAGTGGGCTCTGGAGCCTCGGACGCAGTGTCGCGAGGGTGTAAGTCGAGAACTCCATCCTGCGTTTTGTAGTCAACCGACGAGTACTCCACGCGGCCTTCCAGGTGCATGATCCCGTTCTGCAGGCCGAGCTTGAGTAACGTATCCAAGAAGCTGTTGCGAAGCACATCGATTTCGCTAGCGGGCAGTGCCGATGGGTATACGCTGTTCAGCTCATGGAAGCTGTTGAGCGACCCGACGCTGGGACCGTTGAAGTCGGCGGTTTTAGGGAAATCGTCGCACACCTCGAAGAAGAGGATTTCACCGTCCAACAAGACGAAGTTTGCATCAACTTCCGGCCCCGAGCAATATTTCTCTATAACAAACTCGGACCCATGGCGAGATGTGTTAATGGATTTGGCGGCCGCCGTGAGAGTATCAAGAGAATCAACGCGGAATACTCCCTCTGAGCTCCACCCATTGCATGGCTTGATGATAAGAGGGTAAGGAAGGTTGTTTTTGCTGACAATCTCGAGGGCTTCGTCTGGACTAGAAGCTTGATAAGCTTGGTGCCCTGCAAACACGCTTGTCAAATACTTGTTCGTAGCAATGCGCAGTGCATCCGGTGAAGCAGTCTGAAGACCTAGCTGCTGCGCGGCTTGAGCAACCTGAGTCGCATAAGAGTCGCAGAACGTTACGATGCCGTCCACTGGTTTGCCATAGGTTTTCACAGATTTGACAATTCGATCGGTGAAACCCTCTTCTGGGGGGTCTGTTAGCTTGGTTGGAATAAATGCTTCACGCCAGTGTGCATATTCCGGCCCTTCTAACCAATGTCCCGAGTTGTCTAGCACCACCATGTTGATGCCAAGGGCTGCGGCTGCGAGATAAAGGGACGGCGCTGTGCTACCACCATTATCGGGGTGCGCGCGAGTCCCTTCTACCAACACCAATGTTCGAGGTCGAATGTTCTCAGACGATATCCAGGGGAATGAGAGCCTATTCTCAAGCTCGGATTCCACGGCGAGAGATAGTGCTTCAAGTTCATCGTCAGATTCTTTCTTAGAATCATGGTGCAAGATCAAGCCAGCTGCGGCAGCCGAGAAGAGTGCCACAAGGTTGCTGCTGTCTGAAGGCGTAATTGCTAAGCCGCTGTAGCTCTCGAGAGGCTCTGCAAAAGACACGGCTGTTTCCACGAATTGATAGTCCCTTAGACGCAAAGGAACTATGTCCGATCGCACGATATGTCCCTTCTGTAGAGGGACGATCAGCTTCACCACACGTCGAAGCCCGCCGGAGGATGCGGCCGTGGCGCGAAGACATTGGAGGAAGAACTGAAACGCCCTGGCCGAGCCAAAAGATTCGGGAGAGATGCTCTGGCTCGAGTTTTCATTTTCGAGATGGATATTATACGCGCCCTCAAGGTTGTCAAAACGATAGGCTGCAGTTGACGAGTTAATGTGCTCAAAAACGATGTCTAGCGACTGCCAGAGGCTTCCATTGATTGGCTTGTTCAGGAGACGCCATGAACATTCCAAAAGTAGCGCTATTGCATATTAGTGGAGGGGTTATTGCAAGCTGAAGTATGGACATTTCCCACTTTCATCGCCAGTCGACCGAACTTGAATCTTTTGAGGAGCCATCACAAGAAACTCATGTCAAATACAAATACATGCAGAACACGAACTGTATTCACATTATATTTAAATATTAATCTTCTTCTATACTCTTACAACTGTTGGGGATCGAAGATCAGACCAACAACACACTCAGTTCATCCGTGTTTATCCGGCAACATTTTGAAACAACTTGTGTGACTCATTCGTTGCTGAAGAGGATTTGATGGGTCTGGCTGCTTTACCAATCCCAATCCTACATGTTGTCACGCTCGCACTATACGAGCTCTGACCGCTACATACATGTCGGATTGTTACCCAAGATAGCATTTCCACATACCTCTCTCCTATGGGAGTATTTCCTTTTTCTCTCAAAAGGCCGAGCTGTGATATCACAAAATTTATAAAGCAGAAAGTATCGAGTCATCACGTTATTCACATGACCTTCGTTTTAGAAGCTAGCCGTATGAAGTACCGATGTTTTACTAGTGATTAAAACCAGAACAGGCTCAACAAATATCAGTTGTGTGCTCTAGACTTTCGAGACTTCTTGGAAAGAAGCAAATATAGAGTATTAGTTCATCTAGTATGGAGCTATGAGAGAAATACCTGGTTGATCAACTGGGAGTCGCACTCGTTTCGCAAAACCTCAATCGCACTACCACATCGCGCGCCAGTAACTACGGGATAAGCCTGTAAATAAATATTGGGGCATCGCAGAAGTGCAACTAACCCCCTAGACGAATTAGTAATGGATGCGATTATGGCTGTCCGCCTAACTACATGGATATTGACTTACGAACTCCTCCTACAGTCTCAGTGACACCTCATAAACTCACATAACAAACTCTGATCAATGCTATCTTTTCCTCTTTGGCATACAAGTCGCTGTCTTGGCTCTTACTTCCGCTGTGACTAACCTTTGCAGGTCTAACATTCATCAACTTGCGGTGGATTTGCTCCTCACAGAATTTCTATTATGGTCCGCTCAGACAAGAGATGCGATGGGTGTTGGACATGTCGAATTCGCCGAAAAAAATGCGACGAAACACGACCTGAATGCGCCAATTGCACTGGCCTGCAAATTACTTGCCATTACGGCAGGCTGAAACCCGAATGGCTTGATGGGGCCGAGAAGCAGGAGGCTATGGCTGCCAAAATCAAGTCTCAGATTAAACAACAAGCCGGCTATCGTCGAGAGAGACATCACGCTTCAGCAGTAGCCATGAGCTTTGCATCAACCGCCCAAGGAAGGGAAGATTCCGAATTCGTCAATCTCATCCCGAAACATGACCTCTCTTCAGATGAACCGAGATCACATATTGATGCGACGTGGCCAAATGCGGCAGTCACATTAATAGACGACAGCCAAGACTCGATTGGAGTCGACCCGAGTAAACACAAAGTTCCCGAGACTCTACCAGGATTCAACTTTGCATACAATCCCCAATTGGGGTCCAGGCCTGGCTCAGAGATACTCTCGTCCTGGGGAGAAGACGAGATGAATCATCTTATGAGATACTTGGATCATGTGTTTCCGTTTTTATTTCCATTTTACCGAACTAGTCTGCTTGATCCCGGACGAGGCTGGATCTTCCAACATATTACACATAGCAAAGTCTCTTTTCATTCAGTAATCGGTATAAGCGCTTATTTTTTCAGCGTTGCTCTAAGTGAGAAATATTCAGGACGAGAGCATGAGATGTGCAAGACAGTAGTCTGGTCCAAACTCATACAACAAGCGGATATGTGTTTCGACATGTTGCAGCAGGATATACAAGAGCTGAATGACCGGGGCGATGAAGCAAACCTGTTAGATAAAGTGCGAGTCATGGAGAGTATTGTCCAGTTTCTCATTTTTGAGACAGCGGTAGGTAGGTCGGCTAACTGGGATAATCATTTATCGCCCACCATCGCTCTCTTCCGAGGCATATTACAAAATTACGACCTGAACAACTCTGTATCTGCATTAGTCGATATTTTGAGTAAGATTGCTCAGCGTCCGTTGTATGCCCTCAGGAAAGATCACTATGTTTGGGACAACAGACAGGAATGCTTTCGGTTCTTCGCCGGTATTCTTCTCTTCATCGACACTATAGCGAGCACCTCTCTTAGACGGCCACCACAGCTACTGGAGTATCATCCACAGTTTCTTACCGATAAAGATGATGGAGAATACATCAAGGGTGAGGCTCCTATCAGGCTATCTAGACTTGTCGGTTGTCACAATTGGGCTATTCGTGTCGTTGCAGAGATCTCGGCGTTGGACGTCTGGAAGAAAGAGAATATGAGACCGGGCAGCTTGTTTGAGACAGAATTGGCTGAGCGTGCCCGCTACATTGATCAGATTCTCGAGGAGGGTATGTCACAGTTGAAGAACCTTTACGCTACTGATACAGGTATGTGACGCTCCGTTGATGCTTATCGGCTGCGTCATCATAATTTGTATTATATATCTGACATTTTGGCAGTAACGTCTACAAAGATCTGGGCCTACGCGGCGAAAATATACCTTGCCGTAGTTGTCTCTGGCTGGCAGCCAATGTCGCCAGAAGTGCGGTCTAGTGTAGCACATGCGCTTCGTTCATTACAGACAGTAGTTAGTTCCTCTCACTTGCGAGTACTAGCTTGGCCGCTCTGCGTTGCTGGTTGCATGGCTGAGCGCTCTCAAGAGCAAGCCTTTCGAAACCTCTTCTCTGAGTTGGATAGGACTGCACTAATTGGGATTTTGGGCGAGGCACTTCGCGTCATGGAGAGCGTGTGGCAAAATCGAGGAAACATGAGCAGTGAAATGTGGGATGTAGAAGCATGCTTGAATATTCTTGGCACACCAGTTCTGTTAGCTTAAGGGAACGCCAATATGTATCATACTCGACAAGAAGCATGAATTGCTAATATTCTAACGGATGAGACTATTGCTAAACTACCGCAGCCCTCGCAATTAGCCAAGGCAGCACTTAATGGCGGCGAGTGAAGAACTAGGTGACAGTGGCATGTCCAGTCTTTCCATCTATTTACCCTTCCAGAGGCCCATAACTTCTTCCACTGTGGTAGTCTTGACCTCGGGAAATACTTTGTTGAGAGATTTCTCATCCGGTGTATCGAACAAACCGGCGATGATGTATTGGCCGAATTTAGAGAAATACATCTGCAGGATGTGTTTTGGCAAATGTTTATACTCCGCAGCGTTGGCAGGCAGCTCACTGGCTTCACCCTTCTCGAGCTTCTCAGAACTATCATACGTAACGTTGAATTTGGATCCTGATTTTTATTTTTATTGTTAGCATCTCACAAAAAGCGATGTTCCAAAACGGTGTCTGAAATGTTGGGGAGCTTACCGGTAGCTTCTTCAACCAACACCAGAAACTGATTCAAGGTCACTTTATCGCCGTAACAAAACATTTCTTCCTCCCACTTAGGCAAAGTGAGTGCCTTGACAACAAAGTTAGCAACGTCTCGTGTATATGTAAACGAGACGAGATCGTTGCCAGTGCCAGGGATGACTGCCGCCTTGTTGGCAATATCAAAGATGAAAGTGATTAGTTCCGAAATATGAGTCTCTATATACGGCATTCCATAATAGTCAAGGAAGTATCCATTGTAGAATCGTGTCCATTCGAGATTGCTTTCGCGGAGTTGGTCGATCGAAGCGAGGCGCACTTGATGTTGTAGCAAGCGTAGACTATATCGCGCCCATCAAATCCATGTTAGCAAATTGCTATTTAAGTTAAGATTGAAACAATTGTATATACTACAAAGATAAAGAAAATGATGGTGCTTAGGAAAGTTTACTTTTCCTGGGGTATAGGTACACCCCATTCGCTCTGAATAAACCGCTTTGTTGCAAATGACTTTGCAGCTGCCTTTATGAGGTTCACTTCAGATACCCCAGCTTCGGGAGCTATCACTTTAATGGCCGATATTATGGTGTGTACATTGTGTTCCTCCAAAATATTGGCTACAGCGTCGATATCGCCGTAGTCAACGGTAATCAGAGGAGGAGCGTTAGGGGACACATCTTTGGAGGCCTTTCAATGCATTCATGTCAGAAGGATACGCTTAGTAACACCAGAGCAAGATGAAACGAGTAGTCAGTGATAGATACTCACTTACCCCACGAGCAAGCAAGATGACTTTGTACTTTGCGGTGGCGACGAGGGCGTCACTGATAGTCCTACCAATGTTGCCTGTACCACCAGCAATTGCAATCGTAGTAGACATGATGTTTGAAGATGAAACAACTTGCGGTGTTGTACAAAGTGCGATATTTGAGTAAAAAGAAGTTGTATATGGAAATGAATAACTGTACTGGAGAGGTTGATGCTGGATTTGTCAGGTTACTGAGGCCGATTCGGTTCTTTATATACTTATTTCCCCTCCCAGAAACCCCCATTAATATCGTTCCCTCTGACATTGCGAATATGTTGCAATTTGTCATAACGTACTCTATTTCTCCTTGGCTCCGAGCTGTAGCAATTTGATAGCTGCCATGTATATCCGTGAATAACTGTGAATCTCCTAATTTGGCATGTTTCTTCTTTGCTAGCCTCCATTGGGCGTACCGCGCGCAGAGCTAAGAAAGGGATAGGACAACCACCTTAAACCTCTTCTGGTCACCCGCGCGGTGCAACAGAATTGTGATAGGCTTATACGAACAAGCAAGGACCTAAAGTAAAGGTATACAAGTAAAGATGACACACAACCGTTATTAAAATATTGTATGAATAATATGGAGTCTGTATAAATGAGCACGAGGGCCGTCTTACAATCTGACGCCTTAATGGGCAATGACAACACTGGTTGCAGAAACTCCTAAGTTTCTGTGATATTGACTATTCACATAAACTATATTTCTCGTTTGCCTATAATCAACGACCACCGATGCTAGTTTTTAATTACAAGTTGAGAAACTTTTGCCATAATTTCTGCAGCGGTAGAGAGCTTGTTTGTCCAGCACCCCATGATAATTTCTCCCCCAAAAAGTCCCTCAACTTCAGGGAAGATGCCATCAGCAAAGCAACGATCTACTTTTGCATTATATTCCATCATCTCCTCGGTAGAAGTCCACTCGCCAGTAGTCGGACGAAATGGCCAATGACCCGTCATGATTGTATACAAAACAGAACCGAGGCTGAAAATATCAGCGACATAAGTTGGCTCCCAAGCATCATTCGGATTATGAAACCCAGAATCGGGAAGTGTTCCGCCAGAAAGCTGGAGGTCTTCACAAGTTGATCCGCCAAAGTCGCAGAGGCGTAAGTCGAGTGATTGAGACAACGAGCAATCAACTAAAAAGTTGTCGGGTCTTAGATCGCTATGCACAACCCCCTTGCTGTGGATGAACTCAATGGATTCAATCGCCTGGACAAACCATTTTTGGCGAAGACTGGGTGTAATTTCGCTGGTATGCTCATATAAGAAGTTCTGAAGGCTTCCGTGGCTAGCCTCTGCAAAGAGTAATCCGGTCGGGAACTCGGTGTACGGCCCAGAAATCTAAGAACACGGTGTAAGTACAGCAGAAAACCCATAAGACAGTGAGAAACGGACTTGACAATTCTCGGATGAGTGCTGAGCCTGTCTAGGATCTACTTTTCGACAATGTAGTGGTGCTCCACAGTGTCTCGCTTTCGTACAATCTGATCAAATCCCATCTTAACGGGAGCTTTCAAGATGATGCCAGGCCCTAATATACGGAAGAACAGACCGGTCGAGCCCATAAAATTTTCAAAAGGTAGCATAACCAGCTCGGTCGAGTTTGTATCGGGCATTTTGGCGGGAGATCATATGCGGCTTGTTTGGGAAAAGCCAGTGAGTGAGAAGTCGTCGTTACAAAGAGTGGATTAGGATGATGTGCAGGGCCGGCAATATGGAGCCAGAAGGATGGACATAAGCTTCAGCTAGATCATTCGAGTATTAGTGAATTTATGAGTGAGTGACCTATCGCCATCAAGGTGCACGGTTGTGTACACGTGAACATATGCAAGATGCGCACTCCCGAGACAGCCAACTGCACAAGTGAACGAAATGTAGCTACAAATCTCCGGGCTTTTCTTGGAATTGAAACAAATTAAGTTTACTTTTGAGAGTAGATGTAGTTATTCAGCACCTCAGCAGCTGCGTGAAGTATAACCGGCTATCCGTTGGTTGATGTATGAATGCAATTATTCTACACCAAAATATCCCAAGAACTGTCTTTCTCAGAAGCACCGCCATATCTCAGGGCCCGGCATATTTGGTCGCTTGCAAATAGTAAATTAGTTCAGATCAATTACTAAACATAAGTTCTGAAAGTATAAAGAGCCATACAACAGCCAGTAGTAGTCACTCGTCGAAATTTGCTGGTTACTAGCTTGTCTATGGAAAGCAGACGGGATCCCGAGTTTCCCTCCACCTATGCTGATATATATATGATTACGTTCTGAATAATTGTTAAGGTGATTGACTGGGTTATAAAATTAGCATAGGGTACTATTTCCCCTATGTAGGTATGCCCCAGAAATTTTACCCATTACCAAGACTTGCGCTCCCAAGCCTTCACAAGCTCATCTACCTGTTCCGTCGCATCCACCATGAGAAATTTCTGCTTTGTCACGACAGATCTCGTGGGCTGGAAGAATTCAGTCAAAGAGTAGATTGTTTGACCAACCTCAAAGCTGCCAGTGGTGTAGCCACCTTCTTTACTCAGGGTTTCATCCATAGGAACCAGGCCGAGATATTCAGCCGTCTTCCAGTTGTTTTTGCTCCCAATCACACGGTTGCCGTAGAAGTCATCCGACCAAAGGATAACCTTGCCACCATATTTTGACGGCAACATCAGACCGTCTCCTCCGCCGGTGTAGTTAGTCGGGAATCCCTCCGGATGCACATAGGTCGGAACTCCCTTGGACTTGTTGATGTCAAAGGTTAATAGCCCCGGAGCAACTCGATCGTTAATGACAATCTTGTCTCCCGACCGAACAATGCCACCCGAAAGAAGAGTATCGTTGATATTTTTTGGCTCATACCATATTTGTGGCGTACCAGCCTTGTTGATCTTGACAATAATCTGGCCAAATGTTCCTATGACGTAGGTATTCCCTTGACCATCCTCTGCCATATCTTGGAAACCGGTAATCAGTTTTCCTGTTCGCTGGAATACTTGTTTCTGTAGGGGAACCAGGTCTGTTATCCAGCGAATTGTGCGGTCGTTGGTATCATATCGAATCACACTGTTGGGGCCAGTGAAATTTGCCAGCGCTGGGTTTCCAGAAGTTGTTGCTTCAAAGGCTGTGTACGAAGTAGCTGCAAAGTACATCGACCCCATTCCATCGTAGTCTATTCCGGTAATGGAGTAGTCGTCATTGCCGGTGATTCCAGGTATAATGATCTCCTCATATTCATCACGATAAGGATCATAAACAGCAACCGAGGCATTGTAGTAGAGACTGCCATTTGTCAGATATAGACTTAAGGACAGAACAAGAGAGATAGAAAAATAGCATACCCAAAGTATATTTTGCAGTGCACCGGATCCCAATCCGCATTCTCTGGATAAAGGTCCAAAATAGTTGCATTGAAGGAACCTTTAAAAGGAGGACATGCGCCAACAACTGCACTCGCAAAATATGCCCAGATGAAAGGGCGTAAAGTTGATGTATACATGATGAAGAATTTGATTATACCAATTCAAAAATTGCTGTCTAGTCACCAAGAAGCCAATCAATAACTGGATGATCCAGCCAATTCATTTCCTTCAAAATCCTACTCTTATATATATATTAAAATGTATTTACACGAAGCTCTGATCAAAGCTGCGTACTCGTATGCATACCTAGGTGAGGGCTTAGACTAGGTTGAGCTGACAACTTCGTCACCACGGATATTCTTCTCTTAACTCCGGGCATTCTTTACCAGTATTATGCAATGTCCAATAATCATCTGTCAGCGTCCTCATCGCAGGCTGTGCAAATTTTATCCTTTTTTTCCATCTCCTATGTTAATAGCAGCGCTATGCTTCACGCCTTCTCTTTTTGAGGCTCATTCGTTAGTCTCTATTTGGGGTGCAAAATACGGTGTAAATGTATTAGGAGGTATTGGTCATGCTTATTCATTTTAGATTTCATTTGAAACCACCACTTTTTGGCTTGCGACTACGGGTTTGGGGTTCGGTACTCCGAACAAGGCCGAAAATCGACAGCAGCGGAGGCACGATCACGGATTGTATGTCTGCTAATGAAGAACGAAGATTTATCGGACTCCCGGCTATTAGACGAACCCGTTATGTCTGGAATCGGCGTCATGGAGCTATGCTTTGATCGAATCCGCCACGCCTTTGGAAGGCACTTTCACTGGGTCTTGAACATTTGGGAGTAACCTGATATACACTTTCATGTGCCTCTCTAAATCTACCAATCATCTATCAGGTATAGTGACCAATTGTAAATGAGGTATACGAAGCAGCCTATAAGTATTTGCCTAGGCTGCAAGCTATTCATCTGTTCGTCTGTTAGCAGCTTTGCCAATCTCTCTGCTGACAGATTCGTTCTGCTATTTTAGATGAGCTCCGCCTTGATGGCTTGAGAATCTATAGCATATTGATTACTACGACGCTATTCCGGAATTAATATCTCCGCGCACGAAATCCAGAATTGTCAGCACCAGAGTGGAACTATCGTTGTCTTAACATAAATCCCTATAAGAGCATTCTAGGAAGCTTCTTGTTGAATCATGGTACGGGATTTATATCAACTATGGGTGGGACTGGGTGATGCTGATTCTACCGGCGATGCTAATTATTCAATGACATCGAAGGAGCAAGACCTGTCGAGATCAACTTACCAAAAAACCATATCAGGTTACTAGACAAATACTCCTATCCTATTTGAAGCATGAGAAATTAAATCTCTATCTCTCTATGATATCGCTCATTGTGGAATACAGCGACTCAAAGAGTTCGGCATCATTGTTGCCCCAGCCGATGCGCAATAATATGCTACTGAGCATCATCATCAATTTGCCAAAAGACCGTTTCTAAATAAGTGTTGAAGTATATTCAAAAAATACTCTCAGCTAAAATAATCCCCTCCTTTAATCATCTCTTCGACAAACTTGAAGCTTGCAGATACAGCTTCTTGAGTTCCATATCCTTTAGCTAAGTGTGCCGCGATCACCGCTATGATAGGATTAGTTCTTATTATCTGAATTATAGCAGGTGAGTTCCAATTACTTACGAGGGATGGAATAACTTGCTCCAAACAGCTTTTTGGGGTTCTCAAAACGAGATGCCACTATAAGAGGCTCTTCACCGCCGCACAAAACAAAATGCAATGTCGTCATCCCATCGGTCTCCTCAAACATCTCTCTTTTAATAATAACATACTCGGGCCCTAAATTTCGTAGGGTATTTGCCATTGATTGAACGTCCTGAATACTTTTTGGATAGTCGACCGGGATGCCGGCCTCATCCAACAGTGCTTTGACTTCAGGAACTGTTGCAGAAAGGACCTTTACTGATGGAAGTATTTCTTTCCTGAGTGCCGTAACTGCTTCTTGTTTTGGGGCAGGGCCTGTTTTGAAGAATGGTTCAGCATCCAGAACTGTCATTAAATGTTCACTTTGCTGTAAAGTTCTGGCCACAATTCTGATTGACTCTGCAGAAAACAAAGCTCCTATAATCACAGATGTCAGGTTTGCAACATTTAGCGGTTTGTATATATGATCATTACTAACCGATCTTGACCACTTTGCAGTCTATCTTGCGAAGAGCATCACCTGTCTCATTTATAAGGGCTTCGAGCGCTGTTGCAGTATTATCTACAGGCTCCTCTCCATTTCGTATAGCTGAGCCAGCAGAAACTGTTATAACGGGTACTCCCTGTGCTGTGATTGCCCTTTCGTCGGCTTTCAGGCCTCTGTTGATATCAGCTCCAATTCCAGAAAAGAAAAGCGTGTGTAGAAACCTACGAGTTCACCAACTCATCTGAGCATCCAAAGACTAACACGCCACCAGGTTGCATTATCTCAATATTATATTTAAAATTGTTATATGTAGTCCCACGTGTAACAAATTTTCTATGAAATGTAAAGCAGCCAAAAGGGTGCGCAAGAATGGGATGACATGCTGAGGTATCTACGGGTAAGCCAAGTCCTTAAAATGTCTTTGGGCTTTTATGGCCTAAAAGAACGGCACCGTTGGACCGAGTCATTTAGGCGTCCAGGGTGCGGGAATAAGAATCCATGTTGATCCTTTTGCTAGCCTGTCTGCTAGATTGGCCCGCGATGTAACACATACGGCTATTAATATGGTGCATGCGAGTTCTGAAACATGGGACCAGCCTATGAGCTATCGTATTGGATAGCACAAACAGACCTTTTGAATAGTGTGGCCGTTGAGCCAACACACAGTAGCTTTACTTGAATGTCCAGAGCGTTGAGATATGATTAACCTATAAAACCTTAAAATAGACAAGTATAAATTATTGTGCCAAGTAGCATCAGGATGCGTCTTTAGGTGTTTATAAGTATTTATGTCTCAATGAAATGCAATTGCCCTGAAGCTCAATGGAAGCCTAACACTTGATATACACCAGCTATCTAGCTACGGTATTGATAACAAATTGTGTGTCCAGCTTGGAATATACTCAAGGCCATATAAACAGATGGATACACAGTACATTATTCCAGAAAAACTGCCCGATCATCCTTTCCTCACCCTGAGCCTAGCCGTGTGAAATGATGGCATTTGAGTTCTCAATACACTTATTGTGACGCCTATAATTTATTTTTAATATGTCAGTAGATGATTGCACAGTCTTAATGAACAAATATCCACGTACAGCATCTTCAGGAGTTGCTCCGGGATAGAAACATGACACTCCTGTATCAGTAGTGACGCAGCCTTCCTGTAGCTTAGAGCCCCTGCCATATGCCTCAATATCTGCACTTGTGTAGGTGCAGTAAATGCCCTCCTCCGCTTGCTCACATTGTGACTCAAGAATGGCGCGTTTCGCAGTGACACCATCGCGGAGCTTGATTGCAAATGCCCAGTACTCACGAGCAGCAATATCAGCTTCAGGTGCACGCTTCTCCTTTGCCGAGTCATCACGGAGCTTAATAGCAAAGGCCCAGTACTCGCGGGGAGACATTTTGATGGGCTTCGCCAACAGAGTTAGCCATGTATACTTTTACCAAAATTTGCTCTGTTAGACATTACCCCGAGTTCATTGATAGGATGGGGAGCAGCAAGACTGCTTGCAATCAAGAAGGCACTGGCGACGGCGCTGGTGAACAACATGGCGATGGATTGATGCTCACGAGTAGAGGAAGTAGAAGATATGGTAGAAGAGAACGACTGAGATGATTCTTAATTTTAGGTCAAAAGTAGAAGTCAAAGTGAAGGAATGTTACGTCTTTTATCCTTGGTTCAAGATCTCATCATTCAGCCGATGCCCTAGTTCAGAGGTACAGTACGGAGTATACAACAGCTAGACACGACTACCTATCCATTCCCTTCCCTCTTTCAACTTTGCACACCTACTTACACATCGTTTTCCAAATCACGGAGGAGTGCTTCGTAGTTGGGTATCAAGCCCTAATTTTGGAGATAGGCCGCGTTTCCCGTGAACATGCCTGTGTCTAGCTGTTAGTACTGAGAGCGGATTTCCGTGATGACCAACAGACCAAATTTGATGTTCCTACTCGTGTCTAGACTTCTTAGTGGTGACTGTAACCTCCGCTCTGAAGCAAAAGTTCGCTACAAACCCATGCAGAACTCGATGAGGAGTCACTATGATCCTCAATCCTTGCGCCGAGTCAGCTGCCGATGAGCCGACAGCCTCCGCACCACCCCGGATTGTGGTCATTCCGATCCATCTAACCGCCTGACCAGTTTATCTTTCGTGTAATTTTGGACCCCAATGCTACATCTGTTGCCGCCCGGAATCGAGATGGAACCAACCATGGGTTACAATGCCGGGGTGGATCTGCGTCAGGCCCCCTGTGGCTCGCCTCACATGTGCGTCGCTCCTAAAGGAAGATGCAAGCCATCAACCGTGCATGAGATAAACTCGCAGGATTGTCATTTAATCAGCATAGGGCAGGAAGCGTGGCTGGTTACGGATCCTTGGCTCAGATCTGACTTCTGACGTCGCTTAGCCTCATCGTGATGATTAGAGGCTTGCCGCCGATCTGCTTTTATTCTTATGCCACACCTTGCCACACTGACTAGCAAATCATTTTGCAACAACAAGTCTTTACCTTTTTATTGGCCGCACCCGTTGAGTCGGCTATAATTGACCGTTTCCATTAATAGGGAAATATCTTGGTAACACGTATCGTTGACCTCTGGCGCTGTTGTTGGTCGCTATCCCTGCAAGTGACTTAGAAGCTGCCTTTTTGGCTTCAAGGTCATGCAGTTGGTAGCAACAATCACCCAGTCTATCCATTCCGCTTGCATTAGGGGGACACCGACCTTTCTAGCCCAATTCGCTATCTCGCCGAGAAGTTCATGCCTCCTCACTACCATTCTGTACCTCGGTCAATACTGTGTGTTGGACAGAGCTGCAAGGCACGCGATACTACCATAGCAGAACAACTTAGCAAGCCAAACAGCGCTAATAAGCGCTTATATATTGTCGCGGTGCTTTGATCCATTCCCCTGTTCAACACTCATCGTCTTCGTTGCATCCCATCCGTCACTCTTGGATTGTGTGTTGCGCGAACTCGTTTTAGATGTGAGACATGATACTCATGAGGGCTCGTCGGTTTACTTTCAACTGTAGTAGATTGCATATATGGTCGCCCGGAAAATTTTGTTGCCTGTTCCACCACAAGTTTAGCAACCGCAGTAACTACAAGTATCTATATTTAGTGAGTTTGAATGGATTCTGAAGTCGCGGTTAAGCCTCCCACCTATCTTTGCCTCGGTACATTCCTCCTGATCTTGAGAAGAGATACATGCAGGAATACGCAAACAAGACCACTCGTTCAAATAAATGACGCATGGAACTTTTGCAATTAGAAATCCTTTTTTATTTGCGCGAGTTTACTCGCCATCTCTTGATGCCAGGATTGCGCTTCCTGGAGGAGGATCTATGGTGGCAATTAACATTTACATGGATATGGCGGCACAGAAGATCAAGACGTCTGACTCTGCTTGGTAGCCAATCCTAGGAGAAGATTTGATCCATCGCTTGTAAAACTAGCCAATGATACCAAAAGAACTGATATTGTTGGTGATGTTGGTCATTGACACGAAGAGCCCCCAGGTTATCCAGCCCTAGTTACTTTCGACAACTTGCAAGCCGAGGGATCTTTTCACATATGATCAACAAGGGTATGAGTATGACTTGAGTACCCATCGGGGAATAGACTATTGGACTGTTGGACTGGTACTGTAAAGACATCACAAGGATCATGACACCCCGTTGTATCTTCAAAAGTTCCATATACTATCTCTAGGTTCCACCGACCTTGACAAAAATAGCAATGTCCTAGGTAAACCAATCTTCATCCATTCGGCGGGGGATTGGACGGGAAGTTTGGGGTCCGCTCATTCAGAGTTTGCTCTGTCTCCTGGCGATCGCGCTCCTTGCCTCGTTGTATAGGTATGGTTGAATATGCCTCGTATGTTGTCGCGGGGATTTGACTTACGGAGTTCATATTCCGACTTCAGATGCTTGCCCAACTTATTCTAAGATCCCAACAGGTCTCCATCAACATCCCCATCATTTCTTTTTGTCTTTGACATTTTCCCTACAGTCATTCTTCATTGTGCCTCATATTCTTCTTCAATCACATATTCGCTAAAGAATCCTCTCTAGCTCCTTTTACTTCGGTAGATTCAATCCGACTCCCTTTTCCAATGTTAGGGCACAAGGAGTATGACTACTCTTCCGTAGAGGGAGAAGAAGAAGAGGCCTTCCTTAGCAATGGTACTTCCGAGAGAAATGAGAGACAACCATTGCCATTGACAAGGTTAAAGCTCTCCTGGTTGCTATATGCCACCGTAACGGTAACCTCGCTTCTTACAGGAATTGTCATTGGTTACAATTCTCGAAGAGGAACAGTTGAGAAAGGTCTTACGTTTGCAGACACCTCTCACCTCAGACTCTGTAAGAACCTCTTGTCCAAATGTCCCGCTCACAAGGCTAAGATTTTAGACAACGGAATAAATTTTGAGACGCACGAGCAACGATTCAATGGTTCGCTGTTCAAAAGAAGTGCATACAGTGGCCCTCCAACTCCCGAGATGGATCAAACCTGGGGTCGCTTCACTGAAGCTGGCAGTAGTATGTTGGTCAAAATAACCGAAGGTCCGCTATTCTGCTCTCCAGCATCCTTTCTGACTACCTTTGGATCCAGAAACGATGCCAGACTATCCTCCAGTGCTGAACATTTCGACAGAAGATGCGCGAGCATCCACAAGCTATCCACTCAAGACGGCAGTTCATCTCAATGAGACACAAAACATCGGTTATATGGCCAGCTTGGGATTTTTCCATCAAATCCACTGTCTGGTCAGTCTATCTCATCTTAATGGGATTAAAGCTACGGATACTGACTCTTTGTCGACGTAGAACATGCTTCGGAAATTCATCTATCTCGATTATTACAAAGAGACCCAGCCTGATTGGTACACACAGCCGTATCTACAAGGTCATGCAGGTGAGATAGCATTTTGAACATCAAATTCGAGTTCTCATTAACATAAATAATTTGGTCAGATCATTGCGTCGATATGCTGCGCGAATCCATCATGTGTCATGGCGATACTACTCTGATTGTGTACCACTGGATCAATGGTTATGCTGATCCAGTACCCGATTTTAGCACTATGGTAAGACTTTAGCCACGATTAAGGCGCAGCTTACTGGTTTCCAAAGACGCATAACTGACTTCATCTGATAGCACACCTGCCGAGATCCCAAGGCTATCCTGGATTGGATGCAAACGAACCAAATCATACTCAAGGAAGCAGTTTACAAACATGGGGAAATGGATCTGCCTGAAATATTTTGAAACAGAGCAGTAGAGTAGTAAAATTGAATCAAGCTCGAAGATAGATCTTAAAGATGAGGAATCTGAAGAATGAACACCTATGTGTAGAGTCTGCATAAGCAGAATCGCTTTCGCTAAATTTAATGTGTTTTTGATACTCTGAAGGGCAATCACTTTCTGTTCCGTGTACAGGCCTTACTCGTAAAGTCGATAGATGGTTAAACCATTGATGTCCAGAACTAGACATTTCTCCATGGACATTTCCGGCGTCACCCAAAAAGCAGACGTTGATCCTCCGTGTCAAAGAGCTTATTTTTAGTACAGGGGAAACTGCAAGCCGAGATGCCTAATGTGATATAATATGGGCTGGCTCCATCGTCTGGAATCACAAGCTGATTTTGGCGCATGCCGTACCACCCGTATGCATGTTGGTGACGCATGCTCGGCTGCACGATGCGTCCCATTTACTCTACGCCTTCCTTCGCCCCAAAGGATGAACCAAAGAGATTCCAATGGTACTTTGTCAAACAATGTGCAGGGATATTAGCGCCTCACAAGATTGGCCTAAAGTGCACGAATAGTATACGGCGCGCAAACACTTTCCCAGCCATCCTACAGCAATCCTATACACGGAGGCATATTCCTTGGCTCGCCGGTTCTCGTTTCAATAACCAAAGCAAAATTCCAATGATCAGATCTCAAATCATAACCCAAATTTTCCGGTAATATGCATTGGCCGCGTTGGCTTCGATTGACTACCGAGGACTCAGTTCCTAAATACCAGCACATTGCATCGTTTGAGTCCGCTTTCGATAATGCATCTACTCGCTGGAAGCAGCGATTCTACATACTATGCAGTGTCTACATTGTCACAATTTTAATCTTTATAGCTGGTTTTCTATTCAAATCGCCTAGTATCACTGAGGGATACGGGACACTAAGAACTGATGCTGTCTTTGGTGCCAGTGAGTCAAGTGTCTTCAAGATGGTTAGCTGATGACTGATTCAAGACATAGTTCCAAGAGAGCAAGTTCTATTCACACCAAATCAGACATATCGCGATATATTTAAAGATTCTCCAGTATCGGAGTCAGAAAGCCTGACACTCTGGGATGCACTGCAACCGCGTATGTTATTGCTTGTGAAAAATGCCATGTCCCCTCCTCATATCAAAACCTTCTTGCTTGCCTTTGACAAACACTGATGACTCGCCATTTTGGACATAGGAGGTGGAGGATTTATCATCGTTTCAGATCCAGAAAAGTATGGTCTCTCCGGCGGGTTTCCCTTGGAAGATGAGGATGATGGAATTGTGCGAGAAGGATACGGCATATCAATGTTTCACCAAATACACTGCCTAGTAAGTCGCGAACTTGTACATTCATGGATGACCACGAATCTAATCGCAGCGACAAAAAGGTAGCAATCAGGACCGCCTTTCGGACAAAGAACTTTGACGACGATCATCTGAATCACTGTTTCGAATACCTCCGCCAATCAATAATGTGCACGGGAGACACAACTCTGGAGAAGGTTGTTGTCGACGAAAATGGAGTATTCAAGCCGGATATTGATGGTTGGGGCACTGCACATGAATGCAAAAGCTGGAATATGCTTTATGAGTTCGCTGAGAAGAGGCGGGTGAAGGTAATAGGTGACTTATAGGGACTTTGCCATATGTCCGGACACTCTGTGTGGGAGCATTGAGGAATGCCTAGTTTGTGTTAACCTGGGATCTTTTGGACAATTTTCTTTTAATACTATAACTCGTTTGCTGTTGTAATACTCGTTTCGACGGCTCATCCAAGGTTCTCGCATCACGGTATACATTATTCCGAGCGCTACTAATAGAGAACTTTTAGTACTACCCACCGTTAGGTTATAGATAAAAGTGATGTCTTTCGGCAGTTGGTAATATATGTTGAAACAAGTGTTGGTTCTAAAACATCGGCATTTATTTACGGTGGAGCGTTACGACGAAGATTGCAGAAAACATACATGTGTTTAAAGAAACCACGTATTTATCGCCGCAGTAAAAGCAGCTCCAGTTTTGAGCGATGACTGGCTTTGTCAGTAAAGTGAATCTTCTAGCTATTGGTTAACCTGTGGTCATCGTTCCCCGTTGAAAATTGCGCGTTGCACAAATAGCGGTGTGCCAATGGGTCATTTACATTGAAGATTAACGAGATGTGCCTCGCCATTCCGAAACGGCAAATGATGCCATAATAACAAACGCAGTCTTCTTTAATTTTCTTTATTCTACATGATTCCTCGGTCTCTCCAATTTCTTTTCTTCTTTTACCGAGTACTAGGCAGTGAAACGGGTGTAGTTGGGTTTCTTCCATCACGATCGAGGGGAGCACCGTTCTTCGTATGATCACTTCTCTACTCAAGTCAACTTTTTGCGCACATCTGTCATACTTTATTTAGCCTTTTTCGGTCATTTCATGGCGAAAAGCAGCAGCCTGACATGATACGTGACAATTTCAGCGAGGCCTGTGACCATCATGAGGTAATTGAAGGAAGATATCCCCAACATTATAATGATCCTGGTTTATATATATTGTTAATTCCGCAGTAACTATCCATAACAGCATCATATGATCTTCGGTAGTCCAGTTTAATGGAGCCGCATCCATTTTCTTGAGCTAATGCATAATGCATGCTTGGGGCTGCCTCGCTTAGGATACGATGCCTAACCAAATACACTTGTGAAGCCCCAAGTTGAACAACATTCAACTCAACGACAAGATCTCACCGACATGTAAATGCACCGCAGAGTGGCTCTAGTGAGTCCATATGGCGACAGTAGGCTGTACACGCTTTTGAACAGCTCGCCTTTACGTAGATAGCCGAAATGGGGACAGCAAAGTTTCGCATCTCTGTCGTACTGGATTGTGAGTAGAAGTTTATCGTCAGCTGTTGCCAAGAGACCGCCCATACGCATGAACTCGTATCAGCTACCACAAGCGCTCTGAAGGATGATAGAGAAGACCAATAGAGAAGACCCTATCGGTCTGATGACCTACGTAGGATGAGCTGCAGCTCTCTGTCTTTTCACATCAATTGCGAGCGTGAGTAGGCAATATATAAACACTACTCTACATCACTACAAGTAGGAAGTCATGAACCTTCTTTAACCATTCTACTTCTATCATAATATGTGTCAACCATGTATTATGCGGCAGCCTTCTTTTTCGCTACACAGCTTTTCAGCCCCGTCATCAAAGCACAAAATGCTACCACAACCAGCTTCACTTGTCAACCGGGCCAGCCTTGCTGGCCAACGATCGCACAGTGGGAGGCCTTCAACCAGACTATAGCAGGGCGTCTGAAGATTACAACAATGCTTGCCAGCCCCTGCTTCCCAAGCTCCCCCAACTTCAACAACACCGACTGCGCCGATACTCGGCAAAATTATACCAGTGCTCAATTTCGAGGGACCGTATATGGCGCCATGGACATAACTCAATGGGAAGCTTGTGGTTCGGCGAATTGCTATCCTGGCTTTCTTCAGCCTCAGGGGCCGACGTGTGCGCTGGGAAGACTGTCTGCACTTTATGTCGATGCCGAAGAGGCTGCGGATGTCACGGCCACTCTCGGATTCGTGAGACGTCATGGGATCCGTCTCGTTGTGAAAAATACTGGCCACGATGTTCTAGGACGCAGTGCTGCTGCCAACACTTTGGCTCTTCGTGTCTATAATCTCAAAAACATGTCGTTCCATTCTTCCTTTACTGCCCGCAACTGCTCTACCTCCAACAGACAAAACGTGGGTGTAATCGGAGCCGGTGTCATTGCAGAAGATGCCGTTGCATTCTTTAGCAAGCAAGGCATGATGGTCACAGTTGGTGGATGTCCTTCTGTTGGCATTGCTGGAGGATTTGGCCAAGGTGGTGGCCATGGCCCTCTTGCTCCGAGTGTCGGGCTGATGGCTGATCAAGCAATCGAGTTTGATGTCGTTACCATGGACGGAGTATTCCGTACAATTAACAAATGCAACGACCCTGATCTATTTTGGGCAATGCGTGGCGGCGGAGGGCAATCGTACGCGATTCTTATCAACTACAAGTTTCAGCTACAGCCTCAAGTGGCATGGGCAAACTGGCGATTGGAGGCCACTCTCACTCCTCCCACGGATAACATAACCCAGAATACGCTCCTGCGCGACATCCTTACAACTTTAGCCGATCAACAGATTACATGGTCTGAGAATCGTATCGCTGGCTATAATGGTATTTCTCCAACGTCGCTCTCGATGATGGAAATGCTACCAGGTGGTGAGAAGCCGTTGCAAACACTGCAATCGGTAACTGCGTCTTTTCGCAGCCTCATTACCAACATGCCCGGTGTGAATATTACATTGGATTCATATGCGCTGTACCCTGATCAGAACGCCTTCTATATCGGCAACACAGAATACTGGAACTACCTTTCAGCTGTTGGGGTTTCACTCATAACCACTAGTCGTCTCATCACCAAAGACAACTTCGAGTCTCTGACAAAAGTGAACTCATTAGTTAACAGCACCCTGAAGGCCATGCAAAAGGTGGTTGACCAGCTTGGAGCGCAACCGGCACCACAGGTACAGTTTCAATTCTTAACATCCGTACCTAGCAATACTCCAGATTCAGACCAGGAGACAAGTGTAAACCCTGCCTGGCGAGACGCGCTGTGGCATTTTGTTTCTTCAGCTGCATGGTCTCCAGATACACCGGATGCAACTGCTATGCAAATCACCGCAGCAGCCCGAGCGGCCTTGGACATTATCAAGGAGCCTCTTGTTGTCCAGGCGGCGTACCTGAACGAGGCTGATCCTGAGGAGCCGGATTGGCAACATGTTTTCTTCGGGAAGCACTATGCCAAGTTGCTTCAAATAAAGCGAAAGTGGGATCCTGACACTTTGCTTAACTGCAAAAAGTGTGTAGGCTATCTTGGACCTCGGGATCCGATGTATTCTTGCGATGGAGATGCTCCGAATCCCTCGGTCCCATACCCATTTACATGAGACCTAATTTCTTGTTGTACGAGAAGAGTTTGAAGCTTTTTGCAATGTCAATTATGTAAATCTTAAGTATTGGGTTGTAAATAGCTTAAGATGGTGTGAAAATACAATAATAGGATGATGATTAATATGTCTATCCAATATGCGCCGTCGATTGAGACTTCAACGCTCTCTCCATGTCCCTAGTCACCTGTACATGTATGATGTCTAAAGTACATGTATGGGCGCCATTTCTCACCCACGGAGACGGACGCAAAGAGAGCGACCGGTAATAAAAGAGAAAAGCCCCATCCATATCTCCTACTCACAGACAGCGTTTACACACAAAGAGATTGTGATGGAAAAAATATAAAAAAGAAAGACTGACGGGTGTGGGATTCGAACCCACGCCTCTTGCGAGATGCGAAATCCTTTTGAAGGATCAAGATATTATCTTGAGTCGCACGTGTTAGACCACTCCACCAACCCGCCTTAGCGTCTTTGTTGGAACTCCGACATCAAAATGAGCCCTATACGTGACGCATCTTCAAACCACACTATTCCCTAGCACGAACTACTTTTACCCAACTCCTGAAGACTCCACCATCATTAAGGTCGAGAGAAGTCTGAATCCAGTATCGTGAACATTCCGATTATATGTCAAATATGGACGCTTCCTTCGCTTTCCGGGGATCAGATGTTTTCGGCAAGGCAACAGATAGCATACACGTGTAATTTTGCACATTACATTAGACATTCTGAAAGAAGCCGAGCATATCATAAAATTACCTGGATGACGAAGCTACTATTGCGATGTAACAGCCTGCATCTGATAAATCTGTTGACTGATTTACAACTTGATCCATTTTCGTTCATAATATAGACTACCATCCCGCACAGCCAGCCCATTAACTTCGAATCATTGGCCAAGGCCTAGCTAGCCTAACAACAACCCAATACGCAACGGAGAAGCAGCGTGCATAGGACTTTAAAATAGTGTCGAGCATAGCATGCTATTGTTGTGGCGATGAACGCCTAGATCTTATTTCTTTCATTGATCTATCATCATCTAATCGAAATACCCAAATTTTTGCATCCTCTTCTGCAAACGCCTTCATGGAGTATACAACCTCGTTCGTCTCAAGCTTATACCTTTATATCTAGATGGTAAGATCTAATGATTGAGTCTGTGTCGTCAATAGCCAGGGGGCGAATGTCCGCCATTTGCTTGATCTTGGCAGTCCTGCGCATAGTGTCAATATCGCCCGTGCAGTGAAAAACCGCGGAGGAGAGGGGAGATGCGTACACTTCCTTGACTTGATCATCAGAGAACTCTGAGCCCAGGCCAAGCTGCTCGATTCGGGCCTTGACAGCATTCCAGCCTGTAATTCTTGAATTAATGGAGACATAGCGAGTCACTAAAAGTAGACGTTAGCATAGAGGACTTGATAAAAAGGGTGGTGGGCGTGGACGCACTTCCGAAGTCATGGGGATTGATGATCTCGTAGGTTGATGGGTTAGCAAGAATAGCTGTAACACAGTTAGCGCTGGAATAGGGGTGACTGCAACTTCTTCATCGTACCCTTAGCATGGATGCCAGCCTTGTGAGTGCTGAGTGAGAGTTAGTTAGAATAGAGTCAGGTAACCGTCATTGATCAATGAATAGCTTACAATGCCTATCTCAAGGTTAGCGGGAACAACATAAGTATGCTTGGACACAGGGGTTAACGTACACAGAAGCCCGTCACGGGATTGTTGAACTAGGAACGAGATTAGCTCAACACATCAGAGTTCAGAATGCTCTCCTTGTCCTTACTGGGATGTTGACCTGGACGGCATCGGCAACCAGGGTTTCTAAGCTCTTCAATGCCTTGAGATTATACTTGGACTTGACATAGTCCGGTGCTGTTACAACCATTCGGGCCATCAAAGCACCACTTCTCTTGGGGTCAGCGGTTTTGCTGTTCCTCAAGACAGACGGTTCTCCTACTTACAGCGGAGTGATGCCATTGCGTTCGCCGATTCCTAATACTGAGGTATCGACATGTGTGGCTCCAGCTTCGAGCGCGGAGTGTGCATTTGCAACTGCGCAGCCAGTATCGTCGTGAAAATGTGTCTCTGGGGTCAGCGTTAGCTGAGGGTTTCATAAGTTGGGAGCTAGATGATGGCCAAGGTTACCTATGTCGCAGCCCACAACGCCTATACATATGAGTTAGTTACAGGAATCTGCAGGTGATATCAGAAGACGCGGGAACTCACCTCTCAGTGTCCTGATCAAGTCGTAGACCATCCTTGGCGTGGCTCCGCCAACGGTATCGGCGACACCTCTGGGATCCGTTAGCTAACCGAACGCATGCGACACGGTGGGAAAAGATGTCCGTACACTCGGTCGACACCAGCCTTGTCACAAGCTTGGTAGAGGTGTAGGATATCGACGAGGTTGCTCCTGAAGGAATCCTCACTTGAAAAGCGGACTTCAACACCCTTGCTAAACTTAAGTTAGCTCTCATTACGGCGGCATGGGTCAACTTGTCGGTGGCTAGCGAACCTCTTGACATAGGCAATGACCTCCATCGCAATGTCCTTAATCATTTCCATGCTCTTACCATGGGAATATTCCCGGAGGAAGCTTGATGTTCCAATAACCTAACATGGCATAAGCTGTTGAGCAATCGAAAGAGGATTAGACGAGGGAGGCTACCAGGTCGACGCCATCCACGCCGCACTCGACTGCCTTCTTCGCATCCTCCATATTACAGCGGACGTGCGTAAGGATCTTGGCCTAGATATGCATAGTGCTTAGTTATATGTCCCACTTATTGAGAGCGACGACTGTCCCGCTATCAAACTAAAGCAATTGAGAACGAACCTTGAGACCAAGCTGACAGATGGCCTTGCAGTCATCAAATGAAGCTTGACTAGCTACAGGGCTGGTCAACTCGATGTAGTCTACACCGAAGTTATCACTTTACCAACTGTGTTAGTATGCGGTTCATCGTATATTGTGATTGTGATGCTGTTTACTGACAGTGCTTTGGCGATCTTGATCTTGGTTTCGAGGTCGAAGAAGGCGTTCGCAAACTAGTAGCGGATGTGAATATCGTAGAAAAGAAAAAGAAGTCGGGTCGACGTAGGAATTGAGGATTCATACCTGCTCTCCTTCTCTCAAAGTGCTCTCTAAGATACAGTGTCAGTCGGTCAGTCGCTGTGATGCACACGAGGAGGGGCACTAGAAGGAGGGGAAATTGCCATACCAATGATCTTGAACCTGCCAACATTTGAGATGTAGTCCTGAACCATCTGGTAGGGAGAAGACGCCGGTGTGCCCCGGGCAGGATAGACGCCGTTGCTTGTCTGTGCCGAGGGAGCAGCATTGTCTGTTGTCGAGTTCGCGGCGGGCGCTGTGTCTCCGTTGCAGGTACCGCACATGATGTCGACTGTGCTGGCAAACGCAGGCGGGTTTAAGTATCGTCGATGGTGTTATTGTTGGAAAGGGTATCTTCGGTTCCGCGTAAGAGTGAAAAAAAATTCAGCTTGGGCAGGATAAGTAATTGGAAGTGATGCCCAAGATTTAAAAAGCTAAACGTCCGTGACGTGAGTCAAAAGCGATGCCGCTGTCAGCGGAGGTTTTTGCGTTTGTTTCTACCTACGTAGTTGGTGGGGGCACAATAATTATACAGATTGAGTTCAATTGGCCAATCTCGATCTAATTCGATGCTCCCCAGACGGCCCACATAAATTTAAGGCACTTGAGGCAGTAGATTAGACGAAACTTACATAGCTCTACGTCACAGTGCGCTCGCGTGTCCAGTGCATGTTAGCGGAGTAGCATTTTATATATGCCGTTTACCTCAAAGATGTCATGTAGGGAGTGATATTTAGCATACAATCATCATGTCCCAATTACCTTTTTCATCACCTTCATGCTTTATTGCGTGAGCAACAATCTGTCCATCCATGAAACCATCAATATAACACGGTCCAATCACCCTGAGCCGCTTCATCTTCGTATCCGACCCAGGAACCAGCCGTGCTACACACGGAAAACGACACCCCTTGAAGAAAACGATTTCATCACCCTTTTCCGAATTATATGGGACAAGCCCAATATATCCTTTTGATGAAATCACAAATCTCTTGAGAGAGGTGGTGATTTTTAAAGAGTCTGTCAACGTCGGGGATGGTGCTGCAGATCTCATGCCTCGCTGCGCCTGCCATCCCATAAGAGTATGCCAAACCGAGAACCAAGTCTGCATTTGTTCCACTGATGATTGTATAAGATCCTCTGGAGGAACATCTTTGGTAAATCTCCCAGAGATTGGGTTTCGCCACGGCATCAGAGATTGTATCATTTCTTTAGTCAAAGGACCCATGCGACGGAAAACTTGGTCCCCGGGCCATATGCTCAAGTCGGTGCAGATAGTCCTGCAAAAGTCCACCCATTTCGTGTTTGGGGAATGACTATGGGCAAGTTGCATCCAGTGGAAGATTGTTTGCCACATCTCCTCATCAGTAGACCCTTCTGAGACCGTATAACCAAGAATTGCGACATCGTCTAGGACGATGCCTTCTACCTCGAGTAGTGTGTTGTTGTTCTCTGGAAATTTGACCGCGGCTTTTGTTCCCAAAGTAGCATCATACATCAACAAGGCATTTATCTGAGTTTCGTCTTCATTGAACTCATTCCTGATAGACCAATCTGGCACCCAGGAAGGCAACTTATCGTTCCGCAACCGACCAGCTGCAGACAAGAGGTCAAGTGAGCCAGATTCTTGGATAATCATCCTTGCTGCAGTGATATAGACGTCTTCTAGCCCCTTACCATAGTCGGGATAAATGAAAGAGGGGCTGTTTCCAAGCTTTATGAGAGACAGAAGAGCATAGACTTTGTCCCGAGCATCGGTGGCATCTCGTCTATTATGCATGCAGAGATATCTGTAGAGGAGGTATGAATCAAGGTTCCCGGCAATTTCAACTGCTACTGATCCCTCAAAATCTTGTTTTGGGAACAGCGACGTCAAAACAAGCTGATCAGTTTTGATGCCATGGCGGAGCTTTGCGTATATTTGCCGTGTCTTCTCGATGTTGTCAACGTGAGCAAGCAGAAGCTTCACAGCAGAGGCATATCTTGGTGGAGCATCGTTGGCTAGATATGAGCCGCAGCAGTCGGTTATATGAGCACGCACGGTGAGAGCTGCCTCCTTTATCATGGCCCATGGTACTGCGGTCGTTCGATAGATGAATATGGGTGAAGAGCCAACCACGCTCTCTTGTAGGGTCCATACGCGATCCCACCATGATTCCCGAGTGAATTCTTCAAACGTTTGAATCAGTGTCTGCCAGGGATATTGGGACTCTTCTGATCCTTCAAATGTCCCTCCCCATTGCGGTGCAGTGCTCAGATGCTCATTGATCTTAAAGGTGACAGCTCTTTCCAGGAAAGAAAAAAGAATCGAACTCTTCTTATCATCATCAAGCGATCTTTCAGAGTTGCTTTCGTCCCATGCTGGGGGCGAAACTGCTTCAAAATACCTCTGGCCGTAGACACAGAAGCGAAATTTGTGCAACTCTTTCACTTTTGCGAAATAATCGTTAGCGGCCAGATCAATGCCAGCTCCGAGAACGACAAACACCGTGGCGGCAGACGAGTAGATACGATCCATGATTGATACTTGAGAAGAGCGCTCCGCTACATCTTCCTGATCAATGCAGACAGCATCGGCCCAAAGCGGCATGCTCCATCCAGCTCGGCGATAGTAGCGGAGAGCGGTCTCTAGGCTACGTCCGATACGTTGCTCATAGCCGTTGATGTACAAGGTACCATCTTGAAAAGTTTCTCCCCAGACGTATGAGAGAGCAACATACTCTGGAGTATCGCTGAGGGAGACAACACTGATCTTGCAGTAGATATCAGCTGTCCATTCATCGGGGAGAATAGTGAGAAGGCGAATATCTCCATCTCTGAGGGGTAGCGTTGGATAAAGTGCCTGTAGTCCCATTTTCTAGTAGCGAAATACTTGATGGGTAGAGAATTGTGATTGTTTACTAACAGCCTGGGGTTAAGTCCCGGTTCAAAGCATGGCGATGGCCACGATACACGGATGTATATGTATGTATAGTGAGCACTAGCTTAAAAAGGCCATAAGGCCAGCATATTACTAGGGTCTATACGCAAGTTCTGCCCTACAATACTAATCAGGAGTCTCAGTCCGTTGAGTGTCTTGGTGTATTTCCCATTCTCCGATAACTTTAACATCTCAATACAGATATCGAAGCTGGTGTCCTACAAGTACCTCAGCTCTACTTCGTAAGATGGTCAAAGAGGGTCTCCAACGCTGTGTCGCGCAAGTCTACTCACACCAGCTGATCTATCCAGCACTAATACTATTGATATCACAGGTACACCATGAACGAATCAAGCCAGAACCCCCCGATGAAGAAAGCAAACAAAATCATGAGATTCCAACACAAGCTTGTATTAAAGCCAAGACCCTAGACCACATGGAGATAGTTTCCGCATCCATAGCGTGGGCGGCCTACAACCCGGTTGCAAGCACTTTCGGTCTTGTCCCACCAATCAGCCGCAAAACGGGAGCACATCAACGCCACCATCAGAGAGAAAGTCAATATATTAATGCGACTACTCATAAACCTCAATGCTACCCCGCGCGATAAACTGCCATCCATGTGAATATAAAAAGAACATAAAGTCGGGATGTAATGAAGAATAAGATTACATCTTCTTTAGCACTGTCAAGCCTTGACTGGCATTTATCTTCATGATACTACGCTCCGTCTTTTCCCAGCTGGTGGCTGAATAACTTTGATAAAAGAAAAATGTCCATCCCAAGCCGAGACCACACTCCCGAGAGCCATGAAACCGATGCATTAAACTCGTCGGCGCCCATCAACTCAGAGCTTCTTGCTATCGAGAAGAGCTCCTGGAAGCGAGCCCTGCATCGTGATCGCTATTATGGATCCCTCCTCTTCAACGTCGCAGCATTCATCCTCCCCGCCCTCTACGGCACACTCTCAAAACTCTGGGTCGCAAACATAGATTCTTCAATGGTCGTAACAACAGACGCCTTCACCTACATGAACACCGCCTCCGAAGCCGTCAACGAGGGCCTCCCAAGAGCCGCCTGGGTAATCATTGGCGACGAGGCATCCCGAAGCCTTTCCGAGCGCCTCCAGCTGACCCATACTCTGATTGCGTTCCAGTCGCTGGTGGGATTTCTCCTGAGCGTGATATTTCTCGGCGCGGCCCCAAAGTTCGCCGACAGCTTTGTGCCAGAGGAGGTTCGGGCGGCGAGCTTGACGTATGTGCGCATCACTTCTTTCACCGTCTTGAGCGGCGCGATTGAAACGGCCGTCGCATCGGCAACGAGGGCCTTGGATAAGCCTGATGTGCCGCTGGTCATCAGTTCCATCAAGTTTGCCGTCAATATAATTTTAGATCTACTCATCATCTCTCGCTATCATGTCGGCTCCTTCGAACCCACAGTCAATATGCAGGGCATTATTCAACTAGTGTGTAGCCTAACTGCCGCATTGGCTGGATTGGCCTATTTTCTCTATTTCGTGAGCTTTTCAACGTGGCGGAAGCATAGTCAGTTCCCACTCGACGACCACGTTACAAGGACCAGTAGATCCCTTTCGCCAAACCTCCGAGGACTACGCGTCTTACTGAAGCCTGGAATCATCTTCTTCGCCGAGTCAGCCATCAGAAATGCATTATACCTTTGGCTCGTTACCACCGTTGTTTCTTTAGGATCCGTTTACGCCACTGCTTGGGGCGTCTTCAACACCATCCGCTGGGGATTGGTCATGGTTCCTGTACAAGCCCTCGAGGCAACATCTCTCCAGTTCATCGGCCATAAATGGGGACAGTGGCGACAACTGATCGGAGTCAACAACCGGAGGCCAAAGGCAGGCTGGAAGGAGATTTTCAGTCTCATTAGCCCTGCGCTACGGTCACTTGTGATAGCTCTCCTCGTCGAGGTCCCCATCGCCATTTTTCTTTCGGCGTTTGGCGCCCGGCCGTTTGCACTTTATATCAGCGGATCGAGTGAAGTCGCCGATGTTACTGCGCACATGTGGCGGACCATTGACTGGTGCTACATCTTTTATGCAATGTCGACGCAGCTTGCGACTATTTTGCAAGCAACCAGACCCAAGTGGTATCTGTACCAGAGCTTAGCAAGCAACTTGTTGTATGTTCTACCATGGGCGATAGTGTGTCAAGCTGTTCATTTGGATGAGGGAAATGCATGGACATATCATAGCCTCATATTTGGAGGCAGCCTTGTTTTTAGTTTTGTTGATGTTCTTATAGTAGTCGGCGTGTGGATGTGGACCTTGTGGGCAGGGAAAGCGAGATTAGAAGTGATCCAAAATTAGTCCGCTTGGATTAATCGGATTACCATGATGCTCTGGACGAAATGTTTCTCAGTGTTGTTGCTAACAGTTGTCTATACATTAATAACAGAGAAAGTTTGATGAAGACCACGTTGCCCTCTTGAATGCGTTTCCCCATGATTTATCGTAATAAATATCGGTTATTGCCTACTATTTCCGTTAAAGAAGCCATATCTTCCCATATCCAACGACAGTCAAGCCTAGCTTCGATCTGTCCGTCGATCGGCCCACAGCCACCCGGAGCGGGGTGGGTCTTCCGAAGGCCGTATTTAAGCATTGTTGAGGGGTTGCTCCATGGGATGAGATGGTTCAGATTCACTCATATCAACTGCTTCAAGATGTCCATGACAACCGAAGACTGTACCAAGGTCCGGCCCGGGTTCCCGCGGCCGGTCCCGGAGACGCCTGAGAAAGTGTTTGAACAGTTTCAAATGAGAGACAAGGTTGTCATTATTACCGGAGCAGCAGATGGTATTGGTCTTGCTGTGACTGAGGCAATGGCAGAGGCGGGCGCAAACGTTGCTCTGTGGTACAACTCGTAAGATGATCCCCCCAATAGTATAATCCCTGACTACGATATGTCAAGCTTATACAGGGACGAAGGAATGATGCGGCCGTTGAGAAAGCAAAGAGCCTTGGCGAGACTTATAAGATCAAAGCCGCCGCATACCAAGTCGACAGTACGTGGCAGTGTATCTACTATTAAAGCCTCTTATTGATGCTGATGCGACTCCCAGTCTCTCAAGCCGAACAGGTGAGCACAAACATTGCCAAAGTAGTCCAAGACTTTGGCAAGATTGATGTCTTTGTTGCAAACGCGGGTGAGTTATAAGCACCTACGTCACTGTCAGATTCATCAACGCTGACACTCCTGAAGGTATGGCAATCTCGCGACCCATTCTAGAGCAGACTCTAGACGAGTACCGCAAACAGATGTCCGTAAATGGTCTGTATACCAATCCTCTCCGACAGTCAAAACATCGCAACGCCACGCTTACTACCTAAATAGTGGACGGCGTAGTCTTCTGCTCCAAGTACGCCGGCGAGGTCTTCAAAAGCCAGGGCTTCGGCAACTTCATCATCACATCCAGCATGAGCGGTCACATTGTCAACGTGCCCGTAGACCAACCAGTGTACAACGCCACCAAGGCCTTTGTCACGCACTTTGGAAAGTCTCTAGCCCGTGAATGGCGAGAGTTTGCCAGAGTCAACATAGTGTCACCCGGCTTCTTCGACACCAAGATGGGCGCCAACCCTTTGGCCATCAACGAGGCGTATCGAATGGCCGCGCTGGGCAGACAGGGCCATGTTAAGGAGATCAAGGCCTTGTATCTTTATCTTGCTAGCGATGCATCGACGTACATGACGGGCAGTGATGTTCTCATCGACGGCGGCTATGTTCTTCCCTGAGGATCAAATTATGTTTGTATAAGTATGTGGTCACATAACAGCAAAGCATATAGAAATCTCCAGGGTCATGGCATTATCGCCCTTTATCAACTCCAATACAACAGTTCTAAAATGTTGCAAGATATATGTGTCATCTAGTGAAGTGAGCTTTATGGGATTTCATCATATATGATCGCAACTTCATCGAGTTTTAGTTTGGCATTGTCCTTCTTTCTTTGGCTTCAATGATGGAGATTTGAAGTTATTGCTAGCTCTTCACATTCCTCTTTACCTACTCATGAACCGTATTCAGCAACTTTTGTAATATTTTAAGACTATCTATAAGTAATAATGAGCCGAACCTAACGAATGTATACCTAAGAAACTTCACTCCTGCAACATAAAATCATCAACTGTTCTGAATATCCCACACCTTTTCCTTCTTCAAAATCATACTTGAACATAAAACAACCCTTTCTCTTCTGTTAAGCAACTCGAGCAACAACCCCTTCTTTTCTCCCTCCCGTCAGAATCTCCCCACAATCACGTCTTTACTAACATTCATTGCACCAACGTTCGAAAATTCCCTCCCAAAGTAGCCCGCCAAGATGTGCCCTCACCGCTTCATTCCCCAAGTTTTGCATCATAAACCTGTTAAAAAGCTCTCCAATCATGTTCCGAGTCAGCTTGTGGCCCTCTCCATCCATGATCTTCAGTTTAGCCGTGTAACCAAGATGCCAAAACATCGCCACGGAGTGTTTCGCATGCTTAAAGTGAATTTGCTCATCGTCCAAGCCATGGATTAATACCACGGGTGTAGAAGCGTCTGTACGATCGATGTATCTCTTGTGGGTAGGCGCTTCCCACCGAGTAGTAAGATATGTGAGGAATCCCATCAATCGCGCGCGTCTCGCTTCGTGAGTCTGTTCATTGCCGCGATCGACATCAACAGTTGCAGCCGAGGCTTCAGAGTTGGCTTCATCCTGTTCAGAGCTGCTTTCATCCTTATTAGGCATCTTCGACCGAGCGTTCTCCACTGCCTTTGTCTGTCCATCTATCGCAATGTATTTCAGATCAATGTGAAACGGCATCACGGGGTGAACACCCAAAAGCCCCCCAATGCGCTCTTCCGATTGAAAGAGAAACGCCGTCGCAACCGCGAATCCTATTCCAAACCCCACAAGGAAGACGTTTTCTCGACCGACTATCGTAGCCTCTCTGAAGACTATAGTCTTGATCTCGTTGATACAAATACTAAGGTCCTTCCATTGGCTCGCAGTTGCCGTGTCGTCGGCCCCGATAGGGTCGTCAGTCAAGTACCAGCGACGTTTAATAGCAGGGTCATAGACTGCGCTTTGGTCTGTGCCAGCTGTCTCCCGAGTATCATAAAACGGTAGGTCGCACATGACGTATCTCGCCTGCCCCATAATGCTTGCCAACGTATATGGCTTCGTTGCTTGTTCGATTTCGTACAGAAGCTTGCGTCCTGAGGATTTGATGTCGGGTAAGAAGATGAAGGACGCTATGGCCCTTCCAGCCTGAGCGTTTTGAGTAGCCGACGACATGACGGGCAAGTGTGTGGCAAGAAATGTGTTGTTTGAACTGGTTATTGTTATGCTCAAATATAAAATAAAGAATAACAAAGATTCCAGCAATTAATAGAGAAGTAAACAAGATTGTTGATAAAGGAGGTGAATGTCGAGTGCGGCTTCAATGTCAAGGAGAAGCCAAGGTGAAATTTGGATCGCTTGTAATTCACTTGGTACCAATTTGATCCTCAAGTCAATTGCAGATATAGAGATTGAATAAGATGAAAAGCAGAAACCAGGGTCAGTGCAGCTCCTGTTTATTGATATAGCCCAGCCCAAAATACTCTCCTCATGAGGCTTTCTGAGTTGCTGCGCAACGGGAAACTTATTGACAGCCCAGATGAACACTGCCTTTCCATACTCTTAGTACGGATTCTCCCAGAGACAGAGTTTCTCGTACGCCTTCGGATAACAAGGAGTACGCCTTCAGATAACGAACAATTTAGGAGAATCTCGAGCCATCTTAGGCTAAGCATGATATTCTATTGAATTCAAAGCTGGCCAAACCCCTATACTTTTAGAAATAGGCAAAGAATTATATTCCAAATGATTTATATACGACTTTGGCGCCTAACTGATAGATCCCCCCTTTAAACCTCCATAAATCCGTTAAGGATGATCCCATAACATACTAGGTACCGTGTACTATAGACTAAAGATACAAGAGGAGGAAAAAGTAAAAGTCAACATTATCCCAGATTATCCGTTCCCATCCTAACGCCCATTATCGGAACGCCCATTATCGGCAAACGCCGCCATGCTTCCCTTACGCCGCAGGTCTCCTGCTTTGAGCTTCCGCACCACTTGATATGATCGATCCAATTCGTTTTCCACAGCACATCGTATCCTCAGCGCCGCCAATGCCGGCCAAACGCTCCTCTCGCCACGTAAAATCCAGTAGTTCAAGGTATCCCGTGTGGGCGTCTCGAGCAAGCGAACGAAATCGCCAGCAGTCACTTCTGGGACTAACGTCATCGATGCCGCCGGCACTTGCTCGTCAACAAGGAAACGACGAATGCTTGCCGGTAGAAGACGAAGTGAATCTAGTTGCCGCAAACGATGTCTGATTTCAAGCCCCACCACTCGAACGAGGAAAGCTGAGAGTTGTGTGGACTTGCTTCGTGTCTCCAGTAAAGACGGCCCGTGCATGTCGGACTGTAAGAAGGGAATAAGATAAGGCCTTGCCTGGCTGACGATGAAGTGATTCACGTTGAAGAGCTCGGCAATTCGTCGAAGGGGAGAGTCGCGGTCTGTGTAGGAAGCATGCGTCCAATGACGGAAATCGGTCGTGTTTGCTGGAGCCCAGGGAACAATGTTGCCGTGAGCATCTTTACACAAGATTGTAGCTTTTGAGCGGCCATATAGGGATGGGGAAGAGGCATTGGAGGCGACTGCAGCCGTCCAAATCAACTGTCATTATTCAGGTCAGCACAGTAACAGTGGATTTATGGAAGTTCGTTGGTTATCACATACCACGTTCGGGGCGGTGATGTAGTTCAGGAGAGTTGGGACCCCTGCCCCTAGACCATCCGTAGCCACCGTTATGTTGAGCACTCTCTTGCTACGATTGTACGCCTCTTCAAATGTCAAGTCGCCAACATTTGCTCTTACACAATCTTCGAGCACGGTGACATCCAGGAAGTAACCTTCTCGCGAGAACCGTCGAATCCTCCGTAAAAGAGTCTCCCATCTCGACTTCAGGGATTGCTCGGCAGGGATTTGGCCATCTTCTGTAGTTCCCTTGGACGCAAAGGCGCTGAGATCGATACCATCACCCCGGAGAACGCCTGGAAGCTCTTCCTCCGTGTGTATCGCTACCAGCGCAGCTATCAATGCACCAGTTGCTGTGCCAGTGATGATTCGCGGGAGCAAGCCTCTAAGAAACAGGGCCTTGACAACTCCGAGATGGCACAGACCAAAGATTGCACCGCCTTGAAGGACCAACGTAGTCCGCCCAAACGCTTGTCTCGTGTCATGAATAAAGTCCAACTTCATCTGGTTCGTCAACGCCTTTTCGTTTGGATGCAGGCTCGAAGCAGCACTCGTCGGGAGAGCGCTAATGTCCTCGACCGACTCGGCCACCTGAGCAATGTATTCCTCGATCAAGTATTTGGTCCCAGAAAAGGATCGGTTATATAGTTTTGGTACAGCAATGTTGCCGAGGTTGCGCACGAGACCCGACCGGAGCAGGTTGACGAGCTGCTCGTAGTTGTTTTCCTCTCGTGCGATGATGAGCGAGTCTAGCCGCTCTGTTATGAGCGCCCAGTCGTAGTACTTGGACGTTGGATTATTCCTCCTATTCAAAGACAGCAATAGGTTAGTACAATTCCCAAGCGCAGGAATAAAGACTGATAAAGACTGATTCATCTACGTACCATAGATCGAGCCCCAGGAGGTTGTCGAGATGGAGCGCCGCCTCTTCCCACTCCTCAAACGTCTCTGCATTGCGCAGCAGCTCAAGCCACAGCTTGACGGGGTTCTTGCGCGTGTACCAGCTCAGGAGCTTCTTCAAGGGCGTCAGAAAGACGATCATGGCGATGGGGAGCATCAACGAGAGCGCCGTTACCTTGCGCCAGAAAGTAGCCACGTCCACCACCACCCTACAGACAGCCAGCACGAGCCCCATGGTTGATGGTTACGCCGAGGAACGCCTGATGACGCCCCAGACCATCTCACGAGGGCAACTCTGCTGCTGCTGCTGCTGCTGTTGCTGTAGCTGTTTCTGTTACTATTGCTGTTACGCTGTCGCTGTCGCTGCCGCCGTCGGTCGGTGCACGTTGCACGTTGCGTGTAAGCAGTGGGTCGGTTCGGGTCGGTTCAATCAAGTTCAGTCAGTTCGCAGCGCGCCGAGGCATCGTAAGCTGGACTCTGTAGTTGTCGTTGTAATCCCGTGATCGAGAGATCGGCAGAGCAATCAATCGATGTTTCCGCTGCGAATCAGGTCAATGGCGCCGTGTTTGTTGTTTGTCTGGTGAATCTGCAGCAACGCCCTGGCCTGCACCACGGCAATTGATGACATTTCCGGCGTTCCTTTTGCCGTTTTTCCCACGGCCTGGCCGCTAATTAAAAGGACGAGCATGTGATGGATTGTTGAGCAGCACAAGTATGAGATCACCCAGGAGCCGCGCCACAGCGCCACATTTCTCGGCCCAGAACATTCAATGACAGGCGCGGATGCATGACAGGGGGAGAGTTTAGCATTAGCACCATGCAGGAGCACGCCCGGAGCATTATCGATAGACATGTAACAGCAACATGCATCAAGGCGGCAGTACTAACAATTGAACTGGATTCGTTTACTGAACTATTAACCAGCTAGAACTACAACTCTTTCAATCCCTTCACCTCGAGAACTATTCATGTGCCCTTCTCAGGGATTCTCTCGTCCAAAGTGGAGGCTTCGCAGGGACCACATTTCCTCTCAACGTTTTTGACTGGGGCTGTCTTGCCACCGCTAATAAGTGCCTGGATCGAAACGGCGTTGGGGAGCGTCTTATTATCCATTGTCTCAACTCGTAATTTACGGATCGTACACTAAAGAGTCAGTAACATCAGAGCAGGACATCGTAGCAATCGTTCGATGTAGACAGATTGATATGTCGACCATCAACCGATGGCATGTGGTAGCATATTTGGAGAATATTGTTCAAAATCCCTATCAAATGCATATTGCTCCAGCGTCTCCCTTTTGTATCTTTTGTCCCAATATCAAACTAGCACTCAGCTGGTAAATTAGTTTACATTATAGTAGAGGCTTGGCGGAAGCAATGGCTCTCGTCTTCCTCGTGTGAATCTCTTCCTGAAAACGCCCTATTCATCGTCGTCGTCAATCACGTTTCGCCGTCTGCCTGATCTGCCACTGGTCTCCATTGGCTCCACCTCATCTCCCTCCGCGTCTTCATCGTCCTCCGGCTCCTTGGTTCGCTGCCTCTTGGATCGCGGGGCCTCGTCCTCATCGTCCAGAATGTCTTCTTCCTCATCATCATCAACACCGCTCTCCATCTCCTCTTCATCACTGCCCACCAGGAAACCATCGTCCAAGTCGTAGTCTTCATGTCGCGAGACACCCTGGGGCAGGTCGTCATCAGAGTCATACTCTGGACGCCGTCTTTTAGGTCGCGCAGAACCGGGTGCTCCTCTCTTCCGGGCTGCTCCAGACCTGGCGCCCTCCAGACCACCAATTGACAGCCCACCACGACCGGATCGTCCCACACCACCGTCCATCTTGGCCACGGCATTGTCGCGCTTTCGCTGTGCCTTCATCCGCTCCTTTTCGGCCAGCTCGGCTTGCTTCTTCTGTAACTCGGGATCGACCACTGTCTTGATAATCATCTCACCGCCGGCCGATGACTTGCTGGCTAGAGCCATTCTCTCCGCCAAAACAGATAGGGCATTGTCTCCAACAGCCTTGTTTGGCTTGATTGTGTACTGCTCTGACAAGTGGCCCACAGTCATCAATAAATTGCTACTTAATTCGGCAGCGGCAGCGTAGTAATGGCCATCCTTCAATTCATCGTAAGGCTGTCCGGGGCCTGGAGCCAACCCCTTCTTGTTGATCTCGTAGTGTTCGCCAGCGATGGAAATGGTAACAGAACCATCGCTCCACCGGTAGATGTTTGTGTTGCTTTTCAGTTCGTTTGTGCTTGCATCTCTGCGGACCCGGACGACATGTTTTGGGTGCTCTGCTTTGGCGTTTTCAAGATCGAACGCGGAGGGTTGGAAAGTTTCCTCTTCGTATGGCTCGGGGAGAAACCTGACGAACTTCGGAACTCGCATCACACGAAGCTGGCTCATATGTAAGCATTTTGATAGTCAAGTGAGAGTTTGGGCGATTTCAAAGAACTTACCGAGTCGTCGGACGGTTTGGGGATGCGATGGCGATATGCTTGCACGGCCATGACGATTCTATCCTTAGTTTCCTGTCGTGACTGGCTCCCATCATACTCTCGCGGCTCGGCATCGCCATATGCTTCGGGATCTGAGGCGAGATCATCGTCGTCTAGAATGCGCGCCTGGGGAGAGGCATCCACCTCATCGCCCTCGTCGCCGAAAAGGTCATCGCCGCCCTCGTCGATGGCGTCAAGGGGATCCTCTGAATCGGACATTGTGTGCTGCTGCGAAAGAACTAGGCCGAGAAAAGGTTATTGTGAGACGTTCTAGGCGCACAAGAGAGCCTCAGTGCACCAATGGGCCGTATAATTGATGCGCAGGGATAGGAATATTGGCGACACTGCGATTTCGAAATCTGCTGCGCGAGGCACGTTTGCAGAGCGCGGTCTCAATTCAAGCAGCTCGGCGTTTGTGGCTGGTGCATTGTCTTCAGCCACGCCTACGACTTGGGCATCGGAGCACGAGACACGATTGGTTGGTTTGATTGCTTAGTCAGATTTTACACTTAGTTGAGCCTCTCTTCCGGATATCGGGACCAGTTTTGGCGCTACCCATCCACAAGGCTGGGTCTTTGAAGGCAAAAGGTAGGCTTATCAATGAGATTCAAAGATGGCGCCATTTGTGTTTGACAATGGACATTTTACTATGAAATAGCAAACAACGCATAGCTGGTTATCCAGAGAAAATATCAATCAGTGCAAAGACCAGTCGTTAGGTTTGTTTTTGGCAGGCTGATTGATTGCATGTGACGTTGATGTTGGGTTTCAGAAGCATCTCTCTTCAACTGCCACCTTCAAAAAAAAAAAAAACATCAATTGCTGGATTATACCCATCTTACCAGCTTCGTCAAACAATTCCTATCTTTCTTCTAATGATCAGTTTGGTAAAATGACCACTAAAACATATACCAGCCATAGGCATCAAAAGTTCCAAAACGCGCCGCTAATGGCTGACCTGAAACCTCCACACGCCTAACCTTAGCCATGGTTAGCCAAGGCAAAAGCGAGATTGTCCTCATTACTCGATCCAAACGGCACTAACTCCCCCGTGCCAATACCGCAAGGCTCCGTACTTTGTACTTTGTAATAGCGCCCGTCAGTTCCTTATTGCAACGGAACGGGCCTCGCAAAAGTCGTCGTAAGTAACTCGTGCTAGTTAGTCTAAAACTCGTGCTGGGACCAACATCCCGTTCGAACAGCTGGTACTTTGGAGCATTTTAACAGCTCATCCTTCATCTATCCCTTCAAGAAGCAATCCGAATAGAACCTACAAGGCGAACCCGGTAGCGAGCACATGCCACTCAGCCCTGGACCAGCCATTCTGCACCCCTATTTTCTACCTGCATAGGATCCCGTGACAAGGCTGGAGCCCCGTCTGCAGTCCATCTGTTTGCTGCACCCGCCCTTTCGCACCCCGCCTTTTTACAATGTCCAACCTCTTCTCTGGGATGTAAGTGAGGCCGTCAAATTCCGGCTGTTTCTTTGTTTGTCGGTTTGTTTTCTCGTCGTCTGCCTTTGTCCCCGATGTTGTCTTTTTTGGGAGAGATCTCGGTAACGCAGCACAGCTGTTGCATTGCCTTGTCCTTGTTGAGAAAACTACCCGATTAGGCTTCATTGAGGGAGGGGGTCCTGAAACAGCGTCTCCCAGCGGTGAGGGGCAAGTGTCTCGAGCCGCTGTTCACTTTTGATATCCCGAATATCATCATCGTTGCAATCGGATTTCAATCGCCCTGGAATCCCATTGGAAAATACTCGTCGTGGCGAATCTCTCGGCTCTTGGGCTTCTGTCTCGCACTGCTCAGAGGCGTTCAATGGCTTGAGACAGTCTGGCTGGGCACCCTTGACTGAGGAGCTCCCAAGGTGCCACTTTTAGGCATTATCGATATCCAAACGACAGCCCATCATCTGAGCTGCTGCATCGGCGTTGCCTGTTCGTCTCGTTTCATCGGAATGGACACTCAATATGAGTATTTATTCCCACGTGTCATCAATCTCAAGTACCGTTACAGAGCAGCTGTCGATAACTGAGCTTTGAGAGTTGTCGAGTCGACACGTCCTAGTTGCATCCCGCAGCTATTATATATGCTCCTAGCAGACGACCAAAGACACCAAGATCACAATCTCCACCCCTGATCCTAATTTATCTATTTCCTCTTTCGTTACCCCTTTCCCTCTTGTTTTCTATTTATAAAAGGCACACTCAGTCCCTGCATGCTTCGGCATTTCGTCTCAACTTAAGCCTCATTCGACAACGCTAGAGACGCTTTAAGCGAAGCCCACGTTGTCTCTACCTTACAGTACTCAAATCTCTACTCCGCTATTCACTGCACCATCAATCTCATCACATCTCTCTTGACTTGCTTTGCTTTGCATCTATCATCTATCACCTATAATATATGCCTTTCCGCTAACCAGGCTTCAATCTTAGCAACGCTCGTCTCCGAGGCGGGCCCAAAAGCCCATCCCCATCACAAAGTGCCCAGCCCCCCCTGCATCCCTCCTCCGACGTCGCCTCATCTCCCAAGATACCTTCAGCCAACTTACCTCAGAGAACTCCTTCTTTTCCTACCCCAACTTCTCCCGCCCAACCCGCTAGAATGGCTGATTCGGGTGCCCCCAGCGGCGATGATATCATCAACTCCTACCACCTGCCGCGGCCGCTTCCGCTGTGGCTCAACTCACATTGCGCAAAGCACATTGTCAAGGGGAACTTTATGACCCTGAGCGCTCGACCAAAGACGGTTGAGCAGGGGGAGTGGGTTGCTCATCAAGGTTAGTATCCTACATTGATAGCTTTTTACTCCTCATTAATTGCTGACCAATACGGTGTAGTTGTCGAGCACTATCGCAACCTCTGGAATTTCGTTCAGGTAGTCCATGCCAAGGAGGAGAACGGAAATACCATCTGCAACCCAACAACTTGCCCTCGCATGTCCGCAGGAGCGTAAGTACAAGGCTTTCCTCTTCATCTCAAACTCATATTTCAGTATGCTAACACCAACTACTAGCAACCACTCCTTCACTTGGCTCAACAGTCGTCGTGAGCCAGTCGAGCTGCCAGCTCATGAGTATATGACACTCATGCAGCGATGGATCACCGGCAAGATCGACGACACCGCCATCTTCCCAACTGACCCTGCCGGCGTCTCCTACTCTCACAATCCCGCCATGTCGTCGACGCCACTCTCACAGCTCACCAACCCAGGCGAGGCTGACTGGGTCGGCAAGCGATCTGGCTTCCCCGACAAGTTCATCGACATCTGCCAGATGATCTTCCGCCAAATGTTCAGAGTCTACGCCCACCTTTACTGGGCTCACTTCTCAGAGCCCTACTATCACCTCAACTTGGAGAAGCAGCTCAATAGCTGTTTCTCACACTTCCTGCTAACAGCCACTGCGCTGGACATGCTGGGGAAGCAGGAGCTAGAGCCTATGCAGCCACTGATTGACCTCTGGGCGGCAAACGGAACGTTTCCCCCCGAGTCCAAGGTCTACGAGTATGCCAGCATTCGGGCTGGTGAGCGATTGATTCAGCTTGCAGGCGTCGCGCAGTAAATGGGTTTTTTGATGAGATTTGCGGGTTTGGTATGAGATGGGTTTCATGTTTCATCTGGGATACAGGTGCCATGATTAAAAGACAGATAGATGAGAAGCATTTTGTTCTTTTAGGGTGCATGTAATCACAAAATAATAAATGGCTGTTTCGAGCGCAAGAGCAATGGAAGTGAAGGTTCACTCTCACATGTGACGTCAAAAGACTACATCGAGTCAGTGAAGCTGCACTTATGGCATGTAATCTCGACTCCATATATCGACCAGTTCTTGTTCGGCCGTAATTCACCCACAATGCTTTTCTGCTGCAGGAAGGAGCTACACAACATGTCTCAACCCATGAATCAGATTCAACACAACTCAAGAATATCAGCATAGATATATCTTCGCACTCATGGCTCTTTCTTTATCTCACTTTCTATCATACCTCTACTCGGTTTCCCGCTTCCTTAGAGGTATTGGTTCAAGGGTGCCATAACTACACCCTATCTATACTCCTTATGAAACTGTTCGTGAGGAGAAAGAAGGGCAGGATGTTCAAGTGAGATCAGAACCTCTAAACGATGTCACTCATGGTTAACATTGGGATCCTTTGTTCATCTATTGTTTCATTCTCCCGAGATCCTAACCCCGTTAATACTCAGACCTCATTTTCTGCCATCAGGTCAATCTTCGTTCGTTACAAGAAAAGGGACTTACTTCGGCGAAATCTCTCAGTCTTTTCTTCATTCTTCGTTTACTCCATTTGCTTGTGGTGACCCTTTTGGCCACTTATAACATAAGCTTATTCATGAGAATGAGGAGTCAATGGAAATTCATTCATAATGAAGAATTAAGATGTTACTCAGAAGAGCATTAATATCATCTCCAAGCAGATATAACCTCAGAGTTATGTACATCAACAGTAAGATGAATGCAAACAAAACATATCAAAACTTCAATACTAACATTAGACCATCGAGAAGTAAGAAGTTATTATAGGCAAAGATGAAGTGTGTTGTAGGCGAGTATGAAGTGTGTTGACATTCATGAACTATACAACTTACATCTTCAGGGTATTCCTTACTGTTAAAGACAGAAATTAACAGAATTATGGGCTTTCAATCATTTATTGACAGTAAGTTACGTCATTTATTCTTCAAAACATTGATCAACTCTCGTCCATGACTTTGAGATAGTATAAAATCCCCTTCTATATACCTCTAATCGTAAAGCATCCATATTAGTTCATACAGTCTACCTTCTGTGACTTGTAATAAACATACGTTTTTAATAACATCACGCCTTCTATATAGAAAGCTCCATCTACATTAGCTGTCGATCGAGGTTAATATACACGCGATATATATCTCTCATGTACTCCTTCGGAAAAGTCTTTTCAGCCGCATACACAAACGTATAGACTCAACCAATCCCCTTGGACACAACACACATCTCTCCCACAGAAACTTGACGGCTCACACTCATTCGTGCAGACGTCAGATAGCCCTATCCACTATCGAATAGACTAGCCATGCAAAACCCCCCTACCTTGCATCTCACGATATCCAATCGCCCTCCAATTTACCCAGAAGATCAAAAAGTGGCAAAATAGCCAAATACCACTCTTCAAGCACAAACGGTCAAACAGAGAGAGACAAGGGAAAATCTTCCCACCGGAGCCAAGGGTAAATCGGTACACAGACCAACGGACTCGACGCAATTGTGGCCCGAGCAAGGCCCTCGGAAGCACCTAATCTTGCGTTTCATGCACGCATCTATCAATTATCATCCAACTACCACCTGCTTAGGTGCGTATAGAAAAAAGCAGGGTTTCTTCCTGCAGCTTGGCCCTGCCCTGCAATGCCGGGCTCCTCTCCTCCCCCCCAGTGGCGATTTGAGAAAGGGCCCATCTCGACTAACTGTCTCCAGGTTTCTTCACATCATACATGGAGCTATTCACAAACGTACATGAGCTATCCTGGAGCTCCCGGCTCGAGCAATGGCACACCCAGCCTGTCACAGGTCAAATCCGAAACCGCAAACTCTCTTGCTGCTTGTTTCAAACAAGGGAGGTCTCTTGTTCGCCCAGGGTAAAAAAAAGTCAAAATACCTGTCAAAGCGGGCATCAAACCCTGGCCTCTGTAGTACTCGTAGCAAACCTTCCGAGGGCATCGACCACGGGCATATCCACCTCCGAGCAGCAGCAACAAAGGGCTCGGGTAGTCCGCAATCCTCTCTTCGCCCAGTTGCAGACGCCGTTGCCATCGAGTGGAGTCTTGGTAATCCTAGCCTCCTGTAGGCGAGTGCTGCTCGTACATGTATCGTAAGCCCATCGTCACTTTTGCACCACTTCCTTACCAACAGACGCTCCGAGCTCAGCCTCTCATCGACATCGCCACTAACCCCCTTCGCCGTACATGACCATGATCAGTTTCAGGTGGGCGGCGTGATCACCTTCATCGCCATAAATAGACGATATTGCCCTTCGTCGCTCTCCAACTGCGCGTCGTTGCGGGCAGTCTAACTTACTAATTGTCCAGGCGAGGGCGTTTTAGCCCCCCTCATTCGCATAGCCGATGAGGCACTTTCCTTCGCCTCACAATAAAATAAAATAAAATAAAATACACTAAAAAATATCCCTGTGCTGAGGATCCGAAGAAAGGTCCTTGATTTTTTACTTTTATTTTTATTTTATTTTTTTTCTCTTCCCTGACGCGCAGGGCAATGAATCGGTGCGCGATCCTCATCCAAGTTTTCCTCTAAGCTCACGCCCACTCGGGAACTAACCCCCGGACTAAAAGAGGCTTGGGAAGCTCTTCACCGCCAGTGTAATCGGCTCTAAGCTTCTTCTACTCGCGGGAGATGCCGGGAACTCAGCAAGACAAAGAAAATAAAAATAAGAAATTAGGGAATAAAAAAAACTGAAAGGAAATCGTCTCCGGCAAAAGTGGGAACGGACGTCGTACCGGCGATACCAAGATCAGTAGCAGTAGCGCCTACGGAGCACCAAGGACAAAGAAAGCAGTCGGTCGATGCTCCTACGCGCCATGCCATGCGCCCGTACGGAGCACATGCTAACCTACAGCGTACATATGCAATTCGTATGCGTGCGGGTGTCTCTGCGGAGCGTCTAGGTGAAGGGTTGAAGGGAGAAGAGGACGGCGATAGGTGACGGATGCCGGTCTGGAGATGCAACAGGTCCCCCATGTCAACCCTATCACATCAGACAAAGCCGTAGGCGAGACGACCGGGCGTCCACAGACCAGCCTGGTCACGATCCAACCCCAGCTTCCCGTGGCATGCTTGCAGCAGAAGCATGCAGCTGCCTGTGAGAGAGAGGGCAAGGGTTTGAGCCTCAGGAATGCCAAGTTTGCCCAGAGAGTGCTCGCAGGCCGTGCTCACATCGTTGGTGCGCCATTCAGAGTCAAGAAGTGATCCGTGCTGCGGAGAATCTTCTCCATATCGAACAAACAGGCGCTTGTCTTTGCCGCCGTATAAGGAAGGATGACTTGCAAAACCCATTGACCAAAGATCACGGGTGAAACCTTGGGATGTCATTCCATATGACGGAAAATGGCGTTTTGTCGCATCTGCCCATGTGCGTGTGTGCCACCGGAAGTGTGCTGCCTGCCGGCTTCTTTTGCTTCTCGGCTTTTGACTACACCGACTTCTTCCTCAGGAGATATTGGCATGAAAAAGCCCCCGTTTGCTTGACACTTGCAGCAGCTATCCATGACACGCGTAACATCCGTTAAGAAACTCCATTCACTTTAGTTGAAGAAAGAAGCTTCTGTAAATCTTCCGTGTCGTGATTTAATATATGCAGAGTCCGTGATTGGACGACGCGATCATTCAGTCTCCATCAAGATCCGTCAAGTCGATTCACCGCCGTCGATTTAGCTCACACGCTTATCATCCTTGTGCAAGAATGTTTCAGAATAGTTTATCCACGCAAGCTCACTAGCAAGGCGGTGATGGAATGGTTCAAGTGCTGCACCGGGGTTTCCAAGCTCGAAGCTTCAGCATCTCTCATCACTATGCGAGCTTTTCTGTTCTTTTCTTTGTGTCTCTAGGGTAGCGCGAAACCTTCGGTCCCCATAAGAGCAGAAGCTCCGTCCGGGTCGCGATGCCGTACGCAAGGATATGGGGCTCTCCGGCGAACGGCGGTTCGGTGACTCATCTGCCTAGGGTTCCGCTTCTCTCCCGTGATACGGACAAGGAGTACGAAATTCGTGCTTCTGCGTCGGCACGGTATTGACCGGCCATGTGAGGAAGAGACTTCCCGCTTACTCTCTGCCCCTGGCTGTTCATATTTTAGCTTGACTTGAATCTTTGTTTCGGTAGACATAAGTACTGCTATGCGTATCATCTCTAGCAAAAGAGTTTGGTGTTTTGGGTAACAGCGTTCGCATTGCGTTCTGCATACTTGAATCGTTCTAATCGCCGCCCGAGGTGGAGCATAGACCGATACATCTGATCGAGCATGCGATCAAAAGCCAATTACAAATAAAAGCATGACTTCATCGGCTGTCGATGCTTTTGTTGACCTTTAAACCACGCGTTGAACATCGCCCATCCATGCATAGAGTTTCGTTTTCGTTCCTGGCTAACAAGGCACTAACATTCAGCCATCGCGGCCCCTTAGAACAGCTGCTTGTGTACTCTGCGAGACAAGAATGTAACAACGTATGATGACGATCCAGGTAACCCTTGGTATTTTCGTGCTAAACACTGCTACTCTTCCACACGGAGCAGTACTTGCAAACGGAAGGCTAACGGTAGAGAAATGTACCCGTTTCGTACTGTACTCCATATTCGGTGGATTCTTGCAATGCTGACCGCACATTCGTAGCGTGCATGATAATCCCAGTTCAGCTGGGACTTTAGCGCACTATTCCCAGAGTCTATTCTTTGACGGCATACACGCTATCCCAGTGTTTGGAATACTAGTTTCAGCAGCTCTTTCTTTCGTTATTCTCGTTGAATTCCCACCAGGCTGGAGGCAGAAAAACATGGCTCATCAATTGCCCTGTCGACGAGTCAGTATCAGTGCGTAGACTAAAATTGACGACTCTGTGCCCACGAGAGCGTGTCAGATGTGCTGCTGCAATGATCATAGTTAGGCCCATCAAGCTACGCATATACGAGCTACTACTAGCACGGGCACTAATGGCCAGTCCTCTTATGCAAGGGCGACGAGTGTACAAGTCATTAATAAATCGAGGGAGACAATTGAACAAGTAAACGGGCGGCGGACTGTCAGCCGTTAGTTGGGCGCTGCCGTCGATGCCACCGTTGTGGGAAACGGGTTGGGCGTGGGTACGACTCCGTGCTTGCCTCGGGACTGTGAATGGCCAGAGAAGACTGAGTGAGAGAAAAATTCTCCAGCCGAGCCAACCGCAGTCGAGGATGATGCATAGGCGCATGTGAGTACGTGCTGGCCAGCCCTCTCACGAGTCAAGCTGTTATCATGAGATAACGAGGGCTGTGGGCGAGAAGAAAGCTTCTAGGCGTTCGACATCGTACATCTTGACAGCTGAGCTGTATGGTTGGGTACAAAGGCCAAGCCTGAATTCTCGTAACCTTTTCCTGTTTGCATTCGGGGCTTCTCCTCAGGCCGGTACTGGTGTCGAAAAAACCACTCGTAGGTACGAGTACGTATCCACAAGAGGCGCAGCAGTCAGGCCCTCGATGAGGGAGGTACTCCGTGAATCCGACTTTGTAGATCCTCATGGTGTGGCCACTGGGCAAGGCAGATACGTAGTTGAACATAACTGCAGAGTTTGGGGTTAATGAGACTGCATAATTAAGCCGGGCCTCGCTGTGTCGTCAGAGCCGGCCCAGGTGGCACTTAATCATGCCACGACCCTGAACTGAGACATCAAGAAGTGCAGACTCTCGTCTGGCACCACCAGGAGACTTTTCTCTAGACAGCCGCTGAGCAAGATTGGGCCGGATGGCAGGCTGGCTGGGCCAAACCTCAGGTTCGCCTTCAGTCCTGATTGAGGCTAGACCCAGCAAGCCGCATCGCCGCGGTTGAATGATGAGCGGCTCGAACGGGGCCAAGCTGCTGGCTGCTGGCTGCTGTGCAAAGTCGCACAGAGAAAGGCAGGGCATTCTCAGCTTCAAATCCGGTGAAGCAGGCTCGATTGATTGGCCCGAGGACGCAAGCACTTTGGGTCTTGCCAATTGGCCGTTTTGGACGGGTTTTCACAGATCACAGCAGGCTCTCCGAGGCAGCGTCCAAACGGATATGGCCTCCTCGTCCCGCGAGAGCAAGGCAGCGGCCTGCGAGGACCGGTCATTCGTCGTGGAGGGCGGCGATGCATCAGGTCGACGGGCCTAAGGGGTGAGAAAGTAGTGTCGATGCCCGAAATGAAACAGGACGGACGCGCAACGCGTCAGGAGCAGCCAAACAGAGCACCGTGATGGGCAGCAACAAACACACCGACAAAGCAGCAGCGGAGATGGTGCAAGCAAGTTGGCGGAGGCCGGCCTCATATGCGGCCAGTCACAGTGGAGCTTGCTGGAGCCTTTGGTTGGAGCAAGGCATCGCAGCAGAGACAGACCAAGGCCCGTGTTGGAGGCATGCACCAGCCACGGCGGTCCACTGCAGAGGCAGCATGGCGCATGATGATGAGCAGGACAGACAGACGAGTGTGCGAGTGTCCCGGAGATGGAGACGGCAGACAGGAGACTGGAGACGCTGGAGACTGGAGACTAGACACTAGAGACTGCAGAAGATGGGGCACAATCGATAAGTGATTATCTAATATGGTGTCAGTCAGTGTTGTCCCCGTCTGGTTGGTGAGAGCATCGTCATGCATTGGTGGCTTCACTTGCCTGATACGTGTTGCAGGATGCGAGGCAACGCCAAAACGGCAAAGCGGATGACACTATCGTGTGTTCTAAATTGGCTGCCCAGAAGGCATACATGATGCTCTCCCTACTTGTGCTTTAGCTGCTACTGTACCGTACTGCAACTGCTCGTGCTAAGGGTTAGTCATGCGAGTGGCACCAGCTGCGGTACTTGCGGCCGCCGCACCGCAGCGTGCACAGCCAAGTACCTCACGTAATCACAGGTCAGGTGCTGCTGCGGCACTGGCAGTCCTGGCAGCCCATGACTGGTCCACAGTACGAAGCGCCCCGCCCATGCGGTCGTACCTCGTCAGCGAAATTGGGCTGGGAGGTACATTGTCAGCCCACCTTTGCTTCTCAGGTGGGCTCTGTCGCAGTTGCGGGAGATCCAACCACATTCAGGCATGAGTGGTCCAGGCCAAACCAAACATCTTGTTCGCCTGATGGGCACCATGACACCCAAACAGCCCGGTATCTGCCTATCGATTGACACATCCTGTGACGGCTCCCTGGCGGATGCCGATACGATACGATAGCATGGACCGATAGAGCCAGAGGAGGGGGTGGTCTGGGAGAACCGCGGAGAACTGGGGGGGTTTGACTGACCAGACACAGCGCGAGGGCACATCACGACCAAGGCGGGCAAATAGGATCGGGGCCGTGATGTGACAGACCACTTTGGAAGGCCATCTTCCCCATCGACGCTCTCCCTCGCCCAGTCCAGTCATTCGCAGGCCACCACTTCGTACAAGCAGCACGCCAAAGAAGCAAGCGCTCTCATTAGCAAGGCTCTCTCAATGCACACTACGACTGGCCCGTCCCGAGCCCTCAGTGGTCACAAGTTACTAGTAGCGGGTATGGCGCACCGGGTTGTGCGGGAGCAGCAGCGCCGTCCATCGCTCCCTTCTTCCTTGGAGGGTTTGGGTTGGGCAGCAGCATTGAGTTTCGTGCCCAACCTATTCTCGTCCTGTCATTGAGCATCTGGCTCTCCCCATCTTGGAATTCTGCCTCCCGGCGTCGCGGATGGCATCCCGTCATGACCCGCTTAGAGGTACCGGCCTTGACAGATTCAGCCACGCGCCATGTCGGACGCTCATTCGTTTTCAGTACCCGCCCTGCTTCAGGCGAGTCGAGTCGGAGGTAGTTTGCCTCTCTGTCTCTGTCCCTCTCTCTCTCCCTGGGCGGCTGATGGCTTGACGATGGCGTCGTGGGTTGAATGTTGCTGAACTGAGCGACTGGCCATGACGACAGTCTCATGCCCATCGGCCATCTGGTCAGGATGATCCACGCCGGGAAGAGAGCGGCAACGACGGCGGTCTCCCATAACAGGCGCTACCTATGGCAGATGGAAGCTATTTCGAGTCACAAGAGACAGTTTCCCCCAGGCCGATCAGGTGTGGATGGCCTCTGTCGATGATGACCATGCCGAGGCCGACTTGCTTTCTGGTACTAGCAGACGTAGCAGTCGAACAGAGTACAGGACAAGATGTTCTGCTACTACGAGGACTACTGCTAGTCCCATCCCGAGTGCCACATGAGATAGGGAGGGGATGGAGTTTGGGGGAGCCGGGGCCAGGGATTAACCCGGCTTGGTGAGTACTTCGTGCGAGAGCGAGCGCGACACAAGGGTGACAAAGCACAGAGATGGAGGAGTCCCAAACATAGCGACAATGACTTGGACTTGCATCACATCGGCAGACAGGACTCTCGTGTACAGTCAGTAGGCATACAGGTCTGTATGCCCACCATAACCCTAGCCAGAGATCCATTGGGCCAAGCTCAAAGGGTATAGGGGCTTGCTCCGAGTGTCCGTACGCACGCACTTATTGATAATGGCCTACTTACTAATCGTCCTAATCGTACGGGCGCTGGTCGTCCCAGGATGGGGTACCAGCACGGAGGTGAAAATTTTGGAAAAAAATAAAAAAAATCAAGCAAGAAAATAAAAAACAAAAAATCAAGGCAAAAAAAATAAAAATCAACAGAGGCAGAGGCAATCTCACTGACAGGCATCCCTGCCACTCTGGGTCCCCAAGCACCAGGCCCATACGACCTAGTAGACAAACCCGTTTGAGGCCCGACAAACTGATGACGAGCGCTACGACAGACAGAGTAGCATCTCAAGTATCTGGGTCAAAAACAATACAAGCGCAGCACCACCCACTCGTACATATTCGTACATGGATGCTAGATACGTACATGTACATTACATACGCACTACCTACAGAGTACATACATGGGAGCCCGAAAGCGTGGAATCCTCGGAGGATGTGTGCCTATTACGAGTCGAGCCTAAGCACTCTTTCAGCCCCATGCGCCGGCGGTTGGCAAGAAATCGATCGACAAGATTCGGCCTCAGGCGATAACGCCGGTATCGTGTGTTATCGACACGGGGTGTCTGTTATCCTGTTATCCAGCTGTGAGGTCGACGTAAGTAGTATGTCGGTAGACCAGTATCAAGCTTGGCTAGACCTGTACTGCCGCTGCAGCTGTTGCTGGGTATGAGGGCTCTCCCCAAGACTTCCTCTCCCCACTGCAGTACGAAGTAGCCCTTTGAGTACATATAGGAAATCCCTCCTCCCTCGAACAACAGTCTTGCTCTGTACTAATCCAAACATTGAACGCCATTCGACGCCAGCCTTTTCGTTTCTGCTCTGTCTGCTTGTTTGTTTGCTCAGCAGAGAAGAAATCAGTGGTAGCAGCAGCCTGTGCTACGAGTGCAATCCGTGAGTCAGCCCTCCTCTCTTCCTTGTTTTTTTCGCTCCGGCCCCCCTCTTCCCGGGCTTGTGTTCGATGAGCGTTTGCCCAGTGCAGCGCTGTGTCATCATAGCCCTCATCATCCTCTCGTTACTGCTTCCATATAACTTTATACTGGAATCATAACAAGGACGATGTCTATCCTATCCTATCCTATCTTATCCTGTCCGACCTCGTCCCTTTTCCCTTTTCCCTTCCACTTTCTCCCCCGTCGCGCGTCGTCGGTTTATTTTTATCTTAGTCGCCCGCCTGCGCACCTCCTCTCTCGCATCAATGTTTTTTTTCCCACTTCCCACTACACTTAGCACTTAGTACCACTTACTGTCCCGTCCGTCTCCCGCACTTAAACCACCCCACCCCTCCAGCGCTAAGAGAACCGGCCTGTCTGTTTTTCTTAGCCCTGCTCCTCTTCCCATCCACCCACCAAAAGCCAAACCCAACTGGCCCTTTTAGCAGCCTCCATCTTATATCACTCGACCTCCCGCCCACACTCTGCATCTGCCCATCACCTTTCAACGCTGCTTGACGACTTTCATGACTTGCATCTGCTCTGCGTTTCACGACCCTTCCCCCTCCAGCATCACCCTTTAACGCTGTCACGAATTACTGCCTACGCACGTTGCTTGTGATTTTTTTTTCTTCTTTCTCAACCCCGCTTCACATTATCATTGCTCGGCTCCAACAAATAAAAAGCCACCCTTCGCTAACATCTCGTCCTCGGAAGAACATCAACAGTATCAGCACATCACGACTACTGTACTCGTTTTCATCCTTCTCAGTTTTTCCTCTTCTTTATTCTTTCTTCTTCTACTGGTTGTTGTTTTCTCTTTCGGTTCTTTGACGTCGACCTTTGCATCCTCTCAACCTCACTCCGTCGCCCTTGACGGCCCCCCCTCACACAGTCACATCTTCTCAGAATGGACAACTATTACTCTTCAGCATCCATGGCTATGGACGCGAGCCATGAGCAAAAGTTCTTCAAGGCAGAGGAGACCAACGGCCTAGATGACAGCCTTCTTGATCACAGCGGCATTGACTCAGGCTTGGAACTCTCTCCTCCCATGGACAACAGGCGAGAGTCTTTCGGCATCGGAGGGCCTCTCTTCTCTCCCAAGACGGAAGATTGGCACTCGGTCGACATGCAGTCGCTGCCTTCCAACAACCCCTTCTTCGAGCCGCATAGCACAAACCCCTACATGCGCTTCGACCAGCCCTCTGCCAACCCTTTCATCTCTTCGGGCAATCCCTGGGCCATGAACGGAGGCTCCGGAGCAGCCACGCCTTTCCAGCGCTTCAGTGGTATGGCGACGGATTTTGATGCCAACACTTCCATCTTCCAGCAGCCCATCCACGCTCCCACTCCTTTCCCCACCTCAGGCAACATGTTCGCTGGTCTGGCGGACAGCCAGGCCATGCAAGACGCCAAGAAGATGCGACCTAGCAGCCCCTCCATCCGATCGCACAATGATCTGCGACGCGGCGATGGCATTCGCAAGAAGAATGCTCGCTTTGAGATCCCCGCTGAGCGGAACTTGAGCAACATCGACCAGTTGATTTCCCAGTCGACGGATGAGCAGGAGATTAAGGAACTCAAGCAACAGAAGCGACTGCTGCGAAACCGACAGGCAGCGTAAGTACACTATTTACAATCATCTTGGCACTGCGCATAGAAGGCTAACTGTTTCAATAGTCTCGACTCTCGGCAGCGCAAGAAGCAGCACACTGAGCGCTTGGAAGATGAGAAGAAGCAATTCACCGTCGTCATCACTGACATGGAAGAGGAGCTGGCTAGCCTCAAGACCAAGGTGGAGCAGCTCATGCTCGAGAAGCAGCAGTGCGTCGATTACATCGAGACCCTCACCCTTGAGAAGGACGAGATGATCCGCACTCACACTATCGAGACTGGTGAGCTGAGGAAAAAGGTGGGTGTCCTGACCGACCATGTCCAGCGCCTGGAGAGCAGCATTCCCCCCAACGCTGCCGCCAACGGCTTCTCCGGTGCCTACGACGACATGGACGATGCCATGGATTTGGCCGGTGCTTGGGATAATGGCTTCCTCAACGACTTCGATGAGGTCAAGCCGCCCATGACTGTTGCCCCTGTCAAGAAGGACACCAACCCCTTCACCTCCGGCTCCGAGAAGAGCTCCTCCCAGGGTGGTTTGTTGTTCATGCTTTTCCTTGTTGGCGCCTTTGTCATGTCTAGCCGCTCGATGCCCTCCATCCCCCGCGTGTCGGAGGATGTCCGAGTTGCATCGGCGACTCTTCTCGACAACGTCCTCAAGGACGCCGGCGTCGACCCCTCGACTGGCACGCACGCCATCGCTCCTCAGCCTTCCGGCGTCTCTTGGGGACAGCCCGTTAGCGCTAGTGTTATGGCCGGCATGGCTGCTGATGGCGTCGTTGCGCCGTCCATGCTTGTAGAGCTCGGTGATAGCCTCATCCAGCCCTCGCAACAGCAGACCAACGAGCAGATCTTCTCCCTCTCTGCCGCCCAGTACAACGGAGTCAGCGACCACGACTTCCTCCGCGATGCCGCCGGTAGAATGCCCACCAAGGCTCGCAAGAACCTGGCTCAGTCTCTTGCTGAGATGCGGGACGCCGCCAAGCAGTCCGGTGCCGCCGAGGTGTACACTCGCACTCTCCTCTGGGACCAGATCCCCAACGATGTGGTCCGAAACTTTGCCAGAATGGTTGTAGAGTGCAACGGCGCTCAGAATTCGCAGCAATGCAACGAAGCGAGATCATGAAAGAATTAAAAAGACCCGGCGCGAAAGACAAAAAAAAACACGAAATCTCACGATGACGAATCAAAAAATGGCTACAGTAATGCAACGATCAACCTCTCCACCCTCTATTCTGTCTTGGTTCAATTTCATTTCTCCGACAAATTTATGCTACTTCTTCTTACTCTTCTCTTCGTACAGACCTTTCCAACGATTGGATAGGCTGGCCTCTATTTTGAGTCGCTTCGGGGCGACTCCCCACATGCACATTATTTGAGATTTTTTGCTCACGCATTCACCCCCCATCTTCTTGAATTTGAACAAACCGCTTTCTCATGAAAACCATCTACTTTGGAGTCTCTTACGATTTCTTTGCGGATCTAGCGAGCGAGCAAGCGTTGATTTTTTTGGCGATTGATTTTGATTTGATTTTGATTTCCTTGTGCTATTTTTTCTTTTCCTTGTGTTATATTTGGATGGCTTTCAGCTTTTCTTTTTCCATCCCCTTTGGCTTTTTTTTCCCTTTTCTTTTTGCTGGATCCTTTCGACAGCTGGTGGGTCGAAAGGCATAGGACACAAGCAGAAGCAGCAGCACAACAGGCATGCTACAGGCCCCAGTCCAGTACATGCTTGTACTTTTGAAAGGCATAGCTTTTCGGATATTGGGAATCTGCGTGCGGGATGATACCTGGCACCGAAAGAATGATATCTACGAGGCATGTCGATACAGAATGATGACAGATTGGAAACAAATTGACGATGATGAGATTGAGCACCTGGAACGGGCTCTTCTACCCGACACTCTCTTGAGAACCCACCTCAGCGACGAAAAATACGATCCCTGGGTGGCTTTCCTTTGTACTTGGGCGGCATTTTGGACATAGCTTTTTTATTTGGAACGAGCCACACAGATGGCCTCTTGGGTTTTGACGACATATTTCATTTCAGATAGCTCTTCTTCAATGTGAAACTTGGACAGAGATCCAGCTTACATTCACAATGCCTTGTTTTCACTTTTGCTGTGACCGTGACTGTGTGCCTGTGTTTACTACCTATCTATGACTGTGGTGTGCTGCAGCCCATGCATGCCCTTGTGCCTGGGCGAGGGCTAAAAGTCAATGACGCCCTTACCCGAAGCACAATGCATACCTCGACAGTCTGCTTGCTCTCTAGGGAAATCGACCTGCCCATCTCCAGCGGCATGGACGGCCGTGTGCCTTGAAAGACGGCACATCTTACCACCTGCTATTACCACTCCAGGATAGTGTATCCGGGACGAGGATGAATACAAACACAACGGGGTGGAGCCGTGAGATAGACATGGAAGCGACGTGATGCAAAGCTGGCCGTGGACAGGCAAGGCTCATCTTGGATTGAGGGGAGGCATTGGGTTGACATCACACCGCCAGCGAGGCAGACGGTTGGTTCTGTCTTAGTCCGGGACTTGGCGTTGTATTGCTTGTGACCTAAGCCTCCTTGGGAGAGAGTCTGGATGGCAGATGGAGGGAAGGGAAAAGGTGGTGGTCATGGACTTGGAGGTACCGTGTGGTCGTCTGGCGGCCGCAGTGCTACCATCTACTTCGTATCTACCTACTACTGCCACTACTTACATGGTAATGAATGTATACTAAGCTCGCACAAACGTCATGCGTAGGTAGTCAACGATATTCTGACTACCTTGTAGGTACTCTAGTGGCCGCGTGTGTGTGCCTCAATTCCTTGTCACTGACACAGCCAATGCTTCCCAAGGGAGCGGATGAATGATGCCATCACGAGATTGAGTTTGTAGGTAGCTGACTACTACCTGCCTCGCCCTTACCACTGACGGCTCTCGATTAGAAGAAAGTGCGATGGGGAGTCCAATCACTGCTTCCCCGACGCCAGAAACATTTCAAATAAAATAAATAAGATCAAATAAAATAAATAAGATAAAATAAAATAAATACACCAAAATCATTACCCAAATAACAGACCTGTGCGAGCTTTGCCTACCACGGAATAACACAAATCGAGCAAGATAAAACCACAGGATTCCCAATAAAATTCCAGCCCCCTCATTTTTTTCGCCCTCCCTGTTTCCAGTCCATCCCACCTCTCCCATTCGCCATAATTACAAGCAACTAGTCTGCGAGGTGCATCCACGAATCGGCGAGCCATTCTCCATCTGCAAGAACTGATCATCTGCTCTGTTGCCGGCCAATGCCCTCCCAGAGCCGGCCACAACCTCGGGTTTTTGGCGAAATGGATGAAACGCCCACGCCTCCAGCCAATTCGCACGCGCACACTTATTTCAGACGCATCCGCTCTAGTTCAGGCGAATGGCAGCTCTCATGTACGCTTCTGGAAGACAAAGCCATGGCTTTAGCTAGCCCCGGGTCTCTGTTTTGGCTCCTCCATTGACACGACGCCAACGGCCGCTGCTGATACACCCCTCGGGCCGATCCTGGTGGCCTTGAGACTAAAAGATCCATCGCCTTGAAAATCGATAGGCATTGGGAGACTGGCTGCTGATGCGACCCGGGCGCCAGAATATCAAAGTACCTCTGCCGTGTACTCGTACAGACTTCAACTGCGGGACGTTCCCACTGTACCTTTGGTGGCAAGCAGACAGACGGTCACATCTCGTGTACATGACAGAGGCACATCCACCGACCTGCTTGGGTGCATATACGCATACCCGCATACACACTTACATGCTCGTACCGCACATACAAACAACCATACATGCATCTTGCATGCTCGTACAGAACTCTACCCGCCAAGAGCCAATGCTAACAAAGCTGCCCTTGTCCCTTACAGCTGCACCGGTCGTGACACCTCCATTGAGAACCTCCCTTACCCGGGACTAGCAGAGTGTCTGCCAGCAACGTCGATTGTGAGCACGCCGAACTTGATTGTGATAAATGACTCACGAATTGATACCCAAAGCCCGATGGCCATTGGTAAGCAAATGGCCAACGACAGCAAGGAGAGAGAGAAAGAAAACTACAACAAGGCAGGGCTCGGCAGCACTTCTTGCGCCAGCCCACTCGTACTAGGTCTCGATATCTGGCCGCCTCCACCGCAAGAGTCTGCTCGTCTCGTCTTCCATCCAATCTCATGGCGACAGCTGAACAACACATACATACGTGCCCGCCTACATACACATACATCATGTACGTGCGCACGCACATGCATCCGGACCACCTACTCGTACCGACATGCGCAATCAGGCATCAAAAACGATCCCCCAGCTAGGGCAAAGCTGGTAAAACAGCCGCCCGCACAGAGGCATCGCCAGACCCGCGCTCCCATTTGCTCCAAATCTCCGGGTTACAGCTGCAGCTGCCTCTGTGGTCCTCTCTTTTCCCTTTCCATGTTAGTGAGTCTCTGGGAATGAGCACAGCAGCTGGTTTGTTTGGCTGTTGCTCCTTCAGTGGCCGCATACGGCTCACGCTACACACACGGACAAACAGAATGCTGTGGCCTCACAGCCATACATCTTCAGACTCTCGCAGTTCACATACACATGCTATTCCGTACATACAGACAAAACATACATGCCGCAATCGCCTGCTACATGAGCCGTCCACAACGCCTAGACTACAGTATGCCGCGTCCGTGCCTCCGAGTGGTACAACAGCAGCACCCCGCAAATGTGAACCGCAGGACGCAGGATGGGTCACAATGGAGCATTCTTACTTGCTGTTTAAAGCCACACGAGGGACACTCAATGCGGCAGTGGGAAGAAAAAGACCCCGTCCCCTTGGATATCCAATAATGACCGCTGAATAGGAGAGGAAACACGCAGAGGGAGAGAGAGGGCCCAGAGCCGGGAGGCCTTATTGAACCCTCATTGAGTCAAGGAGATCTGCCTACCTGTGACCCCCTATTTTTTCTTGCGGTTTTCTGGGTTATACTTTTCCTTCCATATCCTGCAAACCCGTTAGCTATCGACACCTCTCAAAGCCCTCGCCTTCTCATTGGGGCTGGACAGTGTAGCACATCACAATCCTCCGGAGCTCCTGGCCACTATCATGAGACCGCAAACCGTCGCAGCCATGCATAGCCTCCTCCAGGAGGAAGAGTGTGATCAAGCTGCACGGATGGGTCGCAAGCGAGGCCCGGCCACTCGGGAGTGATGCATCACAGCACACACAAGGACGCCCACAGCTGACACGACGAGCAAGTATGGATGCATTTTGGTGACTTACCATGTATTTCCTAGTGTCTTGTTGCCACCCTTCTCAGCCCGTCGATAATACTGGGCTGCAGCAAACTGTACTCCCAAATAAGGGGTCAAACATCAGCCTCATGTAACGGATCGGAGTCTGCGGGGAGGGGAAAAGCGGCTACTCTGCCCGTGCCATTTTCCATTGGACATGCGCAACTTTGCGCCTTCGCGTGCCCGCTCATTCCTCATCGACGCCCAACTCTGGGGTCTGGTGAGACGTTGGGCATCAACCTCGCCTTTGTCAGCCAGACTGGCCACGACTGGCAAGCCACAGCTTGTGGTGCCTTGGTTGATGAGGCTTGGCTCTCCTCTGTGCCATGAGTCGGATTGCGAAGAGGCAAGTTATGTCATCGATATTTTGACTAATCGTCGACGTACCTTGTCCTTTTTACAGCCGTAGCCTTCTAGGTAGCACCAGGCAACCTCGTTCATGGCGTCTTTGTTCACTCGTCAGCATCCGGAGCTTTTTTAGATACAGGGCTGCATCTGCAACTCACCAGTATCGCCCAAATTTGCCGCTGTCTCATAGTACTATTCGTTTTGAGCAGTGGTCAGTATCTAATCAGCAAAGCCCAGCAGCCGACCAGTCAACCCCTGATATCGAAAAGGCAATATGCATACCTGCTTTGCAGCGACTGGGTCCTTGTCGATGCCCCAGCCGTGGCGGAAACAGTTGGCCAATTCGAAGATGGCCAGGACTAGCTCTCCCTTTGCAGCTCCTCCTTTCTTGAGACCGGCCTGGATGGCCAATTGCTCGACCGACGCAGCGTTAGAGGCCGCTGCTGTTAGATAGTGGACCGCTCGCGCAGTATCTGGCGTGCAACCCCAGCCGTGCCTATGGGAAGAAAGCAAGGCTGTATTAGTCCGGATGCTCTCTTTTTTAATCGCCTGCTAATCATATGATGGCCATGTCACGTAAAATCAAATGAGGTGATGTGATATGTGAGGGCGCGCTCAAGGGGAAATCGAGGCAAATGAGGGGGAGCTGGAGCTCTCTCTCCGTCTCTCAGGATTTCACCGGCAGCAGCGTATCGCCACCGCAGAATGGAAATGAAATGGCTAATTGGGATCCGGGCCATGGTAGCACTCACCTGAGTGCCAGTCCATAGAGAACCTGGCTGAGGGGATTGTTGGCGCCGCTCTCGTCTGCAAGGCGCCCGAACATCTTGGTCGCTTCCGCATAATTCCCCTCCTCATGCAGTCGAATCGCCTCTTGGATGTCGGCATCGATTTCCTTGGACGAAACAGGCCCCGAGTTGGCCGAGGGGCTTCGGCTCCGAGAGGCAGAGGCGTCTAGACTCATCTGGGCCATGCCGTCTGAGGCATCTCTCGACGACGGGCGACTCCTGGCGAGGTCGTTCTGCCCGGCTAGCATGGTTGCCCGCTTCTCCCACTGCAGCTCTGCGGCGTCTTTATCCTGCACGTCGGCTGCTGGGACCACAATCTCCGGTAGGTTCTGCGGCACATGGTCAGAGGTCTCGGGCGGCCGACTTAGATGCAGCCTGTGCGACAGGCGTCTTGCCGCGCTCTCCTTCTTGTTGGACGCCGACGAGGAGGCAGAGGCGCTCCGCGACTGGTCTGAGTGGAAGAAGTCGAAGCTCCGTCTCGACTTTCGGTGCTCGCCGCTGGTCGACGTGGGCGACAGCAAGCCGTCGTTGTTGTGGCCTCCCTCGTCCGACGCCATAATCACCTGCTGCGAAACGGTATCGGAGCGAACAAAAGTGATGTCCGGGCCCTGATCATGCTCTATAGCGTCCTTCTTCCGTAGCGCATCCCGGAGCCCCATGATTGCGAGAGTGTTTTAGTAGTTTTTGATGTTCTGTAAGTGAAAGAGCTGTATGTCTGTCCTCTGGTGATTGTCCTTCTAGTCCAGCACAAGGAAAAAGCAGCAACAACAAAGGCCTTTCTATATCTCGCAATAACAACGCCGCAGTGATGCTGATCATGAAATGTCCAAGCCCCCCCGGGTCTGTCACCCAAAAATAGAATATGCTGCTGCTCTACGTCGAATGATGGCGAGGTCCGTAGGCGCAGGTTCAGGGTTCAGGGAGGCAGTCAGCCAGTGGCTGAGGCAGAGAAGCCAGGCTGATGTTGGTTAGTCAGTTGTCAGTGTCAATGTCCTTTTTGTAGCACTGACTGACACGATGCAATGCTTTTGTGCAGTGCAAACAAAAGGCCCGCCTCGGGGTTCCTTTCTCAAAGAAGAGCAATTGGAAAAAAGGAGGCCGAATTTGCTTGATGTCGCAAACCAACAGTGACAATGGGATTTCTCCGTGCTTGAATTTGACGCGCGGCAAAAGGATTTCGGCGCCTGGAACGATGGGTTCTAATGTTACAATACAAAAGAGCACACAGTTCAATTGGGGAGAGAGAGAAAAGGGCCAGGCGCCGTCCCTTTTGAAACTTGGTCTAGGAACCGCCAAAGAAATAGAATTACCCCCCAATCTGGCATTATGGAGTCAATCTTTCTTAGGATTAGAAGTCTCCAGTCGCCCTTGGCAAATAAAGTGCACGCCGTATTCCAATAGCACCGAACCAGGGGCTAAAATAGGTTCAAGGTTAATATTGGCGTGTTTCTTCGGAATCGATCCATGAACCTAGACAAGGGCCTCCCAAACTATCTTGATGGACTTGATGTCTTGATCATTTTAGGGGAGGACGCTCGGGGCTCCATCTGGCCGCTGTGGGCGCCGATCAGCGAATCTCTCTAGAGGCCGCCTTCGCTAAAGCGCGGTAAGCCAACGGTGGGAGGAAATAAGAAATAAGCACCAGCCCAGCGGCCGGGCCCTCATTTTAGGAGTTAATGTTCGAGAGAACAAAGGCACAGGGGGGAAGTTTTACAGATGTTGAACAGTTAATACATCAGTTCATTGACATTATTAAATTCTTCTTTTATTTCTTTCTGTCCTTATTATTATTTGTTACCAACATGTTGCTGTTTTCCTAACAAAGAGACTTCTTTCTCTCTTCCTCTCTTCATCTATTCTGTCTCGTTCTTCCGCACTGCAAATCATCTTTCTTTTTTCTTTTTTCCTCTTTGCACCCTAGGCAAATGATTGATATCAAAAGTGCTGCGTAGCAGGGTATCTTGGTATAAAATCCATCCCTTGGTAGTAGAAATAAAACAAGAAAAGAGAGAAACCTCATCAATGCCATGGTTGCCTCGTCGGTACTATAGAAGAAAACAGAAGACGGAGCCTATCGCATGCTAAATAAATCAAGAAAGGGCACGTCGTCCCGAATCTCCAAAAAGAGACTATAAGACTGCGCGTTGGATCGATTTCGGCTCGACCAGTCTACGGGCGGTGGCTGCTTGACTCGGCTAAAGGGGGAGATAGTCCTTTGGGTTCTCAAAGTCAGAGTCATCATCGTCGCCCTCAAGAAACTCGGCCACTTCGTCCGAGTCAACGTCGTCTGAATCAACCGATTCATCTTCGCTGGAGACGTCCTCTGCCTCGTCGCGCTGCTTGGCCTGGTTGCGGAGGACGCTTGCCCTCTCACGATGGAGCAGCTTACATCCCCTGGTTTTACAGATACCGGTGTTGCTGAAGTCTGGGCATTCAAAGACGTGGCGATCGGTGCAATCTGCACCCTTGTCACAGTAACCGCAGAATCCAAATGCCGCGCACACGGGGGCACTTGGGGAGGCTTTGGAGTGAGTAAAGGGACAGTCAGGCCGGGAGCATTGCCCCTTGGCATAGTGCAAGCAGTTCGGGACACGTTCTGGAGTAAGCTCATGGGAGAGGTCGCATGCCTCGCCATTGGGACACTTGCCGTCTTTCAAGAAATCTTTGCAGAGGGCCACCTTGTCAGGGTCGTGAATGTATCGGCAGCTTGGGCCTTTCGGGCAAGAACCTAGAAGAAAAGACAAGTTAGTGGTTAGCTTCCCTCCCATCTATGCCACTATCTCGTAGAACTGTAGTATGTTTCGTCGCCGCAGGTGTAAAAAAAAAAGTAACAATTACCGGTCGTGGAAAATATTTTGCACCGTTGATCAAGTTTTTTAACCGCACCGGATCGACTGTAGACGTTAGCGTCATGATCATCCCTGGGAGTTGAACATACCGATGGTCTCTAACTATCCTCTGTGCTACAAGGTTTCCGGTCTTGGTACGATGGAACTTGACGCCAGCAATGACAGTCAATTTTGGCGTCATGGCAGGGGAGGCGGGATCGTCTGAAAGTCTTTCGTGAGTAACAGTGAGAAGAAAATGATAGATAGCGACGCATGACTCACCAGGAGCTTTTACAAGCTTCTTTCCTCCGTCTAGAACACGGAAGCGAATGCCGTTGACCGAGATTTCATTCAATCCTGTCGAGTTAGCGCGCATGCTCGTACCCGCAACCCCAGTAACCGCGGCTTGATGGCGAAGGTAGTCGCCAAATCGTTTCTTTTCTCGAAGGCGTCGCTCTTTGAGGTTCCGCTGTCGTGTTTCTTCGATGGCTTTGGCCCGATTTTGGCTGTCCTTCTCGTATATACTGGCGTTTATGAGTTGGCGGTGGCGGTCGTTTTTGGATACCCATCCCGAAGTTGTGGGAGCGGGACTGGGCGCGGCCGAGCTAGAAGCTGATCCAGAGGCAGATCCTGAAGCGTTAAGATGCAGAGTCCTGTGGCGGTGGGCGGCGGCTGGTCGGCTGCTATACCCTCTGCTGGGATATGGTGCGCCTGCTTGGCGGTAGACATTTCCTTTGGCAGCGTCAGTTTTGTCATCGTCCGAACGCGTTGAGACTATACAAACCTCGATGGCGATGCGGGTGATGCGATGGTGGCACAGACTGGTAACCGGCTTGCTGGTTCTTGTGTCGGTTGATTTGGCCTAGAATAAGATAGTGAGCACTATGAAGTCATCGCGGGACAGCTGATGGTCTTACCAGCCAGCTGGCCGATGCGCGCCAGAAGCTCCTTGTCTTCTTCTGACATATTGGAGATGGAAGATTTGCGCCGCGAGCTGTGTGCTTGATTCAATGTAAAGACTTTGAGGAAATGCACTGGATTTTCGTATGTTTTGGCAGTGATTCGCAGCTCAAACAAGAAGCAGTTGAAATTGTGTTGGGTCAAGGAAATGCAAGGCTACCGAGTTGCCTGTGGGCAGATTAGCCTTGAAAAGTGGCGAGCGGGATTAGTCATCAACGCGCTCACGTCTTTGCAGTGCGAGGCTGAGTAGAGTAACAAGCCAGCCATTCATCACTTTGCGAATTGCCCAAGCAGAAATTACCCTCGCCATCGACAATCCATTATCGCCCAATAAGATTACAATCTCTACACATACCAGCCATGGCTTCTTGGGAGCTGCTGGATGAAAGAGGCGAATCGGAGCTTCACAAGAGCCGGCTTCTCAACGTGGAGGAAAAGCCGTTCAAACGCATCACCAAGCGATTGTCTTCCATCTCTGCGATTGTCTCTAGCGCTATTCAATCCGACACCGCAAGCCAAAATGGAGGCCAGACCTCGAGCAGTGCCCAGCTACAGGAAGACCTGACGTTCGATTTTGCCGCCTTTGACAGCAGCATTGCTCGCTTCCAATTCCTCCATGATGCAAACGAGCGAGAGCGAGAGCGATACGAAGCAGACAAGCAGCGCATCCTTGCAGAATGCCAGGCCGCCCGAGAAAACAATGCGCGCCTGCGAGAGCAGTTGGAAGACGCAAAGGCAACTCTAGCACGACGGAAGAAGTTTGACGAGCTGGCGGAGAAGATATTGTCTAATCGCCTGCTACGACCACGCGAAGACCAGTTTGCTGCTTTGGAGAAGCTAGAAGAGGAATGCAAGGAGCTGGAGCGAGAAAGCGAAACATATAGCGGAACATGGAAAGAGCGGAGAGATCAGTTCAACAGAATCATGGAGGAGGGCATGCTGCTAAGACGGCAGATCAGAGACGAAAAAGAAGAAGTAGACAGGAGAGAAGGTATGAACGAGGGCGGGGAGGACGAAGTGGAGGAACAGCGTGGCGGCCAAACACCCGGTATTGAGCCAAGCAATACTGGGACACCGCGTCCAGATGGCGATGGAATACTGCAAGAGACGCCTCAACCAGCAATATCGGTGGACGGACCGACACCGTCAGCAGGCTCCCCCCGACCAGATCGACTGCAGCTTTTATCTACAGATGCCGGAACAACATCGAGAATAGGGAGCAGGGCGTCTACAAGAGAATTGTCACAACCTCCGCTACGAGATGACGATTCGGGTACCGAGACCGGAGAAGACGTTGAAATGGACGATTCACGGATTGAAAGGGATGAGGAAGAGGGCGAAGAAGACGAAGACGAAGACAAATTGGGCGCGAGAAATGATGACAAGATGGAGGTTGACAATTAGATTAGGCTGTCTGCATAGCATTGCTTTTATTTAAAAAAACGATGGATAGGATCGTTGTACAATTAGGATACCCGAATTGAAATCCCTTCCAAAGGGGATGGAATACCACTGTTGGGTATCCGGTGATGTGGACCACCACTTTGTATCATTGTGTATCATGTGTATTATATCGTAGGTAAAACTCCTTTGTCTCTTTTCTTTTCTCCCTAATCATCCATCTCCCTCTAAATCTCCTCCGTCTTGGCCTTCTCCAGCGCCGCCTTTGCATTCGCCAGTTCCTCAGCCGAGGCATTCCCAGTCTTTTCTTCGGACGCGACAAGATCCTCCAGCTTCTCGACAGCCTGGTTGATCCGGTCTCTCAACGGCTTGAACACGGCTCTAGTCTGCTCGACAACCATTTTCTAAAGAATAGAAACACGTCAGTTCCTCAACCTTGATACCAAAATCCATCATGCATTAGCGTATAGAGATTCTGTACATACGTGCTGCTTCAAGATGTACGTCGCATTGCCGTCTTCGTCGTCCTGCCCGCTCTTAATCTTTTCCTCTTGGGCCTTTGCCTCAGCCTCTTGTGCCAGCAGCTCCTTGTGATATGACGCTTCTTCCTTCAGGAGGCGGTTGACCGCGCCCGTCGCGATGACCAGAGGGGACGGAGAAGGCATTTTGGGGTTGCTGCGTTGAAGAGAGTCGGGAAAGGAGGAGGCTGTTGAGGTTTGGGAGGCGATTGTCTGAGGAAAAGAAGGCAGAGATACGGCGAACCTGAGCTTTATAATTCAATAGCAAAGGGTTTGTTGTCTGGGATAATCTGGGTTGCCTGTTGCAAGACTGCGGTAAAGCAGGTGCCTAGTAGGTAGACGGTTTGCATCCCTGCGTGGGGTTCCTGGATCCATGGCGGGGCAGCTCAGCTACAGCAATAGCACATCACCAAAAACAGGTTCACTTTGTCGATTAGAACAGACATTTGTATAAGCAGCGTGTTGAATTGCCACAACTGGGCATCACTACATATTTAATACTACTTTTATTCTTTCAAAGTAGACAACGTCAAATCATAAGCAACCGCATTCAAAGCACTGTAATTCCTCCAAAGTCCGTCTTCACGGCAAGCTCATACATCACATTGATGACTTCCTTGAATAATAGCCAATCCTCCCAAACACCTTTTCTAAACAGCTAATCAACACACAGAATAAAGAAGAAAAAGTTGTCCTGTTTCGACATCCAAGGCTCGAATTGTCATTTTCCCCTCCTCCCTTTATCCAGAGCAGAGAACCTCCAAGGTTACATGGTATCTCCCAAACGCCTGCAACTCCGCCGTGGGCGATTCGAACAAAAACAAAAAAAAGACCCGTTGCCCAAGATGCACAGCATTGTAGTTTTTTTTTACATGCACAAAATTTTTGTCATTTTTTCCCCAGTGATTGTTAAGCAGACGGTTATGCTTCGACAGCAACCGCCGCAACGCTCACGGGAGCAACGGACTCGGGTTGGTCTTGGTTCGAAATCTCGCCGCCAGCTTCCCGCTCGGCCCAGGCACCCCAAAGGCCTCGCTTTCCTCGTACTTTGATAGGGTCACCGAGACCAGAGCTCTGTTCAACCTTGATGGCATCCTTGGTGGCAAGGACCAGACATTCAAAGAACATCTTGGTAGCTTCAGCCTTGGTGGTCTGCTTCTCGGGCAGTAGGTTCTGGAAGACAACCGCCGACTTCTTCCTCTTGTCGGCATCATTGGCGGCCTCGGAGCCAAACAGGTCTCGCAGAATGTGAACGGCATGCTTGGTACCAACAGAGACGGGGCCGCTGTCGGCAGGGTGAACGAGGGGCAAGGTCGTGTCTTCGAATGCAGGCATAGGGCTGCTTCTGTCGCCTCCATCCGCATGATCATCGTCAAAGTGAGCCGCGCTTTCGTCAGCGGGGATTTCGAGAATGGTGCCGTCAGCTCCTACGCTCTGGTTTCCGAAGGCGTTTCCGTCGAGAGTGAAATCGGTATCATCTCCCAGTTCCAGACGAGGAGACTTGATGCCCAGCTCGCTCTCCACATCGGCAACGCCAGAGTCACGCTTGCGCTTCAGGTCGTTCGCACCACGCACCATGTCCAATGACAGCATACCACGAAGTTCAGGCGCCCATCCCGTGCTTCGACCTTCCATCATGATGGAAGACACGAAGCCACCCGTCTTCTGCATTTCTGCCAGAGCCAGAAGTAAAGGATCGCGAGGGAGGTATGTAGCTGGCTTGGTAATGTTTTCTCTGTGTGCCTGCTGCTGCTTGATATGAGTGCTGGACAGCGCAATTTCCTCATCCGGCATCATAACGCGCTGCTTTCTAGCGCGTTGTGTAGGTCGCTTAACGGGGGAATCTTCCGCATCGTCTTGGGGTTCGTAAAGATCTGTGTGGCCGTGGCGAGAATACTCCTCTTCAATCTCCTTGGCAAATTGGTCATCAATGTCTGACAGAGGAGACTCTGAAATTCTCTCTCGATTAATATCGAGAGCAGCCAGGCCAGGGACGGCGGACTGATCGTCAGGGTTGAACTGGAAATCATCATCGCCCATCTGGATATCGCCCTCATCGTCTGCGATTCTGACGCCGCCGTCCATATCCATACGAGAGTCTTCGGGACCAGCGCCTTCCTTGGATCGGGGCATAATGTCAAGCTCGCTGAATACATCGTCTTCAATTGATCGGGCAGCGGGAGCATCTCGACCCATTTCAATGCTGTGGCTAGGGCCACCATCCATGTCGAGACCGAAGTCGAGCTCGAGCTCAAGGTCATCCATGGGCGCAAGCGCGTCCTCATCCAGCGTCATGCCGCCCTGAAGATACTGGCTGTTGTCGAAGTCCTCTTGCAAATTGATGTCTCGAGTGTTGCTGACGCGTCCCTTCCTACCGACTTGCGTGGATGACACATCCTCGACTTGCGAAAGCAGCCATGAAGCATCAGGCGGGGGAGGCAATTCGAGATTGTCGTACGGCGTGATGCGATCGGGCAGAAGCAAAGCCTCGCGATTGGTAACCTGCAGGTTGGCAGCCAGATCGTTGTTTCCACTGGATCGGAAAGCCTAGCAAGTAATTATTATTAGCATGACATGTAACTGTAAGAGTGAAAGTGGAAGAAAACAAAAGTCACCCACCATTTTGATCTTCATCATAGCTTCATTACAATCGTCCAGCAAGTATCGCGTTTTGCGCTGGTATATCCTGACGACACCGAGCAGCAGCTGTCCGCTGAGACGCAGGGCCATGGGCGCCTGGTTCGGCGTGATGATGGCCTCGACACTGTCCGTGACATTGGACTGCAAGATGTGATTCTTGGAGAGCTTGCGCTCGAGGTTGGCCGACAGCCAGACACGGGCAAGCGGCCCGGTCTTCTGGAGGAGCGTCTCCGAGTAGAACATGGTGGTGCGCGAAGGAGTCGCACTGGTGGTAGTGGTTGTGGTTGTGCTGGAGCAAGTCGAAGCAGGTTGTGAATGCGAATGTGAATATGCAAAAGCTCACTCAGCTCAGCCAGTGAAAACGGTGCAGGGACACGAGCTTGGAGCAAGAGTGGAGGTGAGTAAACACGGAACAAGGGGCGCGTGTTTTGGCGGATAAACAAGTCGCCTAAACCGTGTTTGGGCCTGGCTCACGCGCGATGGCAGCCGCGCAAACTCATCAAGTCAAAGAAATCCAGTCGCCCAGGGCAAGTCTGCTGAATCGCACGATCTGGAGCGGCGAGGGCGAGGCGACGGGGGTGGCGATGGGAAGTGCAAAAATGGCGAGGGAAAGCAAATGGGTTGTGTGAAACTCTCAGGTTGGCGAGGGGAGACGCTTCGGCCAAGCTGCCGTAAATTGCGTGGCTGGGAGGAGTGGCTGGTACGTACCATGCAGTACCTTGTTGTTCCATTTTCGGTGGTGTCCGGAAGTGGAACATTAACTTTTCCGGCGTTAGAGTGGAGGCTTCCGCCCGTCGGAAGTCGGTGGCTACATGGCTTGCCTGATTTGGCCGTTGAATTGCTGCCTTTTGATGAGCTTGTGGTACTCGTAAGTTGTCCGTTTGTAGCTTAAAGTTCGCCTGTAGTACAAGGAGTAGAAGACATCAAGCAGTGTCGAAATCATGTCCGAGGCTCTAACTCTCTATATAGTACGTATACGGAACAATTTTGTAGTGTATCATTGCAGTTGTCTTATGAAGGAGAGCTCAGGGTGACCAAGCAAGCATGCTGACATTGTCATCGTATTATACTCGTACATCAGCCAATGACCTACTAAGGCATTCTTTCACATGCTGGTGTGACGGAGTATTACATCAATGGAGGCTACAACGTGCCTCTTCAAAAGTTCTTACTACTACCCGCCATTGTTGATATACTTCCATGCTGTGTAGTATCTCAAGCTGGCCCATTCTGTAATACCTGGGCTTCTCTGCTAATGCCAAGAGCCTCAAAGTCCTTCTGTAGCTCCCTGCATTTCGTTCTAGGATCATTGCTGCCACGACATCCCATCTCTGGCACATGCCGCTTTGTATTCCGACACCCGCAGCAGGACATCTGCACGCTTCAGGCATTGGGTAATCTAACTTTAGACACGGAGCCATGTGCATAATGTTACCCAGCCATGCCTGACTCTACCTTTTACTGCTACAAGTCTCTCGTTACCCCTAGTGGTGCTACCGGTATTCTGTTTCCATAAAGAGCGGCGGGTTGTCCCTCTTCCAGGTCCAGCTCCTCGAATAGGCTTAATCTAATATCCAAACTTCTCCATAGCTGAGGAGACTTGACTAGCGGAGGATTGTCGTTGGAGGGACACATTGACTTAAAGAATGTTATCGTACATGGCTATTAGGTAATTAACTGAATCAATTGAATAGAGACTACCAAACATTGCTCATGGCTGGCATATCCACGTACGAGTAACTGTACTTGGGTAATCGGTATAAGAGAAAGCGTACTGTACAAGGTAGCCTGGCTATATTAACTTCTGGCGCAAAGTCGGAGAGTTCAAGGTTACAAGGCCTGTAA